CAGATTAAAGTTAATTCTTTGGTGATCAACACGACAAAATAACTTTTATATGTAAATAATTACTTTTGTTTATTGCGGATCCACTCAATTTTTTACTAGAGCACATATGATGTTAACCTGAATTTAATACCAAATATGACAATTATAAAGACTCCATCAAATTTTCAAATAAGTTGTCTTTTTGTAACCGGCGCTAAAAATATTAGCTTAAAGTCAAATAACAGAGAAAAAAAGTTATAGAAATAGAGGATATGGCAGAAACAAGAGAACACATGTTATCATTCATGTGGAGAATCTACAAGAGTAGACAGAAACAATTTGGTTAAGGGCAAAAGGGACATAAGCAAGTCTTGTGAATCCTCAATAATGATATCCTTTTTTTTTTGCAAACTCTCAATAATGATATCCATGTGACTAATCTTTGTCCTTTTTCTTCTTCACTATAAATCGTTAATTAATTTTCTAGAAGCACAAATCTATTTTTAGTTTTTTTTTTTATATATCCTTCACCGGAGTTAGTCGCAAGAGAGTATAGAGGAAACTCAATACAAATAACTAGATCAATTAATTTTTATTTAGGTGAAATTAGTAGAATATAAGCTAACTAAAACAACATTAGACGAATTGACATAATTTATACTGTACGTTTTTTCACCAGAAACATGATTAAGTCTTATTAGTTGTGGTCATGATCACGTATTATCTCAAATTTATCCTTTTGTCTGATTTTTATAGTGGGCATTTAAATAGGAAAAAGATAACATTGCAATTATGTTTGTGTAATGTAGTGGACTGAATTCAACGTCCAATAGCCCTAAAAAGTATCGATGAATTGATGCAGTTTTTAAAAGACACTTTCAACTGCATCAGATTTAATCTCCTTTTCAAGTTATTTTTTAGTTTACAAGGTTTGAATATGAAAATTGTGAAATTGTATGCACATGACAGTTTAAGAGAGTTAAGGAACAACAATAATAGAGCAGGCCGAGTGGCATATAGAGTGTTGATATTTTAGGTATCAATTTAATTTAAATGTGACATCGTTTCGTCAGAATTATCTACAACAAAGTTGAAAGATTGTTTGTTCTTTAGACTAACTCCAAGCAACGGGTAGATCGCTTTGTTTCTCAATGAAAGGTTTTGTGAACCGCGGTATAGGGTTTATCCAACTGCCGATAGCGCATCACATTGTATCCATGGAAAGCATATTTTACCGACCATTTTCTAGCCATAAAACTACACGAATTTCTGATGTTCACCTCAACCATTTTGCATGATATTATTTTAAGAAATTAAAGAGCACCTGTAGTTGACAGCTGAAGCCGGATGACAATGATCACATACCAAATGAAGCGACTTTAAGTTCGCGAGACAATATATCTGAAGCAACAAACAACCCATCAACAATGACGTTTTACACGTCAAACAAAATCAACCATCAAGTGAATTTCCTAAAATTTATCTCGAACGAATAAACATATATGGACTCTTAAATTTGAAGGCAATTTGATCACATGCAAAAGAATTAATTATTTGCTATTCATTTAATTTATATATATATATAGAATCCATAATTTCCATGCGTAAACTTAAATTCCAATGTATGCAAAAAAGAATTCATATGTTCTTTTTATTAAAAGCATTATCCAACGACTTGGTTTTATTTTTCAAACAAAATGATATATCTATAGGTAGAATCTTGTAAGAACATAAATTTGTGGTTCTTGAAATTATAGCAGAAAAGAAGTCGTTCTTGAAACTTCACCAACTTACAAAATAGAAGACGAACGAAAAGGAAGGAAATTTTATCTTTTAAATTTCTATTATAAAATCGAAATCCTAGAGTTTTTATAGGAAAATTTTCCCTAAATTGCGATTTGTGAAAGTTGGAATGAAAAAAAGTACCAGTTTAAATAGGCTTTACTAAAATATATATATTCAATCGTTCAAAGAACCATGAATATCAAAATCTTAGCTCAACAATATCAAACCAACTCTATAATATTAATATGAATATCATTAACGAGAAGAAGAGAAAAAAAGCTACTACATATACACACAAAGATAAATATGCGTTTCAACAACTTTAACCTTACGATGCGTTGAAAAAAATAAACTTACGGTTACGGGGAAAGAAGAACTCAACCAAATTTGACTTTTGAAATAAGAAAATTAAATGTGAATTTGTTCTTTTTCAAAAGAGGAAAATTGGAAATTAAATAGTCTCTCCACCATTCTAACTAACCTACTTTGAAATTTTTGTCTTGCACCAACGAAACCACGAAGCTGTAACGCATTTTTTCCGTAATTATTATATTAATACCCATAATGTATTGTATATATCTCTTTTTCGCCATTTTCTTTTATGTTTAGCTTCATTTTTTTTTAATTATCTTTTGTATCGTGTAACTATTATAGTATCTCTAATTTGCATACAGCCACACATAAGTCTAAATGTGTCTTTGTTTGTTGTGTACTTATGTTTATTTAATTATGTTGTATCGCTGTATGTATATAGTGGTGTGTCTTTGTTTGTTATGTACCTAAGTTTATTTAATTATGTTGTATTGTTGTATGTATATAGTGGGTCGGCTTGATGCGCCATCATTTGTTTTATAAATGGTTGATGTCTTTAATCTATGTTTTAGTTTTGGCAATTTCTTTTGATTTAATTTATCTACGTATGATATAGTAATAGTATTACAAGTACTATTCATGGTTAGAGATTATATCCGTGTGTAGATGGTAAATAAAAGTATCTTATGACTTATATAATCAAGAATTGTATTTGTAACTTGTGTAAGAAAAGTTATTAGCAAAGACAATTAGAAACATTCAAATTTCGTCTGCACTAACCTCTCTTAATCACTTAAAGTTATCGAAAAGTAATTGAAAAGTAGTAGAGTTAGATCATCTCGTTATTACCTAATTACCAGAGAACTTTTTTTTGTCAACATAGTATGCGATTTTTATATATTCTATACTTAGGAAAATGTATTCTAAATATTCTTTTGGGGCCGGTCTTAAATCTTAATGTGGAAGTCAAATTAAGACCGTTATTTCGGTATTATGTCATCATCTTATATTTTGTTTGGCCAATTTGATACCGTACGAACTAACCCATTATATATTTGTTAAACTTTTTTTCCAAATAAATTCCTTGTACTCCTACTAATTTATATATCTAGTCATGCATATAATGTATGTAGAACCGGGTTATATAATTTTAATTGTATATACTGGTGTCACCATAGTGTTTATAACCTAAATTCAAACAAAAAATTCGGTCAAATTCGTTTCGTTAGAAGGATTGACAGTTCTCAAGTTGTGTAATTGAAATCGATCAAAGAAGTGTGCACTTACTTGAAGAAGAAGAAGAAAATTTTTAATTACCCTCCATTTTCCTAAGTTCGGCAATAAACGACTAGAGATAATTCTTTATGGATACTTGTTGAGTTTTGACCCTTAATTTTTTTTTTAATTGGGTGTTTCACACATAAGTCGTCGTTTTGGTTCACTGACTTTTATATTTTAACAATATACTGTGATATTTTCTGAATAATTAATATTTATGAATCCCTCTAAAAATCGTCGTAAGAGAAATTCTATGTACCATTCGGTAATTATTAATTTTCTTTACAATTTTAAATTTGGTACTTCGCCTAAGATACGGAAAGTTGACCGTACTCTGACCGATTGACGAACTTTTTTGGTGATATGACCGATTGACGAATTTTCTTATATACTGAAAGAAAACATATATTTTGACGTAGTTTTGGCAGCCATTTCTTGGATATTTGCAATGGATGTCAATAAAAAACAGCTTTATAATAGTTTACCTCGTTTACAAACGGTCTTTTTTTAAAAAAATTTAGACGTTAAAGTAATTGTGAGTAAATGAAATGCCAAAACATTTATGTGAAACTTGACAACAAATTATAGGCAGAGGTTCAACAAGTTTCATTACATCATAAAACGACAACAAATAAAACAAAGAAGAAGAAACTTTTTGCGCATGGGACAATGAGGTAAGGTTAAATTTGACAAATGAATGTAAAATATTTTCCAATGGTAAATGTTCTTTAGGATGGACAAAAGTTCTGTCCTGTCTTGATTTCATCTACACATGTCCGTTTCATATAGGAGTGTGTTTTCAATCGGGACAAAGTTTGAATGAAGTTCTCTTTGGAATAAATATTCCTTATTTTTTAGTTGGGATAAAAATTTATATTCACTCTATTTCATAATATAAGATGTTTCGGAAAAAAAAATTTGTTTTACAATATAAAATATTTTCAAGTTTCTAAACAAATTATAGATTAGTTTGATATTTTATAATTATTTATATTATGCAGTTGTTTTTATGATTGTTTGAACTTTTTTAAAATAGATATTTTTTAATCTACGTGTTTTTAATTATAACGTCTTATATTTAGAAACGGAAAAAATAACTTCAAATTATTAATGACCTCATTGTTATGAATGTAGTAGTAATACATTTAACTGTTAGACTACTTATAAATTAAATTAGAATTCGTAAACTAAAAAATCTTGTTCAGTTTCTTTTCTATCCGGATTTTCTTCATGTTCGATGTTCCCATTTTCTTACCACAAAAGTCTCATTTCGAATTTCTGTTTTTTACTCGTAATATCGATTAACCTAAAGCATGCATTTTCTTATTTATTTTATGTGATGAATGTATTAGTTAGAACTTAGAACACAGCAATAATATTTGTTTAGTTGAAAAATATATGATATTTCTCTTATATTAATTTAATATATTTTTATCCTTCTTTTTTCTAATAAAAAAAGATGAAAAGGTTAGGCAACAAAAAGTCACACCTGCAACATTAAGATGGTCTAGATCAATTACGTATGCCCACAAATTTAGATATATATATGCAACATATACATACACACATATATTTTTATATACACCTCCCCCACATCTGAATGCAGACTCTGTGAGATATATAAAGCTACTTAAGATTCTAATCCTATAATTATTGTAAGAACTAAAAAAAGAATAATCAGTGAATTTTAGAGAGAAGAGAGAAAGAGAGATTACCTTCTTCATAGGAAAATATTTCTTTCTTCTTCTGCATTCCTCAAATTTTATCTTCCCAAGAAACCCAAAACACAAGAAAATCTTAAAGGTAAACTTAATTACTTTTTCATTTTTGCATATTTTTTTCCTTCTAATTAATCCTCATTTTTAGTTAAACCTTTCAAAAGGTTTTCTTAATGCTTGTCTATATATTCACACAAACGCGTATTTGTGTGTTGATGATATACGTATCTTTGCCTTAACGGTTGGTTTCTATGTCGGAAGTTTAGTGAATTGTGGTGGAGATGAAAGTTGGAGCTCCGGCGAATAAGCCGGGTCGGATCATTGTTCAAGTTCTTCTTCTACATCTTCTTCTTCTTCTTCAAAGTGCTCATTCTCAGAGATCACAGTACGTTTTCTCTTAACCCATCTCTGTTTGTGTTGGGTCGGGTCTTTTTTTTTTACCCATTTAGTTTTTTTTGTACCTTATTTTTGGGTTTTTATGCAAACATTGATTTCACAAGCTTTAAATTTCCAAGTTCACATGTCAAACTTACTGAAAGGAACAAATACAGAGGTTCTTAACTTTTTTCATCAGAATCTGGTGTACTGTTTTGTAGTTTTTCACTTGTCTTTTTTTGTGTTCTTGAGGAAATTATACAGTATAATTATAAAATTATAAGCCTTAAGACGAATTAAAACATTATAGAAAAAACCTATGACCAAAGTATAATTAAAATAATGTGTAGCTTTAATTTTAGTCAAGACCCAATAAACAAAAGAAAAAGCTAAGGTTTCCCTTGATTCCATTTCCATTTTCACTTTTAAAGGTAATTATCATATAATTATTGTATTAATTTTTATTTTTTGTTAATGATAATGGTTTTGATAATTTCCTTGGTAATGAATGACAATGCTTGGCTACTTTCTTTAATTTGCATGTATATTCACGACACACACGAATATATGTATATAAACTGTCTAAAAACACAAACATATACATATACCAGCACATACAAATTTTATAACGTAATATACCTAAAGAAGAGAATCTGGAAACCGAGATTGTCACGAGACGTGTGTTAAAAAGTTACTAAAAACGTTAAACGACAAAAAAACGAAGAATACAATGTTTAAGGAATTGTTTTTATTAATCTTACAGTTTCAAGTTTCAACCTTCGTTTTTTTAAGCCTTTATAAAATAAAATAAAACCTTCGTTTATTATTTTTTAATTACAACATTGGAAATTTTTTGTATTGCTTTTACTTTCGGCTCAAAACCTACCTGTCTTTTTTCTCTAAACTACTTGTCTTCTTCCCAGTTCTCACACATAATATAAATTATATTTGGTATATTTTCTCTTTTAACAAATTATTTATATTATTTTATTTATTTTATATAGTACTTTTATGTTCTTTATGCCTTTTAATACCATGATGGATATTTGTGTTCCCTCAATTGGAATTATTCTTTTCGTCTTCAACACTCTTCAACTAATTAATTTGACCGTTCATATTCAAGTGGAGTTCGTACCATATACATTAACTACTACAGTATTAATGTTGAAGTTTTTAAACCCAAACTATAATTAAATAACTCGTTTTCAGATCATTGACTCTAAGAGCATCTCCAACCCACCTCTATATTTGCCCCTAAACTCTATTTTAGAGGCAAATTTACTCCAACACACCTCTATTCTCACCTCTAAAATAGAGATCTCTATTTTTTTCTCTATATATAGAGGTGAGAATAGAGAATCTCTATTTTTTCCCCTATAAATAGAGTTAAACTTTTTAGAGGAAAAAATAGAGAAACACATTGGAGTAAAAATAGAGAAAACTTACCTCTATTTCTATAATAGAGCTAAAAATAGGGAAATACATTGGAGATGGTCTTAGTAGACCAAACACTATTTTCCTTAGATTGCATGGATATAGGCAACCATTATAATTAATAACTAGATCACTATAGTTAAAATTTCAAAAAATCGAATAAAAATAAATAAATTTGTTTTCATATCATTAGTAGACCCTACCTAGAACTATTGGAGCAATAAATTTGTAATTTTAATGCAAAAAATTCTTAAGTGTTTTAAAAGCTATTTTAAATGCTTTTAAGGTTAACAGTTCGGTTAATATTATTGTAACTTAAATAAAAGAATGAATGATTCTAATCTGCTACATCTTTTTCTATTACAGAAACAAACTTAACATCACAAAGCCTGGACAAAACATACCAGCCTTAACAGTTCAGCTAAGGAGAGTTGGTCATGATGACACGGTAAGAATTATTCAATTTTTTTTCTGTCAAATTTTTTTTTTTTTACAATATAATATGAATTTTGTTGGTTTTAAGGTGGTACTTGATAATGGTATTGTTCAAGTTACTTTCTCGAGCCCAGAAGGCGTAATTACTGGGATAAAATACCATGGTATCGACAATGTGTTGGACGACGAAATTAAGGATCGGGGGTAAGATTCTTTTATTCTTTTAATATACGAGTTTGTAACACAACTTCTTTATATGTTTGGAACATGTTACATTAAGGGAAAAAAAAATTACATACGATGCATAGAACTTCTTAATAACGTCTAATTGCAATTTTTTTGGGCGTATTGTTATGGAAATAGGTATTGGGACGTAGTCTGGTATGAACCGGGAAAGAAACCGGAGACTGACAAGTGAGTTTTGCAGACTCTCCTTGTCTTTGTTTTGTTATATATCTCGCAGTCAATTTTATAACTTTTTATGCTTAACGTGAAGTATATATTTATTTCAATTTTTCAATCTATGATAATATAATTTTATACACTAAAAATATTCTTATTCAGTATATATTACAAATAATAATCGAACAATAAATGGATGTATATGATGATATTTATAAATGTAAAGTTAACAGTTTTATATTTTTGTGTGTGTTTTTCGTAGATTAGAAGGAACTAAATTTGAAATCATAACTCAGAACGAAGAACAAATTGAAATTTCATTTACAAGAACGTGGACCATATCCAGACGAGGCTCCTTGGTCCCCCTAAACGTAGATAAAAGGTACGTAGATCATCGCTAATTTAGAGATAATTTATGTGTAATTTAAAAATATGACTCCAAAGTAAATATTTATAATCGAATGTAAATTTTTTTGAAGATATATTATTCGAAGTGGTGTCTCCGGAGTATACATGTACGGTATCTTAGAGAGGTTAGAAGGTTGGCCCGATGTGGACATGGACCAAATCAGGATTGTCTTCAAGCTCAACCCGAAAAAGTAACCATACGTTTTTTACTAGTTATATTTATATTTAAATGTCAATTTCAACTAGTTCATTTAGTTCATTCAAAAAAAAAAAAAGTGGTTCATTTAGTGAATTTTTTTTTGTGGTTTTGGGATGCGAATTTCAGATTTGATTTTATGGCGATATCCGATGATCGACAGAGAAGCATGCCATCGATGGCAGATCGAGACAATTCTAAGACATTAGCTTACAAAGAAGCTGTTCTTTTGACAAATCCAAGCAACCCTATGTTCAAAGGAGAGGTATATACACATGTTTCTAATATACTCCATATCTAATAATACTTTGCATAATTTGCATCATTCATCTATATTTTTTTTATAATGACTTATATATTTTAATTGAAAAAATCAAATTTATGAGACTGTTCCAAAATAGTCATCGTAAAGAAATGTCTCTTTTTTCATAGAAAAACTATAGTTTTGATTTGATATCTTTGCTAAAACAACACAAAATATTGATTTTAGATGGGGAAATGATTTGGTCATTTGGTGTGACGCAGGTGGATGATAAGTATATGTACTCAATGGAAGACAAAGACAACAATGTGCATGGTTGGATCTCATCTGAACCACCGGTTGGGTTTTGGATGATAACTCCGAGCGATGAGTTCCGTCTTGGTGGCCCCATCAAGCAAGACCTCACCTCTCATGCTGGACCCATCACACTCTCCGTGAGTCCATTTATCATACGTTTTTCTTAATAAAAATACTTAAAACTCCAAAAATCATGATATATAATTAGGTTTTGGTTTTTAATAACATTGTTTCCCTAAAATAATTACGTTTTTGTAGATGTTTACGAGCACGCATTATGCGGGAAAAGAGATGAGAATGGATTATAGAAATGGAGAGCCATGGAAGAAAGTTTTTGGTCCTGTCTTGGTTTATCTCAACTCTGTCTCTCCCAAAGAATCCACTCTTCGTCTCTGGAGAGATGCTAAACGACAGGTTCTTTTTCATATCATTTAAACTAAATGAATCAATTATATAGTTCCTTATATTAACTTATGTTCTTTTAAAAAAAAAAAAACTTATGTTTCTTTTAACTTAGATTGACACTAATATAAAATGGTGAATTACTAATTAATTTGTCGCAGATGGCTGCGGAAGTCAAAAGCTGGCCTTATGATTTTGTAACTTCAGAAGATTTTCCTCTTCGTCATCAAAGAGGAACTATCGAAGGTCAATTCTTAATCAAAGACAGGTAAATAAATTAAACATCCCTTATTTTTTTGTCAAATATAATTTTTACATATTTACGTTCTTCTAGGTTTTAATCTTATATAATGTTGTAGTTACGTGTCAAGGTTAAAGATATATGGAAAATATGCTTTTGTTGGTTTGGCACCAATTGGTGAAGCTGGTTCATGGCAAACCGAATCCAAGGTATATATAATAATAATATTAATAAAACTCATACTTTATACAAATGTATAAATGATTCTTTTTATTGTAATAAATTGTTATAAGTGTGTATTAATTTTTTATTTTTTTGGGGACATAAAAGGGGTATCAATTTTGGACGAAAGCTGACAGAAAAGGGAGATTCATAATAGAGAATGTGAGGGCAGGCAATTATAGTCTCTACGCATGGGGTATTGGTTTTATTGGAGACTATAAGTATGAGCAAAACATTACCATCACGCCAGGTATATATATTTACACACATATGATTATCCATTATAAGCCCATTTTGATCATAGCTAGAGAAGCATGCTTGATCTAACAGTTCACTAAATATTCAATTCACCTTACTCTTTTGGAAAACATTATGATATTTTGGACATTAACACATAAGTGATATCGAATCAATTTATTAGGTTTTGTGTTTTGACTTATGTATATAATAACTACGAACGTTTGTTTAGGTCCATTTTAGACCAACTTTGATCATATGATTAGAGAACCAATCATGCTCTCAAGTTCAAATCCCGATTATTTGTTTGCGTTTGCGTTTATATTTATTTTGGGGTGTGCAGGTAGCGAGATGAATGTAGGACCTATGGTGTATGAACCGCCGAGAAACGGTCCAACATTGTGGGAAATCGGTGTACCGGATCGAACTGCCGGTGAATTCTATATACCGGATCCTTACCCTACACTGATGAATAAGCTTTATGTTAACCCACTTCAAGACAGGTTTGTACTATTATCTTTGTTACGTTTTTTTCATTTTGACCCAATTCAAAACTCCTAATTAATAAGCACATTCAACATAAGCACTAAATTTAAATTATTGCAGATTTAGGCAATATGGATTATGGGATCGTTACGCAGATTTATACCCTCAAAACGATCTTGTCTACACAATCGGTGTAAGTGATTATAGAAGTGATTGGTTCTTTGCACATGTCACAAGGTAAATACATAACTATTTAATTTCTTATTTTTTGATGCTTTTATTCAAATTACATATCCAACTATCTTTATGTCTAATCCTATAGAAACGTTGGTAACGATACATACCAACCAACGACATGGCAAATCATATTCAACCTAAAAAACGTGAACCGGATCGGACTCTACACGCTCCGAATAGCTCTAGCCTCAGCCGCTAGTTCCGAACTACAAATTCGAATCAACGATCCGAAATCCGGTCATATTTTCACAACCGGTTTAATCGGAAAGGACAATGCGATCGCGAGACATGGAATTCATGGGTTATATAGATTGTATAGTATCGACATTGCTGGAAATCTACTAAGTGTTGGTGATAATACAATATATTTAACTCAAACAAGAAGTATAGGAATGTTTCAAGGTGTTATGTATGATTATATTCGTCTTGAAAGTCCTTTTAGAAGTTGAAAAAATAAATTGGATAAGAGTTAAAATAATTTAGTGTAGGAGGTTTAAATTTATTTATTTGGATGTAATATGATGGTGAATGAATATAATAAGACTAAATTAATGTATTAATGTTTATATATGAAGATTGAAATAATAATGTGATCATGGCTTTGAAAAGTGTAAGAAAGGATTAATATTCAATTTCATACAGAGAAAATCATATAGAGAAACACAAGAGATTAAGAGTTTCTCTATGCTATTTAGTTATATTATTTATCTTGACCAAATCTTCTTCTTGGAGTCTCTCTCTTTCCCGACCAGAACTTCTTGTTGTTCCCTTTTAATAATTCTCTTATGAGCCACAGGGACTTGGCTTGATGAACCAGAAGCTGGTCTTGTTGGTCTGACTACTCTCGAGAAAACTTTTGGTGGGTCTGATTTCCTGATCCGTTTCTCCTTCATTTGAGGATCATCACCATTGTTCTCTGTTTCGCCGCTTCTCGAGGCTCTCTTCTTTCTAGTCATCTCATTGAGATTTAATGAATCGTGTCTTTTAGTCTTGAGACGGTTTGATGTTCTCAGGATGTTGTTGTTGGATTCCATATTCTCATTGCCAAAGTTATCTTCTTTGAAGCAAGTTTTCACTTCGTTAGGAGTAGCGTTTGCAACATCAGGGAATTCTCTAGTTGTTGCCATTTGTTGTATATGTTTCTCTTGCTCCTTTAGCCTCATCTCAAGTTCTTTAATCTGCAAAATAACAGACAATTTTTGATACCGGGAATTTGGAAGCACGAAAATCCTGAGCCAATCCATGAAACTAACCTTCTGTCGTAGTAACACTGCTTCTTGGCTTTGCTCGTCTTTGTGTTTTGTCTCCAACTCTTTAATCTGGGACACAATATCGAATAGAAGATCGAGATGGTGAGATTTTACAAATAAAAAGATGAAAAGTTTGAGAATTAAATCAGTCATTCTCCTAACCTTCTGTTGCCACACAAGAGAGTTTCCTTCAGACTCTTTCAACTTATTCTCATAATCCTTAACCTTCTGTTGCCACACAAGGGAGTTTCCTTCGGATTCTTTCAAGTTATTCTCAAGATCCTTAACCTGCAGGCATCATTTTAACAAGTTTCGTAATCCTCAACAAAACATTATGAGATTTGTGTAACAGTCAATATTGATCTCAAGAAACCTTCTGGTGGTAAGTTGCAGAATCTGATTGGTGTCTCTCCCGTAGCTTGCACTCTAGCTCCTTGATCTTTAATGGGAAAAACGATTTCTGTTAGCCATGAATGGTGATCGAGGAAATGTTAAGCAGAAATGAAAAAAAAAAGAGAAGGAACCTTTTGTTGGAGATTGCTACAAATCTCATCTCTGCTCTTTAGTCTTTCTTGAAGCTGTGCATATTGTTTTTCTGATTGGTTGTGGAGTGAATCAAGTTGGTTTTCAAGGTCTTTGTTCTTTTCCTGGAGACTTCTGTATGAGTTGTCTCTTCCTTTGTTCTTACCTTCCAGATTCTGTATGTTATCCTCCAGTTTCTTTATGGATTCATCTTTAGATCGGCTATCTTGCCTTGCTTTCTCCACCTTTAGAAGTTATACAAGAAACAATTAAGGAAAATCTGTGACACAATCCAAAAAGACAAATCTAGGAGGAAAAATAAAATTGCAGAAGCCATACCATTGCTTTCAACTTCTGGATCTCACCGGTATCAACTTGCTTCCTCGCAGGACCCAATTCAACCCCTCTTACACGAGTTGCAAAGCTAAGTGAACTTAGAGTCTCACTTACATCATGCTCAGAGGGACTGATTTGCACAAACATCAGAGTCTTTGAGTCACCTCCTGCATCATTTGCACATACACACTAGATTACCAGAAGCACAGTGTAATCACGGATTGATATTTAAACAAAGGTCATGAAGATTCTTACCCAGTGAATCTTGAAGCAAATGTGTTAATTTTGAGTTCCTGAAAGTTAAAAATTGGAAAGTGTTCAAGCAGTCAAGGTTTATATAAAGCTTCCCACGGAGATGGAGAGACAATTATTGAAGTGATTGAACTAACCTGTATGGAATATGACTACTCTTTGTTGCCAAAGCATAAATCACATCCCCGAGAGCTGAGAGTGACCTGTTGATGTTCTGTGCTTCCTTCAGACGCTCACCTTGCACGTCAGTCTTTGCCAACCTCTCACTTCCGGCTAAATCTACAAGCCAAAGAGTGCTTTTTGTGCAATCACCATTCATCAGGTTCTTTGCTTTTACCATTATAGAGAGCATGCTGCAAAGATTTACTATATTAAACAACACTCATAATAAGACACAAAATGTGGGAAAGGCAAACATTCAAACAAGATAGCAAGAGAGGCATATATGATACCAGTGAGAGCGGCTGCTATGCTCATTCACATTATTGGATCCAACTGATCTTGCATTGCTCCCAGCCTGAAGCACATTCCACACTTCATTTATATTGTCCACTTTTGCTTCTACTAATCCAGGAACATGATGAGACCCATCAGAGGATTGTTTTATCTCCAACCTTGGTAGCAAAAACAACCAAAAAAAATTAAGATCAAGCTCTGTGTAGAGCTTCCGTTTCAATACTTATTTGTTTAGGATTTAATTAGTTTGAGAATTCTTACTTCTTTGACCCAGGTGATGTTGCCAACAAGTCTCTTATCTGTTCATTGTAAACCTCAAGGACACTAACAGATATGTTATATGAAATTGTCTCTCTCCTTTCTCTAGCAACTTCAAATAATTGCTCGACAGTTCTATAGTTGACACCCCTGTTCTGTGGAGTACCTTCCATTGTAAACGTCTTTCCTGTTCCTGTTTGTCCGTAGGCAAAAATACAAACATTGTAGCCGTCTAGGACTGAAACAACCATAGGAGAAGCATCGGCAAAGACATCAACTGCAGATGAAAGATAGAAACTTCATTAATTATTAGTGTTATTTGTACTTAATGATCTAACTTGACCATGGCATATCACAGTACCTTGACCATCTTTCGGTGTATAAACTCTGTCAAACTTGAAACTTTTCTTGGAATTATTTCCTGTAATAACACCAAGCTCTCCATCTTTTGCTCCATCAAAGTCAACAATTGTGGCAGACTTAGTTGATGTCTCCTCCTTATTCAAAGGGCGGCAGCGACAAAAGACCCTAATATTGCCTGATATAATAATGCTGCTATCAGTAAGTTATTAAAGTATGATGTAAAGAAGCTAAAGCAAATCAATCTGATAAGATTCATTGCCTTTAGTCTCTTGTATATGGTTGTACAGCTCCTTTCGCTTTGCTTGCTCTTCACTGTACTTCTGCTTGAGATCCTCGCACTGTGAAACTGTTTTACGAGTTGATATTGTATTAGTTCATCAAATTTCCCTTTTAAATCCCATCTTCAGACCAAATGAGTGGAGGTAATAAACTCACCTAGTGCCTGAACTCCATCAACCATTTTATACAATTCCGGGATCCCTTCCACGCATTCATGTGCTTCCTGTGATAGCTGAGATTGTTCCCTTTTCATTATCTGCAGAGCAACAGTTTCATAAGTTCCACAAATAAATTATTTAAAAACAGATATATTGGAGAGAAGCTCTGACAGCTACCTGAATTTTCTCATGCAGAGTAACAATTGCTTTGGCCCAATGTCTCTTTTCATTCTCATACTTGCTAGTGATACTCTTCAAACAATCAGCTTGTGTTACCACAGTTTGGTCTGTTTCAAGTAAGAAAACCTCGGTCAAAAAAAAGATATAACAGTAACAAATTTGGATTGACATTGATGGGAATTTTTCTCAGTTTCACCCAACATTTCATGTATGACGAGTTCATTACCTAGAGAGCGTGCCTCATACATCTTATTGTCGAGTTCCATCAACACTTTCTCTAGTTGCTCATTGGCAGAGGTCAGTGACATCCATGCTTCATGGCACTCATTTGTCTTATGTTCGTATCGTTCAGAAAGCTCTGCTATCTTCTTCTCATACTTGTCATGAGCTTTGGCTCGCATAAGTCTCTTCTACTCAAATATCAACACAAATAAAGAAGAAGCTCAGGTAATCCATAACACTTATATTTTTAGGAAATAAGAACCAGCAGACTAGTTAAACAGTACCCGAGTAGGAGAAATTTCTATTTCGGTAGCACAATTCTCACACTTAATATAATCTTGTGATGTCCTTGGAACTGTAAAGTAATGCAACGAATGAGTTGGAAACAGAAAACTTTGAGATTCCCTTAACAAGTTAAAAACAAGCACAAGAGAAGAGCCCTTACCTGAAACCTGTGGCGCTTTCCTCAGACAAATCCCACAAACCACTGGACTTCCATTTATTCCTTCAAACCTTACCCTAATCAATCCATCATCCATTACCATGACCCTTAAGTCAACCAACAGAAGTGGCCTATTTGCGCCAACAACCGAGAAGATATCAAACTCAGCTAACACCTGAAACATAAGAAAAACACTTCTTTCAGCATTTACACAATCTCATATTCATAACTACATGAAATTAAAAACACCATCTTCAGTTGGTCTACTTGCCTTCTCATCTTGAACATAGACATTGAAAACCCTTATCCCTTTAGGTCCATTGGTATTAATAATCTCCGCGAAATGGAAATCGATCAAGTACTCTCCAGGAAGAAGATTGTTTAACCGGTAACAAAAGTTCCCAACACGTGCTGACTGATAAATGAACGGAAAGTCTCCAGCTTCAACTATAGACTCTTCTGTTCTAAGCACATCTCCTCCTTCGAAATAGTTATCTCTGAGGATATTCAATTCAGAATCTAATACCTTTGAATCATCTCCTCCAGCATTTATGAACATAATTGTCTCATCTGCTAAACACCAATAACAAAAATCAATCCCTCAATACATAACTTTCATTGAAATTTCTCGGGTTCACTAAATTAGGAGAAACGAAACCCTAGGGTTTAACACTAAGTAATCGGGTAAAAGAATCAGATCCAAAACCCAAGATCAAACTCGATTTTGTAAAATTGAAATCGAAATTGAGAGAATCGAACCTGTGCGATTAGGTCTTGTGAAGCCAGTGGGAACCAGTCTTGAATTCGGATCGCACACCATGGAATCGCCCAAAGAATCATCACAGTCATCAATGGAAGTATCTCCGATCTCTAATTTCTCTGTTTCATCACTAACGAAATCGAAATTAGGTATCTCCGGTGAACAAAGTGACGTGACATTTGGATCCACCGGAACTGTAGCGTCGATCTGAACATCTTCCATTATGAAATCGAAACGATTTCTTGAAATCCCAAAAGCAAATCGTTTCTCTGTTTGATAGATCAAGAAATTGAAAAGCTTAATGCAGAGAAAGATAAAAGAGAGAGAGAGAGAGAGAGATAAGAGAAAGGCGTGACCGGAGGAATTATTTGATTTTCCTTTTCTGCGTTTTGTGTTTAAATTTTGAAATCTCTGAAGACGACCGTTAATATTGTTTTTGTGTTACCGTTAACGTTGAACCCCGTAAAGTTTACATGGGCCTTCACTTTTTTAATGGGCCAATATTCGTATTAAACCAAACCGAACAAATCAGACCGGCAAAACGAATCGTAAACCGGTATTGTATTGGTTAAACGGCAAAATGAATCAACCGGTATTGGTATGACTTGGAAGTTGGAACTTTTTGGCTGTTGTTGACTTGTTGTATTCGGGTATTGGTAAACCGGCAAAATGAATCGTAAACCGGCAAAATGAATCTTAAACCGGTATTGGTAAACCGGCAAAATGCTAGTTCTAGATAACAACATTCTAACGAGCAACAAGTGCTAGTTTTCAAAAACCAGTCACAAAAAATAAGGCTGGAGTTTTGGGAATAGACACAAAACGAAACAAACCAAAAGTAGTTGCAAACACACAATCATTGATCATCAAGGATTGACTCGATCAAAGACATCGCTGTGCGGGTTTGCTCAGGATTCCCGGAGATTATTAAGACCGTCGCTTCAATTCCTGTAGGATCCTTCACATCCACTCTGGCTCCTGAAATCTGTAAGTTTGCAAGAACTCTCAATCAACTTCATTGTCTAGCATCTTATGGGATATATTGAAAGAAGGTATGATTTATGTACCTGTCGTAGATTATCCACACCGGTGCCATCTCTGCCATAGAGTGAACCAAGAGCATCTTTCTCGACGGTTAACTCCAAGGTGATTTTTCTCACATATACACCTTTACTTCTGCTTCAAAACAAAAACCAACTCTGTTTTAATATTTAACGAGAATGATTGTTAACAACATGGAACCGTTGTTGTTTGGCAAGAACAGACCGTTGTGGTAAAGAAGAGACGTCTCCATTCCTAGACATCTGAAGCTGTTTCATTCCCTGTGTCAAGTCATCCTCCAGCAAACTTTGTGGAAGTGTAAGGCCTTTGAGTTCATCCACCTCTTTAAGGACCTCGGTGTGCATTACAGAATTCGATTTCATTACTTCTGCACCGCTTCTGACCATCTTCGAGTTTTGTTCACCATCTGATACCGAGAGAGAATCACCTCTGCCTGCGTTCTGCGGTTTTGCTAAATTAGATTAGATGGAAGCAATTAAACTTCAGCTTGGAGGAAAGAAACCCACTTACTTGTTTTGATTGTTGCAGATTATAAATCTGGCTTGTTCCTGCACTTTCATATGGATTACTAACTCTAGCTCTCATTTCTCCGAGGACCTTCTTTGGCAATAGATTTTCCCGTAATTTAGATGAAACATGAGTCAAGGCCTTCTGTACATGACTATACTCTCCCTTAATCTAAAAACAATCAGAGAATCAAAAGGAGCAAATCTCGGTTGATTGTGCAATGTCCTCATCTCTAATGGAAAAAAACTTAAAATGATTACAAGAAAACACGCACTTACCTCAATCACCACTTCATTTTCTGAGATCCACTCTAAAATCTGGTTGCCTACTGGAATGTGTACATCAGCACCAGTTGCTATGATTGCTTCTCTGTTTCCGTTTCCCATTAAGCTGTTAGCGAATTGCGATGGTACCAACAACTTGGTTTTCACTACAGCACCATTGTGCAATCCCGGACGCAGACCTTTCTCAACATCAATCTCAACAGATCTTGCAAAGACAAGAGCCAGAGCATTTTGTGCATGAGAGTACCGTGACTCGAGGTTCTAAAGAAAAAAAAACAAAGCGAATGTGATTATGTCAACAAAGAAACTCGGATAAACAGATAGCAGCAAGCATGAGAATAGAAACCTATACCTCACGTGCAGAAATAGTAACAACTCGCTCACCGGATACTTTCAATGGAGCTCCAATCGAAATAGAAGCACCTGTTTCATTCTGCAGAGCTCTGATAATAGTTCCTTGTTTCCCAATAATGCCTCCAGCTACAACACACGTGAAGATTATCTTGAACACAACTTTTCGTTCTGTACCATTTCCTTCATCATACACCGCTGGTAAATGTCTATTCGACGTAGCAGAATCTGAAGCATTAGGCACCGAAGAACGCAGGTTTGGGAAAAACTCAGAATGTGGATCCTCTGAGTTCCCATCAGTAGATGACTCGTAAGCTTTGATGCAAAGCGGCTGTGGATACCCGTTGACAGGTGGATTATCTTGAATACAAGTCGATACCATAACTAGTGCCTTCTTCACAGCCAAGACATCACCAGTAATCTAACACACAAAGAAGTCACATTCACAAATCAAAAACCAAAAAAAAAAAAACAAATTTACCAACTTTTTCGATTTTTACATACATCACCACAATGTTACTGCTTCTACTTCTACTTCTTCAACACTAAACCCAGAAATTTCAAAAAGCTAAAGACTTTAAAGTTTTAGTTTTACCCTAACCTGAATGAGTTCATCAGTGTTAGTGCCGCAAATCGGAGGAGGCAAAACCCTAATCATGGCACCAGAACTTCTCCGCATCCACTCCACATTCTTCCCACCCAAACCCAAAACAGCACCAATCTGATTCCGATCAGCCAAAATCCCACAATAAGCTTCTTCATCCTCACCATCAACAACTCCGCCGCCATCCTTCGCCGCTAAAACAACCCATGATCTCTCCAAAACCCTAATCAACGCCGTCTGAGCAGCGGAAACTTCACAAGTCACCCAATCTTCGTGTTCACCGCCGGAGAAATCTCCGACTCTATCAGTCAATAGAACACTTTTGTTAACAGCGGTTGAACCAACGATGAAGACAACCCAGTGATCGGAGCCGTTAACCGGAGACTCGCAATGGATTTTTGTACCGGTTTCACGACGGAGTTTGGAAACAACGTAACCATTTGAACCGATTATACCGCCGATTACTGACGCGTGGCAGACTACTCGTATCGCTGTCTCGTCTGGTAACACGTGAATCACCGGACGCCGTTTCGATACGGCGGTTGTTACTCCACGGCGGTTATTCATGGCGGCGCAATTTAGTGAAACGACTCTTCGTTGAAGTCACGGTTAAGTAAGCGGGAACGAGAAAACGCTAAAGATCAGTTTTTTTTTTTGTAGAGAGAGTTAAAAAGAGTAAAAAACGCGATTTGATTTTACTTAGGACGCGTGAATCTCTGAAAATCACCACGATTTTCGCAGAGATTTTATATCAGTATAGTTTTAGAAAAGGAAAGGTTAATGGGAGAAGGAAATTGACAATCTTAAATTCGATTTTTTAAAAACGTTCACTTAGGGCGATTGTGATTGAGCGTATCTAAACGCAAACGCTAAACACATGCATTTATTTGTGTACCCGTCGCAAGTGTGGTGTTTACGGATGATTGCTAGAGAACCAATCAACTTTTAAGTTTTTTTCCAACATAATTAGTCCGATATAAATCTAATCAACAATAAAAGATGTAATCTAGTAACTTGAACTCTTTCAAATTCAATTTGATGTTTACTTTGAATAACCGTTTTCCAAAATTTAAGTTATGGTTTTTCCCTTCTTTTTTTTTATAAACATTAGTTTCTACTTTCTCGTTTGTAGAACTCTCTCGCAATTGCATTAGCTAGAAAATCCGCGATAATCGTTTTTAATTGATGCGGTCCAGATCACGATCTTAGAAAGATTACAATAATATGTCTTTATACTTCAACATTTTTTTTCTAAAATAGAAACATGGTACATCAAGTGGGAATCATGGATTCCTTACAAACAAAGGAAACTGGACAAAGAAGATCACTCTTTATTATCAATGATTAACTAAAAGTAGACACCTTTTCTTAGTTTCGGTCCGACCATCTTGTTTAGGCTTTCTCAGTTAGTCAATGTCCACATTAGTAGACACCTCTGCCTTAGATTGGTTTCACAATTTTGCTCGATGTTCTTACTAATATAAGAAGATAAATTGTTACTAAATAAAATGTGCAACAAATGACAAGTTAATTTTTTATGTCTTATTAAAAACTTGAACATTTCAAAACATCATAATATTATACATTGATCATCCTTGCAACACTTGATCACATTCCATTATTATAAGTATCACAAGTTCATTCAATTAACCCGCCATTGGATCAAGACTCCATGCTCAAAGTTAACGATGAGCAACGAGATAATCCAAGAATGAATCCACATAACGATCTTGTCTATCCATGTCTCCAAAGACTCCTTTCATCTCCTTCACATTCTCTCTATAAACCTCTCCTTCGTCTTCCTCCATTACCAATCTTAGCGATTTCGCAACACTTTCTTTAGTAAAGAAACCTTCTGTCTCATCCCGAGGGATCATATAACCAATTTTCTTCTCTTCGATTACTCTAGCATTCAAACCTTGGTCGTACACAAAAACCAGCATTACCATCGGTTTAGCAAACCGGATAGCTTCAATTATTGTTCCCCAACCGGGATGAGTTAGAACCAAACCGATCGAGTCATGGCTCAATGTTCTCAATTGCTCAACCCAACCTCTCCACACCATACCTCTATCCGCTGTACGCTCCTCGAATCCTTCCGGAAGCTCAACCGGTTCGGTATCCCACGGACCACGCCGAGTTCTTTAACACCCAGAAGAATGGTAAACCGGAAAGCTCTAAACCGAGAGCGATCTCATTCAGCTCCGTTTGACTCGGTTTAGCTTCTGAACCAAAAGCTACGTAAACAACGGACTTACTTTTCCGTGAGTCCAACCACTTTTTAACGGTCAGCCACGTGTCGGTATCTTCAAACTTTTCTTCCGGTTTTGGAGGTAAAACTCCCACCGGTATAACCGGTCTCCGGTGAAGATCTTGCATAAGTCCTAACCACTCTGCTTCATACTCGTAACAGCTTCGTACGAAGATGACGTCACAGCCGTCAATTACGCCGCCGACACGGTGGATGTCGGGAATATTCCCTTCGGTGGTTTCCGCCATGAATCCTTTGAAAATGTACCGGCATTCGAATAACTTGAAAGCTACCGGAGTTTCGAACGGAACCCACTTAGGCGGCTTCATAAAATCCGCCGGAGAAGTACGGTACTCTTCGAACCCCGGCGGTTTAAGAATCCCGAGAGTCGCGCCATTAAAAGCGCTAAAGAATCCGGTTTTGATTCCGAGACGACGAGAGATTGGAGGAAGCCAAAACGCCGCGAAATCTTGAAGAACCCAATCGGGTTTCGAAGATTCAAGAAACTCCGTCACCGGAACTTTTAACCCGTCGAAAGCGATTTTTAAGTAAGGTATTAGTTCGAAAGGCACGTCGGTGGTAGCTTCACCGTCTTCCGGGAGTTTATTGTCGCCGACGGGAAGTGGGAGCTTGACGAAGTTAATGACGGAGGAGAGATTTTCCGGCAACCGTGGGAGGAGACGATCGATGTTACGTGGAGTGGAGATGAAAGAAACAGTGTGACCCTTTTGAGCTATGAGCTTAGAGAGCTCCAAATATGGAACCATATGACCAAAGGCTAACCATGGAAACATTACCACGTGGAGCTTTGTTTCATCTCCATCGTTGTTTTTGAAGTTTGTCATTGTCACTCTGATAATATCGAACTCTTGACTATATCCATTTATAGGCAAGCGGAAAGATATTTACGAAATCTCAGTGGGGACGTGGTTATTTATAACATCATACGATAAAAGTACAGTTTTTTTATTTCATGTGATTGTGAAAGCAGATGTTGTAGGTGAACAATGAACGGCTGAGATTAACTTAGGTTGGTAACTGGTAAGACGTGTGGTAAAATTTGGACACACAACACAAGACAACCATTTGTGTTATGGTTTGAGATCATTTCAATTTTCAACTGATGGTTTAAAAGTTATGTAAATCTTGAGTTATCATTATACAGTTCTCTAGAAAAAGCGAGAAAATTTCCCAAAAAAAAAATACAAAGGAAGAGTTATTGAAAATGGAGGTGCGGGGAATCGAACCCCGTGCCTCTCGCATGCGAAGCGAGCGCTCTACCATATGAGCTACACCCCCAATTGCTAAAATTGTTATTTTTATTAGTTTATTAAACAAAACTTTTTATTTCTGAAAATTGTATAAACAAATAACATTACCAGAACTTGCTTCGCATTTCTCGTCTACGTAGAAAATTTTGATCCAGTTTTCTCAATTTCTTCAAAACTCGTATCGATATGGCGAATCATGAAACGATTTTCGATCAGTTAAAGAAGCAGATACCAGTTGATGAAGAAGAATCTCTGATTTTGAATCGAGATTCGAGCGTTGGTCTCGTCATCGTTGACGTTGTTAATGGCTTCTGTACAATTGGCTCCGGCAATATGGTTTGCTTCAATTTCTCGAAAAGTTTGTGACTTTGGTTGTTTTTTTTCTTAATGTCTTCCAAGTGTTTGTGATATTGCTTAAGTCAAACGTTTTTTTTAACGAATTGATATAATTTCTCGGAAAAATTGTGACTTTGTTTGTTTTTGTTTCTTAATGTCTTCCAACTGTTTGTGAATTTGCCTCAGTGAAGTTGTTTGACTTGTGATTATGCAGGCTCCAACAAAGCATAATGAACAAATATCGAAAATGGTGGAGGAAAGTGCAAAGCTTGCTAGAGAGTTCTGTGATCGGAAATGGCCGGTTTTGGCGTTTATTGACTCTCATCATCCAGATATTCCGGAGATACCTTATCCTCCTCATTGTATTATAGGAACTGAAGAAGCAGAACTTGTTCCTGGTATTGTAGCTCTGTTAATGTCTTTGTTTGATTCTATAACCGGTGAAGATAGTGTCTTGATTTCTTTCTTCTTTTGATAATAATGAATCAGCTCTTAAATGGCTTGAAAGTGAGAATTTTGCCACTCTTAGGCGAAAAGATTGTATTGATGGGTTTGTGGGTTCGATGGAGAAAGATGGTTCTAATGTTTTTGTGGATTGGGTTAAGGAAAAACAGATCAAAGTTGTAAGTTTTTCTTTTGATGATATGATCAGTTATGTTAAACAAGTTTACTGCTTTTCGACAAATCTTTAACTTTCTTGAACATCCCTATGCTTTGGGGATTTAAAGATTGTGGTTGTAGGTATCTGTACAGACATATGTGTGTTTGATTTTGTGGCTACTGCACTCTCTGCCCGAAACCACGGTGTTCTTTCTCCTTTAGAAGATGTGGTAGTTTACTCGCGTGGCTGCGCTACTTTTGACCTTCCTCTTCATGTTGCGAAAGCTATCAAAGGCGCTCAGGCTCATCCTCAGGTGAAATGTCTGATGCTTCTGAAATTAGCATGTTTTTTTTTTTTTTTTCTGGTCAACCGGTTCATCTTCTTATTCTTCTGTTGTGTTTTCTTTGTATCAGGAGTTGATGCACCATGTAGGTCTATATATGGCTAAAGGAAGAGGAGCTAAGGTAGTCTCTAAAATTTCTTTTGAGACTTGAAAGACTAAACATAACACTCTTGATATCAAATATTTCAGTAAATTGTTGAGTTTTCCTCTCTCTCTTTTTCGTGTAAATTGTTCATGAAGCTTGTTCTCTGAAGACCAACTCTTGTGTAACTGTTTCAGAAATGACAAATAATATGAGTTTCTCATCTGTCTAAATGAAATTTTCACTCTGATTTTACACAGTTTTGAGAAATAATGGCTCTTAGATTCTTAGCATAGTCTCATAGGATTGTTGCAGAACTATTGTCTATTTTCATGAAAGCTTGTTCACTGATAATTAAGCATAACTGTTGCAGAATGACATAATTTATTCCTCATCTGATAATGGCTCTCACAGTAGTATAGTCTCATAAGGTTATTGGAGAACTGTTGGTTATTTTTGTACCATTATGAAAATACAATATATCACAAACTCTGTTTCTTGTAATGGTTCTGAACATACAAATTTTGATGAAGAAAAAGAAAATGTAAAAAGCCTGAAGACATTCTCCTCTTGCTTCACCAGTTACAAACTGTGAACAATCTACAATACTCAAAAAGGATATTACCAACACACAAATGCTATTGTTTCAATCTCGCAAACCGAAAATAAAAAGAGGGATTGGGGGATAAAAACAGGTCAATCTCCCCAAGGAAAATACAGGTAAAAAAGACACGAATGAATCAAATCCTCCATGAATCTGATAAATTACAGTATACGAATCAATTAACTCTCTGGATAGTATGAAGTATATAATATGTAAATGTTACCTATGTAGAAGTCTTCATCTTTCTATATAGTGAGGGATGCATGCAGGAGAATATGGACGGCTTTGCTCTCTTCTGTTTGGAGCCAAAGATGAATGACCTTAAGGGTACTCTTGAGCGGCTATCTGAATGCTGGAGATCAAGATCAGATTTGTTCTTTGAACCCGAAAGAGCAAACTCCTCTATCAGCTTTCCTAGAGTCTTGTCAACCTCGAGTTGAAGCGTGGTAATGTGATCTAACCCGGCCTGTAACTCGTCTGCCACTTTGTTGTTCTCCTGCTTCATGTTCAACACCTCACCTTGAAATTTAGCAGCTTGATAGCTTGTGAATCTGAAATCATCGTCTTCAGCACTTGACTTCAGGGCTTTTGTTATCTCATCCTGTATGTTACACAACGACTCAAATCTGGATTTCAGTTCCTCTTTCAAGGAAGCACCTTTCTCCAGCCAGAGCCCCAGGTCTGTGTTTATTTCCCTTAAGTGTACATACAGTGGTCGAACATCTGATCTCAGGGCATATTTGGCTGTGCTGCTTCCATCTTGCTTTCTTCTTTGCTCGAGCTTTGATATCTCGGCTTGTAAATCTTCGATTGAAGTGTCGTAGCTCTGTATCTGTCCAAATGCTGTGCTGAACCTTAACCAGAAATCCAAATTCTCTTCTAGAAGCTCATCAATATTCAACCTGAACTGTTCCTCAACCAGGGACATGTTCTGGTTTTCTGCAGCCATGAATCCGATGGAATAGTCGTCGTTTGACAATTGGTTTTCCATCAAGTCATTGCTGTCTCCTAGACCCTTTTGCAGGAGGCTCATTTTCTCTCTTAGTAACTTGATCTCATCATCTTTTGTCGCATTTTCTGTCTTCATCTTTGTCTTGGTTTCGTCCAAAGTTTTCTTCATATCCTTGTAGTTCCGGAGAATTGCTGTGTACTCTGTAAGCAAATGCTTTTCCCTGTTTTCCATTCCCTTCATGAACATCTCTTTCCAATCTGGTTCACTTTCTTTCTCCTTTTGAACCTCTTGTTGTTCACTATTGAACGTGATATCAGATTCTTTAGAAGATATCTCCTTCTCTAAAACATTACTCGGCACAGAATCTGTCTTATCAGATGCACCTTGCTTCTCCGAAACATTATTAAGAACAGAATCTGTCTCATCAGATGCACCTTGCTTCTCAAAAACATTATCAAGAACAGAATCTGTCTTATCAGATGCAGCTTGCTTCTCTGAATCAGAATCTACTTTTTCAGTAGATTTCAAAACAGTTTCTGGATTTTCACTTGGGATGATAGTGTCTTCTGCTTCTATTGTCGCATTGCGGGTCTGCTCGAATTTTACACTCTTCTCAGGTGCTTCTTTCTTCTCCTCACCCATTTCCTTTTGATGTTCCTTTGTCTCTTCACTGATGTCTAAAGTCCTCTTCTCACCTTCCAGATCTTTCTGCGATTCCATATCCATCGCCAAGTTACCAGACTCGCTGTCTGGTTTCACCTCATGCAGGTTCCCACCAGAGAGGTTATCGAGGTTATGACAAGCGTCATCAAAATGTGTCTGCAGGTTGCTACTCTTCTCCAAAACATTTCTGTCCAAATCCTGCAATGCCTTGAGTTTCTCTTCCATTTCCCTCAGCTTATTCCTCAGATCACTCTTGTCGTCTGCTAACAACGCCTTATCTGTCTCCAGAGTACTGATCTGTGTCTGAAGACCGTTGGTCTCGTTTCTTAGTCTCTGTATCAAAGCAGTCTGCGAGGAAACCGCACTCTCCAAGCTAATCACTTTGTTCACAAGCTCATCGACTTTCTCAGCCATATCTGTCGCGTTATGCGATGAATTCGCACCAGACTCAAAATGTTCTCTAATCTTCTCCTTTACAGATTCCAACTCTTTCTTCTTCCTAGACATCTCTTTGATCTCATGCTCCAACTCTTCTGTTCTTCTAACTTCATCACCATCGTCTTTTGCAAAGACACTTTCGTCTCCTAAAAACTGGCTTGCCATAGATCTTAGCTTCTCTTTAGACTCCTTAATCTTCACATGCTCTTCTCTAGCTTCTTCATAAGACTTCTCTTGCTTCTCCTGCAACTCCACTAGCTTCTCCTGACAAGACTTTATCGCAGTCTCGGTCATCAATCTCCGAGCTTCATCGTCTTCAATCGCAACACTCTCACCAAACTCATCCTGCAAACCACAGATCCTCTCTTGTTTCTCCTTAATACCCTTTTCAAACTCCCAATACTTAGACAAACCTATCTCGTAAGAGCTCTTCACAAACTCCTTCTCCGTCTGCAAGGCCAAAATCTCCTTCTGCAACTTATCAATCTCCCCCATCGCCTCGGGCTTACTCAAACCCGAGCTCTTAACAACCACATTCGTAGAACCACCCGTGTACTTCATAGATTTCCTCGGCTGGAGCTTCTTCGTAGCCACTTTAACCGCGCTCTTCAAATCCTTAACAGGCAATTTCGGAACATTAGGGACATTAGCACCAGAAATATTCGATCTTTTGGCGAATTTAGACACATCATCATCATCATCCATGGCAAAGTTTGGGACTTGGTCAGGAAAAACAGAGGCGATGGTCGTGTTAGCATTTTGAAGCTCTGTAGAAATATGATCATAACGTTCAGCTAAAGCTCTATAAGCTCTATAAGATTCTTCAACAAAACTAATGAGCTCTGGTCTCTTCTTGTAATACATCTCTGCACGCTTGGCAAACGAATCTCCATCTTCTTGTAACAGCTTCAACACATATTGAACCTTCTCTTCAATATCTATAAATTCATATCCAAAACAAAAATCCTTTTAGATCAACCTCAAAGATCTCAACTTTTCTTTAAATCAATACAATCAAACACATATAGAGATAGAGAGAGAAATGGATGAAAAAAGGAGAGACCTTGAAGGTTTTGTTCGAGCCATTTAGATTGTTTGGTTCGAATATGACTCGCCCACCACCATGAATACGCATTACTCGCAGCTCTCTGCAGCATCGTCGTAAAGTTTTAGTTTTTGTTGATCCTTCTCATTCAAATTCTATATGTGTGTGAACACTTTTTAACAATCTCTCTCTTTCTCTATAGATCTTCTTAATAAGAAAAGAAAAAAAGGAAATTTTTCTCGAGAAAGAAAGAGAAAAGTTTCGGTTTTTAGATTAGACCCACAAAGAAACTTAAAGGTCTTTTTTGGTTGTAAATCAAAATCAAATTGAGGAAAGAACGTGCAACAATTGAATCTGCTTTTTTAATTTTCTGAGAGAGAGAGAGAGATAATGGGTGGGAGCAAACTTCGCTATTCTTCCTCTCTCTACCTTAATATTTTGGTAAAAGATTTTTGAGACTATTATTTATTGCTGAATTTGTTAAAAAAGTTCAATATTTGATTTATACGAATGTTGTTATATAGTGCCAGCGTCGTGGTCGGAGAAGTCGAGAAGCATTCTCTTCCGATTATTCTTCTGTATCAAACGTTACAGAACATGTCAGAAATATAAATTTATTAAATTAAATTAATCTGACAAAGAATCTTAGTGAATAAAGGAAGAAAAAGGAATGTGAAAATGTCGTTTTGTGTAATAAAAAGTTGTAAAGATGTTGAAGCAAAGAATTAATCATTAAGTAATTGAATCTTAAATAACCTTTTTCCACTTTGTGACGATTTAACCATAACACCGGACACGTTATGATGAACCGGTCAAAGGTCGGTGTGTCACGATCCGACCAGAACCTTCTTTCTTGTCCAAAGTATCTCTAAAACGTTCAAACCTCATACATGGAAATTGATAAAGTATTTTTTTCCTACACTAAAAAAAAAGACGAATTATGTAATTACCTTTCCAAAAATATATATAAAAAAATAAAATAATAATAGTTCATGGTCTAATAAAAATAATTTTTGATATAGATTGCTAATTTGAAAAAAATATGAAATTATTTTAAAAGTTTTCTGCAAAACAAAACTGTTTAAGTTGTCATTTTTTTACTTTATCTTTCATATATAAAAAATAGAAGTCATTTTCGCGAAGTCAAAAGTAATTCGCATAATAACTATTTTTTATCACCGTCAAGTTTATAATTTTTTTATAAATAATATATCAAAGTGTAATGATTTTTGATTTCGTATGATTAGTCTGTATTTTTTTAAAGATATATGATAAAATTGCAAAGACAATTTGATTTTTTTTTTTTTTTTTGCAGAAACACTTTTTATAGTAATTAATTAATAAATCTTTGCAATTGCCTTCTTTCAATTCTCTTTAATGATACAAGAAAAAAACGTGTTAAAAAAAACGATAAAGGGCTATATAATAGGGCTTCCACACTAAAGCCACATGCCAGAAAGTCGATATAATTGGGCCTCTCTAACAAAATAATGGGCTTATATTACGACGCAAAGTGGGGGATATAACTAATACAAAAGAAGTGAAGCAATATCAGCCAGGCAGCCACAATAGCTTCTTTCAGAGACCAAGATTCACAAGCCAACACAACGCCGTAGAAACTAGACAAAACATCAGACCGAAACGTCATGTCGAGGATCGATGCACCGGTTCAAGGGAATGGAACAGCTATAACGAGCATTAGCCCTAGCCATTGGAACTCTTCCACTGGTCCAGCTTTCTCTTTAGAACTTTTGAATAATATTTTCAAGCAATCTAGAAGCATTTCGGCTCTTACTCGCCAAGAAAGACTCAAACTTTTTGAGGTAAAGTACGATGAAAGGAACGAACGGGAAGTCGAACCATATTTTGCTGAAAAAATCCAAAATCAGCTTCACTTTTTGTTGTTTACATAATGAAACGTATGAATATGGATTGAAACTTTGCTTCTAACTTAACGTCATAGAATTCAATCTCATCCAACCCCACAGATCCAACTAAACAACAGAAATGTGTTCCTTAAAACAATACACATTGCAATTGTCACACACACACAAGTTATATCGTCATTCACCATAATCACCAATGAAGACTCTTGAAAAACTCTGCTCTAAGAAAACTTGTTAAACTTTGTAATATAGACTCAACAAAAACAACAGAAATGTGTTCGAATTCACACTTTTGTAACACCAAAATCTCTAATGAGACTAAGTCCTATGATGATCAGTTATTTCAGGCATCACTAAATTATATTTTTGATCCCTAAGCAAGAGTAGATCGATAATCAAAATTCTACAATACTTCATTTTCCAACCTTCCATGTCAATACAGTTTGTTGGTGACAAACGTCACAAACCAGAAATGCAGTGAAGAGATATCAAATATAGTGAAAATCATAAAATAGGAAAGCCTCTTCTGCAAACAGAAACTTACAACAAACATTTAAGATTTTACTATTTAGACATTGTCTCTTGTTATTACCGCGCGAGTTAAAAAAAGATTTACATTACTCTCCTCCCTCCATCATCAACTTCTTTGAATTGTCCCATCTCTAACCACCATACGGTAACCTGCACAACACCAAGCATTAAATCCGTTACTTCTTAATTTTTAGAGTGATAAAGCTTAGATGATTATATTTAGGGCCAAAAAATTAAATAAAAAAAAAAAGACAAACCACATAAATACTAAGTGGTATATTTTTTTGTGCATGTAAACAAATAGTAAGATATCCGAGAGAAATAACAATGTTTATCAAAAGCATATAAATATAAATGATCCAACTTACTTACGATTTTGTCATCCATTTTTTGCATTGTAAATAAATAGCCAACATATATAGTCGTTTGGTGCTTAAATTATTATTAAATAAAGAGAATGGAAAAAAGAAAAGAAAGGGTGAATAATTTGTTACCCGAGCCTAAGGGAAGTATCGGAGCTCTCGGAGTCAACAGGTGCTCCGGTGGAGTTTCCAGCGTTAGTAATAGACTCCGACGAGTGTCCTTCCTCGTACACAGCGGCGTTCTCAGATTCAGCGGTACCACCGTATTCATGCACATTATTGCATATCTACACCGAAACCAACAAATATTCCAAATTTAACATTAAACCGAAAGAAAACATACAAAACTCAAAATAATCAAGATTATATATCCACGTACTTGCATGCCAAGTCGCTCGTTCTCTTCCGTTAGTTGCGTTCCCTGCAAAAATAAAGACAAAAGTTCTCTAATTATTTGCATTTTGGCACCATGCATGTGTTTTGAATTTCTCTAGAGATCAAATTACAAATGAGCAAATCTTGACATGAAGTCTCAACCAAACAATATAAAACAAGAATTAGATTCATTTCCGGTTCCATGTTTCATAAAACTAATAAAAAAAGAATATGAAGACGAAAAGGAAAAAAACGAACCAAAACCATGCACACTCCTACCTCTAGGACCTTAGGGACTAACTAAGTAGCTACATGGTTACCGTATGATTAAAGATATGTGTTATAGACAATCAGGTTCTGTAGCTTAGTAATTCATAATCCGAGTTAAATTCAGGAGTGTGAATTGTTAGACAAAAAAATAAAAAGATTTGATATAAACGGAGGGTAAGATACGTACTTGCTGCCTCAACCGCTTGTTCTCATCCATCAATTGCATTCCCTGAACACCAAAAAAAGAAAAGAATATGATATTGTTGGCTCTTGAAACTGCCAAAATTTAATTTATATTGAAATCAAGAAGTAAAGAATAAACGTTATTTTGATTATTTCTTACCTTTTTCTGAAGTTCGCTGATCTCATTCATAATCTTGTCACTCTGCAACACATCTCGTATTAGTAAATTGCATATATACTCGTAAGCTTAGAGAAATCTTTTACATGGTATCATGTAATTTTCTTAACAACCTTCGTTTCAATCACACGGGTCAAACCAGTTTCAAGGGCCTTCTCTAGCTGTTGCAGCTCTTCAATATCAAGTCCTTGAAGTTCCTCTCCTCTCATTTGCCTATATATGATCATATAAACACATATAGTTAGAAAATGATAGTTAGTTCATAATTCATGGAATTTACATAGATAATGTACCTTAGTCGGTGGCTCTTGTCCGCAATTTCTTTACTCATTCGGGCGTGATCACTGTTCTCAACCAACTAACAGAATAAACATTGACTTAAGCTCTTAATCATATCCATAATGCTAAAAAATAATATTGGTAATCTAACGGAGCAATACTCTATTTTGTAAGTTACAGGAAAATGTAGCTAACCTGTAACTCAAGAGATGGCTGATCAAGCTTCTCCAAGTTCTTTGACTGCAAGTTATGCCTCTCTAGGACTTCCTTCATGCTTCATTATATAATGCAAACACATTCCATAAAATTTCTTATTATATAAGACTGTCAATGATCTTTGCTCTATTATGTATGTTATATTATATAAACATCGACAATATACCCAAAATCTAAAATCAAAAGATACAAACCTAATCCAAAAAACACATATAATCCCAAACATATACATTATTTCATGTTAAACACTGTAGTTTTTTGTTACATACACACTTATTTGTGAGTGTGTGTATGTCCCCCCGAAGGTAGGAACTGAACTGATAACTAGTGGGTCAAAAATCCAAAATCGTAACTTTCTAATACGATAAGTCATTTTAGAGTCCCACTAATATTAATAACATATCCAGAATATCTCAATGACTTTCCCGAACACTAATATTCCATCACATATATATATATATATATTTTTATTGATTACTTCTTCAAAGGGAAAGCTTTATACATCCACACATATAGATACCTCCTAAACTCCTAATGTTATGGTATCCACATATTTCTGAATAAATATGACATTGATGGCTTACACATATCATACCACAAGATACATATATATAGATTTATATATGCAACACAAATACCTACTATATACATAAAGCATTTATATATGCATATATCCAGATTTACATCTTTTTGAATATTACCGTAATTAGATACCTTAATTTATCTAAATACAACAGAGTTTACTATACACTTTATCTATGTCATTTATGGTCATGATTAATATATATTTCTAACAAGTATTTTAATTATATAAATAGTTAGTGGTCCTAAACTTCTATGTATCAGATATACATCTAAAAACTCTTTTATTAAAGTTTTTGTCTGGATCTAGACAAGATTCCTTCAATGAGTTATGAGAAATCTAAATGAGATAGATAGATAGAGAGAGAAAGAAAGACCTGGAGCTACAGAACTCGAAGAGCTTTCCAGTGGAAGAGAAGATGATGAGAGCAACATCGGCGTCGCAGAGAACAGAGAGCTCTTCAGCTTTCTTGAAAAGCCCTCTTCTTCGTTTCGAAAACGTCACTTGTCTTGCCGTTGCGTTGTCGATCTTCCTGATCTGAATCTTTTCTCTCGCCATTACAACAAGAAAGACCCCTAGAAGCAAGAAGAGAGCTTAGGTTTTGATCTGAAAACCCAAAAGAACGGGATTGATTTTGATGGATCAAGATTCAAGAATGAGAGATATATAAGAGAAAGTAAAGAGAGGAGGAAGAAGAACCCAGAGGAAAATTTGTGAGAGAGATATTTTTTTGCTAAAAAGGGAGATTTTAAAGAAGAGAGAGAGTGACAAGACGACTGAAATGGAAAGTAAAATCGTGTTCTTTTTGCTAAATTTAGAAGAATAAATATGGTTTGAAGACAGTAAATACCCTAGTTTTTGAAAGATTTGAAAGAAAGAAAATCTAAGTCTCTTTGTGAGAATTAGATCTATTTGATGAATCAACAAGGAAAATCGAGAGGATCAAACAAAAACTCAGAGAGAAGAAAAACTAATTGAAGGAGAAAAAGAAAGCTAAAGGAATATATAAAAAATTTTAATTTTCCACCTCAAAGGTCGAGGAGGGAAGAAGACATGACAAGGTTTTGATTGGTGAAGGATGAGATATTTTCAGGGAGAGGTTTATTAATTAAATAATATTACAAGATGATGGGGTTCTTAAATGATTAATTTTGAAAAGAAAAAAGATATATTGTTATTATTTTAGGGAAAATATCAGTATTTTTTTTTTGTTATCCGAAATTAATTAGAGTTCAAAAGAGCCATTTTTTTGAAATGTTGTTTACATATGTGATATGTAGCGGTTCTGCACGAATTTTTCGTGTCAGATTATCCGGTTTTACATTAGCATTACGAGAAATTAAAGATAAAGAGAAAGTTAAGAATTCTTTATTGACAAAGTTTTGATTGGTGAAGGATGAGATATTTTCATAGAGAGGTTTATTAATTAAATAATACTACAAGACGATGGGGTACGATTTCTTAAATGATTATTTTTGGAAAGAGAAAAGATATTGTTATTATTTTAGGATATTGGTTTTTGTCCCAAAAAAAAGATATTTGTTTGTGTGTGGTGGTTATTGGATATGGTGTGATATAAGTCTCCAATGAGATGAGAGAGAGAAGAGAAGTGTGTGTCTGGGTCAGTGGGGAATTTCTTTTTATAGGGAAGCATAAAATGAGTTGTCTCATTTTGTTCACTTATACTCTTGTAACTACATTGTCGTAGTTACTGCAAAAACTAACCAGAAACTCTCAAGAACTTCAAGGGCGCTATAACATAATTTCATATCTGTAAATCTAATATATGGAATTATGACAGTACCTCATAACAAAATTCAGAAAGAACAAAATAATATCAACTGTATATTATTTTTTATTTTTTTTTGTCATTTGTTACATCATCGTCATAAATATTTAATCTAATCATATTATGATATAGATTATCTCCAACATATGCGATTACGATAAACAACTTTCAAGAACAACGATTCTAAGATGCAATCTACTTGCTACTGTATCTTATTTATTTATTATTTATATAAAAACAATTGGGATAGATGACAATCATTAATCTAAAAAAAAAAAAAACAAACTATTCTAAGGACAACGTTTTTGCAAGAAAAAAAAAGTTTGTGAGTTCGGCCTTTGGCTTGTAAGAATCCAACTCGAAAATGACAAAAATAACTTTTAAATTTCGAAAACATTAGTGCAATAATTTTTGAAAATTTACTAACGGTCAATAATGGGGCATAATAACTTGTAGGAAGAATTGTGTCCTTAAAATAGTTTTGTAAGCTAATGTTCCATATCTACTCATGATATATATATATATATAGTCCATTATACAATCTATGTACTGATTTAGAAAATTCAAGTTGTCATGCAGGAATAATTGTTGTTCAATCCTAGTAAAGGGGTATCATGCACGGATAATTGTGTGATGAAGTTGTCATAGACATAAGGGGGTATATATCATGACTGAAGTATTTTTATAGAACAAATTGAATATGTAACTCAAAATAAAATTTAACTAAAATTACATATCTTACGAGGTTATTCACTAATGTCATCAACCGAACCAAACATTGATTTCAATCATCGTTCCATAGTCTAAAAAGCAAACAATAAAACCGTAATTAAAGGCAACAAAAAAAAAAAGATTAAACGGTTTGAATAAAATAATGTTTTAAGCATTCCCTGATGCGAAGAAACAAATAGCGGGACCCTCGAGCCAGAGTAAATAAAACAGTGTCGACCACTAAAAGTTTAGAGGGGACCCAAAACCAAACCCGAAGCAGCCACAAGAAATCTGATTGGGACACGATCCATTGTCCGTACAGATTTTTATTTCTAATTAAAGTTTTTTTTTTTTTTTTTTGGACAATTTCTAATTAAAGTTTTAACCAAATAAAAAATAAACAAGATACTCCACGCGACTACTCCATTCTTATTCTTTACTAGGATATAACCCGCGGTGTACCGCGGGTTAATTTTTTTTGTTACAAAATAATTTAAATTATAGGTTGTATTTGTTTTGGTAATATTGTTTGTTTTGTTTAGTGTTTAAAATTGTATAATTGTATTTTAATTCTTAATTCTAGGATTTCACCCGTGATATACTGTCTCGTATTAATATAAATCCAAACCCGTCCCACCATATAACCCCGTCCGGTGAAATTAAATATCATTTTGTTATTTCTTTTTAATCCTATACTATTATTTGGGGAGTACACTTTATAAGATACCCTTAACTAACCTTCCCTTTTGTAAGAATTTACTTAAGAATGCCATTAGAAATAAAATTTTATAGAGTAAATTAATTCAACTCATTAAGGATAAACAAGTCAAATACTATTTTATGCAATTTAATTAATTTAATTTAATTATAAAAACGAAAATCTATTATTAATTTTTAAAAAAAGAATGACCAATCAAAATGAACATATAAGATTTGATATCTAACTTATCACATTAATTTGTTATTAATCATTATATTTCACCTCTCATCTTTATATTATTCTATTTCTATAAAATAAATAAATTATTATATCATCTACATAATAAAAAAAGTAAATTTTTTCCGCATATACAAAGATTTGAATTTTCAAAAACGAATATAAATTGTTCAATGTATGAAAGAACAAATTTAACGGGTCAAAAATTCATATTTGAGTAATATATTTCTTTTTTTAATATCATCAATACTTAATAGATCAAAAAGTTAAGAAATATAAATACTCTAATTTAATTTTTTGAAACAAATATTTATAATAGGCGGCAGGTTAAATATAATGTATTATATGATGAAATGAGTTATGATCCTTATAACTATTTGAATATTTATATTTAATTTCATATATATATTTTTTAAAATTCATAATTTTACATACTACAATAAATTTTTTAAAGATTTTAATTTGGCACATTTAAAAAAAGTTTAATTTAATATATTAAAGAATATCATAAATATTTAATAGATTAAAAAGATAAAAAAAATTATAAATACTAATTTGATTTTCTAAAAAGATATGTTCAATATATTTATAGTAGGCGGCGGGTTAAAAGTAATGTATGATATGATAGAAAGTTATGATCCTTATAATAGACGACATTTTAAGATTTTATGATGAGATGAGTTAAATAAGGTTTGACACTTCTAAATATTTGAAAATTTAATTCTGCAAGCAATTTTGGAAATAATGAATAATAGATTGTGCCACAATATTTTCATAGGGATTGTAAAATGAAAATATAGACTCCTTTTTTTTTTGGTCATGAAAATATAGACTCCAAACATGGATCGAATTTGGTATTATTATATACCAAATATATGTTCATAACATATTCGATTATGTGAATAATTGGTAAATTCCGTAATTAGCTCAAACAAATCTCTATTTCAACAACCAATGAATTAGATTTTGAAAAATAATTTCCTAAATTAATTCAAAATAATGGCTAACTTTTTTAACTAATTCAAAATAATCTACGTTTTAGATGCGATTCATTTATGATATTTTGATTTTTGATCTAACTAAATTATATGCACTCTCATTTTGTGGTTGTTAACATAAATTAACTCATTGTTCAAACAATATTATTTTTTTTGAAAATAATATTATTTTTCGTTTTCATATCTTTAAAAAATATATCCATAATTGAGGATTACAGAAAAATAAAAATATATTCATTCTAATATTATATATATAGACTGACATAAAAAAATTAATAACTTTTTACTTACTATTATAATATATCACGATTTTATTCTATAACTATATAATATATAAATTTTTTAATAAATGAAATTCAACCCGTACTGTAGTACGGGTGATGATCTAGTAGTACTTTATTTTGGAAACATATAATTCGAATCAATTTAAAAATTTGCTTTCAAATGGTTCTCATAATATATAAGTTTATTTATAGAGGTTCAAATATTATATTAATATTATAGTTTTAATATCAAAGTTTATATTTATAAATTGATTATATTAATATCATAGTACTTTATATATTTATAAATAAATTATGCTAACATAGTACTTTATATTAATATCTAAGTTTTTATTTATAAATTGATTGTTGCATCAAATATATTTGTTAGCATAATTATAGATTGTGTTGTATATGTGTGTTAATAATGTAATTTGATCTATAATCATTTTATTATAACTAAAACAATAAATCATTTCAAGCCCAATAAACAAAAGGCAAGCCCAAATATGCCAAGAGAGCAAAACCCAAACTGAGTAGATATTTTGTGCTCATATTATTCCAGAAAAAATTTAAGAAAAACGAAAATTGGAAAAAAAAAAAAAAAAAAAAAAAATTGATGGTTTCCTGAGAAACAAAAAAAACACACAAAAATATGTAAAACTGAAAATCGACAACAGGCTCGGTGTCTCGCCGATCGAATCCCAATTCGATTCCGTTCTACATGACTTCCTATTCAAGGATTATAATCGGTTCCGAAGAACATGTTCAAAGCTGAATCAATAGGTAAGAGAATTTCAATCGTTACCGATAATATAGATATCGAATTATTTGCTTTCCAAACAAAGATTTGTTGTTTGTACATAGGTTTATTTACAAAGACGATTTCATTTTGCATGTCTTTATTCCGAATTACGATTTGATTGTGAAACCAATTTCTAAAGTTTGGTCATACATGAAAAAACATAACTTATGAATCGATTGATGCAGCCACTTGTGGTTTGACAGAGAAAGAACTTCGGGAAATAATATGAAAGCTTGTTGAAGGGTTTGGCAATGATAAAGACAATATACTATCAAAACCCGTGAAGGTAAGAAAGAGATTGTATGTAGAATCAAGTTTTTGTTATATAGGATTATATGCTAAGAATATTGTTAGATTCATGGCAATGGTTATTAACCACATACCACCATATAGTTTGCAGCTGGGTATCAGCGTATAGGTGTGGAGGACATGCACAAAAGGAAAAATTCAGAAAAAAGCTCCTGAGATTATAGATCAATGTATGTTAATGGACCACATCAAATGCTTTGAAACTGTGGCCGTTGGAGTGAAAGACATTGTACCATATTCAGTCGCCTTCAGTTGTGGATCTAGAATATCCAGAGGTAGTGTATATACAGAGAAAGCAAAGGATGCGGCCATTGGTGTTGGTAAGGTTTTTGACCTTAAGCTAGAGATCGGAATTGTATTGGTTTTTTCTGTGTTTAGAGGTAGGAGAAATGAGCGATTATATATAGAGTTTTGATAGGTTAGTAGGGTTTTGGGTTAGAGAATAAAAATAATCTTGATTAGCAAGGTTTGAATATCTTTGAAAATCTTTAAATCATCATATACTCTTAACCAATTTAGGAAAATATCGTTAAAATCGTTTATATATGAGATATATCCAAATATTTAAGGTTGATTGATTCCAGAATTTATATAGCTCATTTATTTAGGAAAGAAAAATATTTTGCACTTAATTCATTAACACCTATTTAGGAAACGATTTGGATCAATTTGTTATAACTATATATATTCTCCATATCTTTCAATTATGAGAAACTAAATGCTTTTTGCCTTGAATGTAGGAAGCATCAAATATGGTAAGATTCGATTGAGAGAATTCGGGTAGAAAATCACAAAGAAGGTAAGATCCGATTGTCTCCAAGTCGGGTCAAAATAAATGATTTCCGGGTCAAAATTTCGACCCGATTGGGGACCCCAAAAAGTGTTGCAAAAATGTATAGTAGACTAGGATATGACCCGCGGTGTACCGCGGGTTAATTATTTGATTTTTTTTATTTTTTATAAACTGATGAATTTGTTGTGTATGATATTTTTTTGTTGTACATCGCGGGTCACATGCGTTGTATATAAAAAATAAAAAATTTAAGTTGTATTTGTTTTGTTTACTGTTTAAGATTGTATAATTAAATTTTGATTTGTTAATTCTAGGATTTCACCCGTGGTATATTGTTCCGTATTAATATCGACCCAAACCCGTCCCACCATATACTCCTTTCCTGTGGAATTAAACATCATTTTGTTATTTTTTAATAACATTTTTATTTAAAAGATATATAATTCGAGTCAATTTAAAACTTTATTTTCAAATGGTTTCCATAATATATATATTTTAAAATTAGTATGTGTTTTTGGACCAACCCGTAAAAATAATTTATAATTATATCTTAAAATACTAAATAATTGTATTTTGATTTGTTAATTTTAGGATCTCACCCGTGGTATACTGTCTCGTTTTAGATAATTGTAGAAATTAAGAAAAGATCTAAATGACTCAATTTCGGATCAGAATAAAAAAAACGACCCGATTAAATGTGCAATTTGTTCTTAAAAAAATGTTAATATATATTACACACATATTTTTTTTCTTCATCGATTAAGTAATATATGTCTTTTTTAAAAAATTTGAATCATAAATTCATAACATATGCAGAAAAAAAAACTAAAATTTATTAACTATATATATTTTATAATAATTCAAAATAATATAAATATAAGATCAAATAAAAGTGAAATGAGAATCATATACAGTATTTATGCTTAAATTAGGGAGAGAGGTTTTAGGAAATTAGCTCAAATTTGTTATATTATCATTAAATTATCATATTTGATTTCCTAATCTATAAAAATTGTAACGAATATACCATAAATAAATAGTTTAGATATAGTAATTAGTTGAAAAAATATATATAATTTAGATTTTATTAGGTATTTTCGTTTTTAAATTTTGCCATAATTTAAGAAAAGATCCGATTGAAGATTTCCGGGTCAAAATTTAAAAAAAATCCGACCCGATTGAAAGAGCAAATTTGTACTTCAAAAATGTTAAGTAGATTTACTCCATCCAACAAGAATACAATTATTTTACCCATTATTCATGTGGCTCGTATCTCTCGCTCCCTATTCGAGTATTTTCTCTTCCGACGAAACTCTCGTGTTGAAGTTGAATTAGTACGAATTTGTGATACCATATGAATTATGAAGGGTTCCAAATGGTAAAAATCGTATGTTTGATGTGATTAATACGGTATTAACTATAACTAGTAGTATCACTTTTCGTTGACAACAACAATATTAATATGGTTTGCTTTTGTGGAAGAATCTATTGCTTTGTCTATTATAAAGCAAGTGTTCTACGAGTAATATACATGGAATATTGAAAGTTTATAGAACAAAAAATGCTGTATTTTTGGAAAGTTTTTGTAAATATTGATGAGAGTTTAGGATTGGAAGATTGTATATTGACGCTTAAATTAGTAATTATATCACAAGACTTAGAAAAAAAAACCTATAAAACATGCTAAATTACGTAACGGCGAGTATCGTGATGCTGTGACGTTTTATAATGTTAGGAATTTGCCTCAAGCTTAGTTTGGTATCATCAAAATTAGGATCAAAATGTGAAGCCCATGAAATTTAACAAATATGATCAAATTTAGTTTCATATTACATCCAAAATAGTTTGTAACAAAACTTTACCATGAGTTTTCAGCGCATCCCAACACAAATTATCATATAATCCTCATATAATCTAAACAAGCTGATTAGACATACAACATCATTTTTATGTTTTTACGGCACAATACATATTTGAAACGAAAAATCGTAGAGTTTTATTTCAGCTTGGTTTAGTTTCAATTTAAAAAAAAAAAAAAAATTTATTCACTAAAAAATTTATTTGGTTCAATTTATTAAGTTCTGTTAATTCATATTTGTTATGGTTTGGTAAAAGTAGATTAAAATTTGGTCCAACATCCATCATGCTTATGCTGTTATGCACTGATACATACGTTAACAACGCTTTATAAGTAAGCGTTTACTGCGTTTGGAACCGCATGAATCATTTATGTTCAATTGAAAATTTGAAATTGAAATAGTTTAGAGGCGCACGTGACACAACTGGTGCGGTCTTTGGTTTTTGATTGGTCAAAGTGTCAGAGTTTTTTTATGAGTAGACTCGTGACCTTAAGCCTCTAAGTAACATTGCACCTAACCTTTTAGCCATTTTAGGCTTCTTTCTTTCTACACAGTCCCTACACTCTCTCCCTCTGACACCCAGAGAAACTACAGTGACCGTTATAATAAAGCAGAGTCCTTAATGGGCTTTTTTATTCTTATTGGGCTTTTATTAGGCCCAAATCTTCCTTGTCCTCTTTCTTTTCTTTTTTTGAATTCTTTTAGTTCAGTTTCTCGCCGGATCTTGAAAATGACGACGGCGATGACTTGTACGAGATTGACGATTTTTACGGTGGCTGGGATATTTCTACAGATTATCGGCCTCTCCATTTTTGTATTCGGTTTCTTCCCCGTCAAGCCGACTCTCTCCGGCGTCAGGTACTACTGATTCAATAACATTTGAAGTCGAAGAAGAAGAAGAAGAATCTACGCTCTATTGATTTGTTTATGTTGAAAATGGCAGTGGCTCGGACAGCTATCGAGATCCTTTCTGTGATTCTTCTCCGATTTCGAACGAATCGGAGCTTCATCATCCTGAGAAACTGAAATTGCTCTACCAGGTTTTTTTTTTTTTTTTTTTTTTTGTGTGAATCCAAACACAAATGTGTAAGCTTCCTTTTGAGTATCTTTGGCTGATTTGAAGTTTCATTTTGGTGAATTTGTTGTATTTGTAGGAGTTATCTGGAATCTCTTCTAAATATGATCGACTGATTTTGATGGTATGTTGCACTTTGTTGAAATTTGTGGATCTTGATTTTTGTGAAAAATGTTTTTTTTTTTTTAAGGATGTTATGTTAACACAATTATTGCTAGTTTAGGTTATTGATGGGCTTCCTGCGGAGTTCGTTCTTGGGAAAGATGGTAAACCTCCATGGAAGGTATGGAAAGAGTCTATGCCTTATACTCAGTCATTGTTGGCTAATGGAGATGCTATTGGTTACCATGCTAAAGCTGCTCCTCCAACTGTTACAATGCCGAGATTGAAGGTGCGTGTATCGTCGTTGTTAAGTGGATGATCACAGTTTAAGATGAATTGTTTTGCTTGCTGTGTTATAAATTTCATTGTTTTTTCAGGCAATGGTTTCTGGGGCAATTGGTGGTTTCTTGGATGTGGCTTTTAATTTTAACACACAAGCCCTTTTAGATGATAATATTCTTGGTAACTATTAGTTTTGTGAATGGGAAGTGTTTCATGTTTGCAAACAGCCGTTGTAACAGTGCTCCAACATTACCAGGTCAATTTTTTCGGATTGGTTGGAAGATGGTGATGCTCGGTGATGAGACGTGGCTCAAGTTATTCCCAGGGCTATTTATGAGACATGATGGTGTTAGCAGTTTCTTTGTGAGTTTTTATGTGATGTTTGGTTTTGTTGATTGCTTTTTTCTTATCTATATCATAGTCATATGAACAAAAAAATGTTTTTTGGACAGGTCAAAGATACAGTGCAGGTAGACAGAAATGTTTCTCGACACTTGCCTGATGAGCTTAACAGTGATGACTGGAATCTCTTGGTTAGTTTTTGCTTTTTCTCTTATTCCCCAGGATTGGCATTTTGTCCATTGAACGCCAATTGATTGTTCTCTATTTCCTTAAAATATATAGAGACTTAAACTAATATTCCTCTTGGATACCAATTGAGGTTTTCTGTGCTTTATTCTTACTAGATCTACCCCTTATCAGATCCTTCATTACCTTGGTTTGGATCACGTTGGACATACTGGCGGGCGTAATAGGTCTTTGCTAGTTTCATAACCCATTTGTGAGTAGAAAGGTTACTAGTTGTATGGCTGAATCATCTTGTTATTTGTTTCTCTATTCTAGCCCCTTGATGCATGCAAAACTTAAAGAAATGGATGATATAGTTAGAACAATGCATTTAAAAGCCATGATGGATCGCAGCCATGATCAAGGACAGACTCTTCTGGTGAGTAATTTTTCGTATTTGAAGGTCCATTTGACTTTCATATTTCAAGAGTTAATCGTATTTTGGTTCATATTCAGATAATAGTCAGTGATCATGGCATGACTGAGAATGGAAACCACGGAGGGTCTTCATATGAAGAAACTGACTCGTTAATGCTCTTTATTGGCTTGAATAGCAATAAATCTGACTATGCTTCAGCTACCAATAATGTAGCTTTCCAGGTAGAACAGTCACTGCAACTTTTGTGATATCTTTCATCTCTTTTCCTGTCAGTCGAACATCTACCTCTTTTGGAAAGTCTGTTGATGATAATGAGTTATGCATGATATGAAACCAACAAAATTCTTCTGATGTAGGTAGATTTGGCGCCAACTTTAGCTCTTCTATTTGGTGTGCCTATCCCAAAGAACAACGTTGGAGTACTTGTCCCAGGAACACTTAGTTCTTTAAGAGGTTAACCACTTTTGAGCTCTCGCATTTTTTTGTTCGAGTCTGTGGTTATGCATTTGACTGTTTTTTCTTCACTTTCTCTGATCATTTCAGATTTTGAGCAACTACGGGCACTAGAACTGAATTCATGGCAGTTACTCAGACTTATGCAAGCACAGATACAAAGTTCCTCGTTTCCAGGCTTCTCCTGCAATTGCTTCCTTGATGGAACTTGTGAGGGCCTTGATTTGGATATTAGTGAATGTTCTGGGGATAAAGAGAAACAACTTATTTGCTTATTTAGGAATGCTGCTGTTCTCCATGGCATTTGGAAGTCCAAGAAATCAACAGAGTGCGTGAGTTATATGAGATTTTCACTTACCGTAGTCCTCCTGACTTTAAACTCTTTATATTTAACTCCGAGGATGGCTTTCATGTTGATAGGTCGTCTAGTGCCATGGAAGATTTCAGCAGAGCTTTAGATGCATATAACACCTTCTTGAAAACTGCAAGTGAGTGGTTAGCAAGCAAAACCACTGAAGTATGTTTTGATATCTTTTCTTAGAGTCCCATGAGCTTCTTTAAAGAAAATTACAATTGCCAATCGTCACTAGTTTCCAAATCTAGTAAAAAATCTGTAGTATGCTTAACAAACTCTTCTATGTTTGCAGAAACCTGTTCTCTTACTCGGTCTTGGAGTGGGTGCCATGCTTATTTCATGCTTCATCTGTGCCACTGTCTTTCTGTCTTTATTCAAAGAGGTTTACCATGAGCCCAAGGATCAGGTCTGCAGTTTGAGTTATTTGTTGAATTTAGAAGAGATGTTCGTTGGTGCTCTTCTTTTGATCCTTGTTATAAGCATGGGATCTAGTTCAATGGTGGAAGAAGAGCATTATATATGGCATTTCATGGTATCAACATTCTATCTTCTGTTACTCTTCAAGACAGCAAAGTCATTCAATTTTTCCAAGGGGATGAACATACTCAGAGACTTTAAATTCGGTTCTATCTTCTCGCTTCTTATTTCTGGTAGACTACTGAGAGGTTGGCATCAAGGGGGCGTGAACTGGACTTACCTTCCTGATATTTCTAAGTGGCTACAGCAAGTTGGCAGTGGTTATGTGAAATGGATTCAGCTAATCTCAAACTTCCTTGTTATTGTTCTAGGACTATATACTCTCTTTCGAACAGGATCGAATAGAAAAAGTGTTCGCATCCTAGCATTTGTTTTCTCAACTTGTGGGTTCCTAGTCTTGCTGCACGCCGGGAGATATCAGGATGACATGTCGACCGATTTTGGAGCCACTGTCACCGTAAAAGTTATTTATTATCTTCTATCTATATCTGCCATTGGAGCTTCTTTGGTTTTGCCATGGTCTGCGCGAAACAAAGACAAGTCCTTTCTAGCTGAAGTAAGTGATTGCTTGTATTTGATTGGCTCTGCATACATACTCTGCTGGTGTCTTCTACAGCTACTTCTCCAACAACCAATCAACTCGGGGCCCATACTTTTGCTGCTCCTCCAAATCTTAACAATTTTATTTCTTTCTTCTAATGATTTGCAAGTCAACGAATGGGTCGAGGTTAGTTTTTTCTTTTTTTCTTTTTGTTCTTTGTCCGGAATTTATACCGCAAAAAGCTCATCGCTTTAAGCTTTATGGTTTGGGGTTTCTCTTCTTTTTGTAGATTGCTGCACTCTATTACATGGGAATGGCAGGTCACTTTGCTCTTGGAAACAGTAACACTTTAGCGACCATCGATGTTGCTGGTGCTTTTATCGTAAGTCCTCTTTATTTCTAATTCGCTTTCTGTGTGTATACAATTTACCCACTCACTGACACATTCACCAAACTCTTTTTCTTAGGGAATCTCTAGTCATTCTACAATACTTTCTGGGATCTTGATGTTCATAATCACCTATGCATCTCCCATGTTGTTTCTTCTATCCCTCGTCATGTACATTGGTGCAAAGCTAAGAAACCACTCAAACTCAACAATATCAACTCACCGGGAAACGAGTCTAGGACAAATTTTGAAGCTAAAGCTCGGGTTCCCTTGCCTTGTTCCGCTCTGCATCAACTCAATACTCTTGACCGCATATACTGTGGTCTTGTTACTCATGAGGAATCACCTCTTTGTGTGGAGCGTCTTCTCTCCCAAGTAAGTCTTTGATCCTGTCTTGATAGTAATAGAATTGAGCAGCACCTATATAATGTGGTCTTACTACACATGAATACATGATACTGTGATTTAACTGATTTATTCGGTTCTTCAATCTGATATTTCCGGTTTGGTTCGATTTGGATCGGTTTGGTTTTCGATTAAAAAAAAAAAAAAAGTAGTTGTTGATTGTGTTTGGTGAACAATGGGAACAGGTACCTATATGTGTGTGCAACCACTGTGTGCACATACATCGGAGTTTGCATCGTCGCTGCTACTGTAACCTACACTTTCTCTGTCACTACCTTCCTTAGAAGCAATCGCACAAGACACAACAACTCGTAGTTATGGTCACTTTATTATGTAGGGAACAGAGACTAATAGAGATACTGTGATCCTAAAATTATATGTAGAAGAACACTGAATCCTATTATTTAGACACAACAACTTTTTTTGTTTTTTTTTGTATTTGGGTTTATACCCAACAATCTTTTGTCAGTTTTGGCCTTTGGGTAGTCTAAATGTTTGGTAGTTTTTTGTTGGTTTTTAGATTTTGGTTTTTGGTTTTTGATTTTTAGTGTAGATTTTAGTTTTTGCAAAATCTTGAATGGTAATTTGTTTAGTTTTTCGTTTTTCTACATAATATTAATTTTTAAACGTTTTTAAGTTATATATTTTAATTTTTGGTTCATATTTTGTGTTTAAAAATTACTAAAATATTGAAAATAAAAATTTGAATAATAAAAAAAATTAAAAAGATGCAGGAAAAAATTAAACATAGGTATATTGCATATAAACATAGGTTTGGTAAATAAAACCAATGTTTACATATAAATAAAATAAAAATCTCATAAGTAATGCCAAATGTTTACATAGAAATAAAACAGATGTTTGGATCAATTACAATTAGTTAGCAACTAAATATTCATCTACACAGATTGTGAGTTAGAGTGAAGATTTGCTGCTACATAATTCTGAACAAAGACAAAGATAATAATAATAATTGCTGAACAAAACAAAATCTAAAAAGCTTAATTGGTTTTCTTCTTCTTCTTGTCATTCAAGTCTTCACTAGCTTTGAAGACTCTTTGATCATCTCTCTACCACAAAATATTGGAATCGGCACGTGTCTTGGTGAAGGAGCAGCACACATTGTGACAGAACCATCAAAAAATTCTCCTTCTTCACTCGGGGTTTGAATATGCTTCTCATGAACCGGATCCGGTTTAGATTGGGATTTTCCGGTATTAGACGGTTTAAAAGAATCTTTTTGTGGGTAACAAGAACGTTTCTTCAAGCTGGAGCGAGGAACCACTTTTTGACGAATATGTAAAACGGAGTTACGACAAAAGTAATGGTAACCAATTCCATGTTTTGTAAGAAACGGAACGGCAAAAACGTCTTTGGCGATGTAACGGTGTATTAACGTAATCGACATCTTCAAGAGAGATTTTTGCTCTTTGATGGGTTCTTGTTCGTCTTTCGCTTTAAAGGAACGAGAGCTTAATCGATTGATTGTGTGAGAAATAATGAGAGGCTTAACGGTTATTTATAATCAACGAGGTCTTTAGTTACTAATAGAAAAAGGACTTATACTTCATTACAAATAAGGAAACATGTGTATGCAAGTTTGTGATGTTTCCTATTTGTTCTATGACTTAGCGATATGCGTTAGTGTTATTTCCTTATTCTTCCCGAATTATGGTTTTTTTGTAGATTTAGGTATTGATCCAACTTGATTTTATTAATGAACACAACTTGTGTATTTATACAAGAGAGACTAAAACGTCTAAGATAAGTTCAAACTCCTAAATTATAGGGCCATTAGACTTTATCCTAATAGAAACATAATCGTATACCAATATACGAACTTATCCTCAATTTACGAACTTATCCTCAATATTTTCCTATACCACGTTTGAAAATTTCGACAGTATTAAACCATAACTAAAAATAAAAGTTTATATACATTGTCCTAAAAAGCTAATTGTGGAAATCTTTTGGGTCAAGTGATTAAGGATTTAAAAGTTTTTACATCAGGTTTGGGATTTTTTTTTTTTTTTTTTTTTTTTGACAGCCAGGTTTGGGATTTGATACGTAGATAATATTATGTTTTTGTATATTAATAGTTTAAAATTAATCGGAAGTTCCCGAGTAATACAAGTAGAGCGTTGTCCGTTGTAATCTCGAGTGTTAGGCGTATGATTATTCATCGTTAGTATAGTACATATAAGAAGTGTCAGTTGGTAATCGCCTATTTTCTTGTAGTGGAAGAAAGTTGCATGTGACCGTAAAATTGTTCGTGGAGTTGTTCATTATAATCTTATGTGTTGCATATAGGTAAAGATATGATAGAATAAATTACAATTTTTGTGATGATAATGTAACCAAAAAAAAAAAATCACAATTAATTAAATGTCGTATTTGTTGGTTGACCAAACAAAATATTAGTCGTAAAAAAGTAAATAGTTTCAATTCTGGACATCCATCCAATTAAGCTAATATTTTTTGCTTTTCACCTATTCTCATCATATATCAGTTGACGAAGATATATATTATCACTTGTATTTTTTAAATTAAACCCAATACACACCGGAATTTTTGGGTATATGTACAAAATCATCGAAGTCCAAACAGAGGCCAAACCAAAAGGTAAAAGTATCCGATTGAAAATTTAAAACTTTTATTGACTAATAATTTTGTTTACTAAATTTATTTTTTTTAACTTTTTTCTAGTAGTTCTTTTGTTTGTGAAGATTTATTTTATTTTACAATATTTAAATAAAAAATAGTACATATACATTAAACCGGGTTAGTTAAAGAGCCATGTGTCATCGTTGTTTTCTAGTTAGAACTTAGAAATGACCAATCTTACTTGTGGTTGTGGAACAAGTAACTCTTAATAAGTTGCAACAACAATAAACTTCTTCAAACCTACTTCTCATCAAACCTCAAAACCCTAATTAATTCCTCTATAAATACACACAAACTCCTTCATAATATCTCCATCATCATCACTCACAAATCAAACATCTCTCTATAACAACTCAAAACCCTAATCTCCAATAATGGCTCACTGGTTATCATCCCTTGTCATCGCATTAACATTCACAAGCTTTTTCACTAGTCTCTCAGCTAGTCGCCACCTTCTTCAATCAACACCAGCTATTACCCCACCAGTTACAACAACATTCCCACCACTTCCCACAACCACAATGCCACCATTTCCTCCTTCAACTTCTCTTCCTCAGCCCACGGCGTTTCCGCCACTACCGAGCTCACAAGTACCTTCTTTGCCTAACCAAGCACAACCCATTAATATCCCAAACTTCCCCCAAATCAATATCCCTAACTTCCCAATTTCTATCCCAAACAACTTCCCATTCAATCTTCCCACCAGCATACCAACCATCCCATTCTTCACTCCACCACCTTCCAAATGAGAAGCTAATTAAGCTGTTTAGCTAGCTGCTGCCACACAACACATGAACACATTACCATCTATCTATTGTTTGCATATTTATGTTTGTAATGTTTTTTTTTTTGTATGTTTGTAGTGTTTATTATTCTTTTACCGTCGTTTGATGTTATCCTTGTTGTTGTTGTTGTTGTTTTAATGCTTTTGTAATATATACAGCTTATTCTTATTCTAATGATCACGTACTTTCTTGTTCCTCTTAATGATACGACTTGTCCGGACGATGAAAACCAGGCCCATAACTAGGCCCAATATATGTGATGATTTATGGCCCATCGGCACATATATATCACTTCTCGGATTCACTTAGCATCTGGATTTGAAGACTATATCCTCCTTAACTTTTCCTCTTCGTTTGGAGCAAGTTCAACGGGATTATAAACGCTGATGATAATGTACCTCTTTGAATTTTTGATATTTCTCTATTACAACCGTTCCTAATCAAACCAAATTTTTTATCATAATCAACTAAATAAAGACAAATGAGATTTTTTAAAAATAGAGAAGTAAGATTATTACACTCATGTATGTATAGTTCTTGCAAATATTTTGTTTATCTGTTAAATTTTCCAATGTAAATAATTCAACTATAGTAGAGAGCTTATTCGTCAAAGGAAAAGCCATCTAAGAAAGTCAAGAGTCAACTCTAGGCCACTCCGACATCTTAGGTGACACGTGTGAGTTTGGTATGAAAATTTAAAACGGCTTTTACTTGGCGGGAGAGGTACATGTCATGTCATTAGTCAACTCTTTTAGACCCTTTTTTGGCCCAATTGTCCTCTTTGGGCCACACGGAGTTTAGTAATTTAGTACTATATTAAATCGTGATTTAATTGCTTAATTAATTATATCTTAATTTTTCTTCCCTTCTTTGATGCGTAATTAATTGTTTTCAAATAAATAAAGTCAATGGTGGTATAACTCATTTCGTGCCGGTACAAGACCGGATGAAAAACATAATTTACGTCACATTTTTTTAATAAAATTTACATCACAACTTTGCGATTTTTTTTATATATAACGAAGTGAACCCATTTCGTTACGAAAGTATATCCAAATAATAAAAACTAAGCAGCTTATAAATCTTTTTAATAGTTAAGAAATAGGAGGTCATGTGGATTATAATTTCTTTAAACCAAGATGGCAAATCAGATCAAGCTTAAATAAAATAAAAGTTCTTTTTTAGTAGTATTATTTTCTTGTTGGAACATGACTCGGATTTTTAAAAAGTGTATAATTGTAATCTTGCACCAATCTGTCCACAACAGTTGGAAGTTTTTTAAAAGATATTAAGAGTACGTTTGGAAGGTCACCGTGATAAATATAATCAGATTAGTCTTTTATAATGTCTCATTGTAGTTTGACAAAGCCTGTGTTAGACCATTAGAGTAGACAAAACAAAATAAAACAGATAGCTGTATTTCTTTCTTAGTATTTATCTGTTTAATATAGTGAAATGTCAATTTAAATATATTCAAATAAATACTAAATGAACCCAGGGCCGTCTCAAATTTATTGGAGACCCAGTGCTAATGTATAAAAATTAACCTTTAGTTAATATAGTTTTTTTTATAGTGAAAATTTTGGACCTTCCACTCTAATAAAAATTGAAAAATAAATTTTAAGGACCCTGTGCTTTTGCTCCGGTGGCACACCCCGGCACTAATTAAACCCATTTCTTACGAAAATATATATTCAGATAGTTTGTTGAAGTAGCAAAATAAGAACTCAGTACGTAGCTTATAAATCTTTTTTTTTTGTAGTTTAGAATTTGGAGGTCATGTGGTTTATGATATTCTTCAAACCAAAGTCTTAGATCGAAAATCAGATCATGTTAAAACCATATTAAAGAAAAATTCTTGCTCAACCAAATATATTCCGCGTTGGATCTATATGTCTAATCTTGCGTTTATCTATCCACAACAATTGAAAATTTTAAATTACAGATAAGTTGAGTGTACGTTTGAAAGTCACCGTGATAAGTTCCAAAAAAAAAAATCATCATGATAAATATAATCAGATTAGTCTTTTGTAATTTTTATTATTTGATAATGCATGTTGGAGTATTAGAGTAGATAAAATAACATACATAGCTGGAATTTTTTCTTAATCTTGATCTCTTTAATATTAGTGTAAAAGTTAGTTATTTCGAAGTCAAATGTTAAATTAAATAGTTCACGATGGAAAACTCCAAGAGGACGTCAAAATATACTATTGACTATAAAAAAGATGTATAAAGGAAAAGTCAGAAGCCTATTTGAATTTTCCGGTTAAGAGTTAAGACCCCTGCGCGTGTGGCCTCCGCACGCCAACCTTGCACAAATCATACGAGTGAGTTACTATATGAAAAGAAAAGTCAATAATGTATTAAGTGAAATAAAATCTCATAGAAACGATTTGTTTTCTTCAACAACCAAATTAATATAACCGATTTGTCTTGTGCAAAAAAGAGAGAGATGTTTCTAGTAGAGACGTGTCGTGGTAGACACTAGGATTGAGCAAGGATGTTTAGTAACACACACTAGAAAAAGTAAATTATTTTATCTAAAGAGAAAGAAAAAAACCTACAAACAAAAGAAAGATAGTGAAAATTAGTAAATGTGAGAAACATTAGCATCGTAAATGACTCGACTATTCCCGTGCTTCACCGCATACATAAAATAAATGCGTTGTTGCTCATTTGATATTTGAGGTAAGAAAATAAAACTCACATGTTCTTTGATTTGATCAAGATTGTATAACTCTTGAGTTTTGATGTACGAACGAAACATCCTAAATCGAATTACGAATTGATATGTGGAATAAACAGCTATCAAGAGAAGATTAAAGCGCCAAAATAAAAATTCATTTAGTATTTAATTATTTTATTTTTAACAACAACATGCATGAGTTTTGTATACGAGTACAAAATAATAAAATAAACAAACATGGAATATATTTTCTTGAGATGCAAAGACGCACAGCCATCAATGGAGGCTACCTCAGGTAGGTAAGTTCTCTGAGGCTGTAAGAAGAATCTTTGATTTTTTTATTTTAAGCAGAGCTTTATAGACGACGCCATTGGATGGCTCTAAGACCTCTGTCACTCAAATATTACAGTATGTATGGTTCCTGATACCATATTCTATATATCTTTTAACTTTTTAATAAAGGAACAATTCGTTTATAGACATATTGCCCATTAAATAGTGTTTTTTCACATAACAATGTCGTCATAGAAAATCTATTACAAGTATGTAAGAAAATTGTTATATGTAATATAATTATATGTGACGGAAAAAAGATTAAGAAAATAAATGAAGACAAAAAACTACAACCATCTTATATATGTCAAGATTAAATCATTGCATTCCATTATAAGACACCAGAATCATACATAATCTTATGAAATAAGTTTCAAACAGTTGATGAGAAAAGGAATCTATTGTTCTTCAAGGAATAATCAAATATGGAAGGAAGAACAAAGAAAGCATCCCATGTGGTGGGGTGGAAAATAATTCAAGTGGGGGAAAGTATCCCATTAATATGTATCTCTCTATAACCAATGAATAACACTGTCAATCCGGTACGATCACAACAAAAAGTGAAAATGATGCCTAAACCAACTACCATTAATTTTGTTTTTTTTGGCGTCAGAATTGATTTTTCAATTTAGTAAAAAAAATTGTTAGTAATGTAAAAAAGATGTAGCCATGAATGTGAGGTTTTCTCATTAAGAAAATCTAAAATAGTTAGAGAAATTTTTGGTACATGCATGTTGCATGAGAATAAGAATTACATAGAACTCTTGAAGCATGAGAACTCTCGGGACTCGGGGTGATGGTTTCCAACTTTCCAATGAGTCCCAAATAATTAAGTCTTTGCAATATGAAATAAAGCTTACAAATTTGCAAGAGTAGTGACTTTTAAATTGCTATTTGGGACAAAAATATAGTTGTGTTTGGGTGAATATAGGACTTATTAGCACTTAAATAGCGAAATAACTTAATAGCTGAATAGATATGATTTGTTTTAAAATGCCAAAATATATATATAGTACATGAACGAGGTTTTTCTAGTTTAATTATATTTTTAAAATTTGTTAGATAAATTTTTTAAAAATACTTATTTTTTTATATATTTTATTATTCAACACAAGTTTTTGTGAATAGTTTTTATACTATTAAACACATAAATTACAAATTTATTGACTCAATATACTTTACTACTCTGGTTAAAAAATTAAATATTCAAATTCCTTTTTTTTTCTTCTACTTTGGAGCTTTATTAAACAATTTCCTTGAATAATTACGTTATTAAAAACGAATTTCCATATATTTGGTCAAAAATGATTTAAGTGAATATATCAAAAATCAAAAATAAGGAAAGTCGGACGATACTAACTAAAATTTTATAGGAAGATGATTTTGTCTTTCCTTCGGCGCAAAATAGCAAACAAGTCTCCGCGTTTCCTCTCTCTTCCCTTATTTAAACACTTCGTCTTCAACCTCAAAACAATCTCATCTTCTCTCTCTCTCTCTCTCAAAGAACCATTAATACACAAACCTAAAAAAAAAACTCTGTCTTCAACAGCTTATGTCTCAAAGACCTCTGATTCCTCATTCTTCTTCTATAGCTTTCGGTCTCCATTCTCATCTCTTAATCTCCAGTGAGATCAGCTCTAATTCTAACTGGTCTCTTTAAGCAAAAAAAAAAAAAAAAAACCTTTTTTTAACTTTCTCTCTGTTTCGTTCAATTTTCTCGCCGATTTTCCCGGAAAAAAGGGAACTTTTTTATTTGACTGATTTCGATTTTCGATTTCTCTGAGAATCAAATTCGAAAATGGGTCTCAAGGGTTTTGCTGAAGGAGGAATCGCTTCAATTGTTGCGGGTTGTTCGACCCACCCGCTTGATCTAATCAAGGTCCGAATGCAACTTCAAGGCGAATCAGCTCCGATTCAAACCAATCTCCGACCAGCTCTTGCCTTTCAAACTTCGACCACCGTCAACGCGCCTCCTCTACGCGTTGGTGTAATCGGAGTCGGATCTCGTTTAATCCGAGAAGAAGGCATGCGTGCTCTGTTTTCCGGCGTCTCCGCCACCGTTCTTCGTCAAACTCTGTATTCAACGACTCGTATGGGTTTATATGATATCCTCAAAGGAAAATGGACCGACCCAGAAACAAAAACGATGCCTTTAACAAAAAAAATCGGTGCCGGAGCCATCGCCGGAGCAATCGGAGCCGCCGTTGGGAATCCTGCTGACGTGGCGATGGTGAGAATGCAAGCAGATGGTCGTTTACCGTTGGCTGAGAGAAGAAACTACAAAAGCGTTTTAGACGCGATCACGCAAATGATTCGCGGTGAAGGCGTTACGTCTTTGTGGAGAGGATCGTCTTTAACGATAAACAGAGCAATGCTTGTGACGTCGTCGCAGTTAGCTTCGTATGATTCGGTTAAAGAGACGATTTTGGAGAAAGGGTTGTTGCAAGATGGGCTTGGGACTCATGTGTTGGCTAGTTTCGCTGCTGGGTTTGTAGCGTCCGTTGCTTCGAATCCGGTTGATGTGATTAAGACGAGAGTGATGAATATGAAGGTGGTGGCGGGAGTTGCACCGCCGTATAAAGGAGCGGTTGATTGTGCTTTGAAAACGGTGAAAGCGGAAGGGATTATGGCTTTATATAAAGGATTTGTCCCGACGGTTTCGAGACAAGCACCGTTCACGGTGGTTTTGTTTGTTACGCTTGAACAAGTTCGTAAGGTGTTTAAGGATTATGACTTTTGAAAAAACAAGAGTTGAATTATTGAAGATGAAGAAGATGATGATGGTGGCGACAATAAGCTTTTTTTTTGTTATAATTTTCATTTGATTGATCGAGTAGTTTTAAATTGTTTTCCATTTGTTCGAATAGATCTATGATATGAAATTTCTTCTCATGACTTGAGAAGAAAGAACGAAAGAAACAGTTCATTTGATTCATTATTCAAGGCAGTGAAATATTTAGATTCGTTTATGTTAATTTTGAACTATGTAATATATTCTTTTCTTTTTCTTGAAAAGCTTTTTATTAGTCCAAAAGGATGATTCTTTACAAAGATTGAAGATATTGATAAAAAATCTTCGGTAATCAATTTTCAAGAAAAGAAAGCACTACATCACCTAATTTCGCATCAATTATTTAGATCCATTTATGCTAAGTTTGAACTATGTAATATTCTTTTCTTTTTTTTTTCATTCCAAGAAACTGCTTTTTAATTCAAAATTTAATCGTTTACCATAGCTGAAAATTCAAAATAATCAATGTTCAAGAAAGCATTAGACCACCTAATTTTACAAAATTACATGGACAACATACATGTTTTTTTAGATCGTTTATACAAAGTCTAGACGTTTATACACAATATTTAGTATTTATAGACGAATTTTATCTCCTCCCAAACCTATTGTCCAAGATGGGAGTAAAAGTGTTCAGTCCGGATCAACCGATATGTGTTGATCCAAACCCAATACAAAAACAATTGATATAAAATTTGAACTATATGGTTTTATGGGTTTTTTTTTTTCTATATGCAGACCGAATTCAAATCTGAATTGAATCTTAAAAGACAAAAAAAAACTAAAGTTGACTGTATCAAAAGTTAAAGATATTTTTGACTGAAATCCGATTCCAAACCAAAACAATATAAAACCTTTCAATATATAACCAACCAAAAATAAAAAAAAATCTCCAATTTGAAATATATATTGCAGTTTGAATATGGGGTTGAGATTTTTTTTTTCTTTTCCAAATCATTGTTTGTTATATATTTAGGGGATACTTGAACTTAACTATAAAATTACTTAAAATATGTCTTCACTAAATGTTATATACTATACACAAAGACAAGATCAATGATTTATGAATACCTATTCTTTAAAGAGATGAAACTATGGACATGTTCAAATAATTCTATAGATTAATTTTGAAGGACCTTTCCTAACTATATATATCCCATCATCAAAGATCAATAATTGACATGTAATTAATTTGTAGACAATGAAATTTCGCAAAACGTTAAGATTACATCATGTCAACCAAAAAGTTCATTAAAAAAAAAAAAGATAAATCAAGAATCAGTAACAAGCAACCACGTGTTTTTGAGATGCTTCAGTTTTACACATACGTTACTATGTAGAATCTTTCTTCAACATCATAAATTAAAACCGCGTCTACCAGAACACACTTTCCACACGTTTACCGACTCAAACCTATTTCTCTTTTGAAGTCATCAGAATCTGATTCGATCATATCATTCGTTGCGTTGATATGGATTGTTCTCTTCTTACGGACATAAACGATTCTTTCAAAACTGTTGTGTTTAGTTTTGCTCATCATCTCTTGTTCCCGTTTGAGCAATGTTTCATTATCTGACAAAAACTTATGGTAACGACGATAAAGAACTAATACACCAAATTGGGAAAGAAGAATAAACCACTAACCACACCACCTTTTTGAATCGGATACGAAACCTTGTCATGGAATCTACCAAAATGTTACAAACCAAATATCTCTATCAAAATCAAACTCAACAACTAACAAAATAACTCAAATTTTTTTTTGATGTGGATAGTTCTTGCCTCAAGAGAAATGCCGACGTCCTTGCTAGTGGACCTGTCCACACTCCACAATCAAAATGCTAACATGTCTTTCTTCAACATTATTACTGGCGATACAACATAATGTGCAACAATATAGCAGAATCTTAAATGTAATGAATCAATGAAAACTCAACTGACTTATTGTTATTGAAATACTTCCAAATATTCAGCTATATTACTCTCATATGTTTATAATCACTAGACCGTGATTGGTCACTCCTAATCAATTAGCTAAAACAATTGCAAAATTCACAAAAAGTCGACAAAATATAAAGACAAATTCACCAAAAATAAATGAAATAAGAGGCTGTGATAGTTTTTCAAGTTGCTCAGTTAACCGCTCAGATCGACATTATAGTCGCTGACTCATTAAGCATCAAAATAATGCTTTCTAAACATATTTTTGCTCATCATAGCAACACCAAAAAAAAAACAGACATAGAACTAAGCATAGTTACAGATCTTTGTCTTAAAATTAGATAAATAAATGGTTGCTCAGCTAACCGCTCAGGTTCGACTATTTTTGTCGACCGTTCATTAAGTGTAAACACTTTCAATTTCATTATAAGATCTCATCATTGCAACCATAACTATGTAATAAAACTCACAAAATTTCTTGATTATTGAACACAGAACACGAGATTAAGCACTAAGCCTGACTAATCTAACATTCCCTACAAGATCGAGACAGAATCTGAAACAACTAAAGATTTACCTCTACATATACTAATGGAGACTAGGGTTATGAAACCCGCATACAGAAGAAAAAAAAATGAGTGAATCACAAAGAAAGAAGCGGAGGAAATTTAGGGTTTTTCAATTTTCGCCGGATCTCTTTTGTCTTCTACAAGATGAGTTATTTATAGAGGAAGACTTTAGGGTTTTAGTTGATGGGCTCTGAGGCCTGAGCTACTTCTTATTGGGTTTTTAAAGGCCCATAAATTATGTATGGGCTTTGATTGGACTGAATTTTGTAGATCAATCAATTCGAATATGGGTTATGAGTGTGGTCAAATAAGTGAGCCGGACCTAGCCTAAGAAATCAAGACTTTTTTAACTAATCTGTATAAAACCAAAGATGTCAGTGTTGTATTAGCCCATTCCGTGACACATTTTTAGTTCTCATACCACAGTTAGATAGAAACGAGGGTTGTATACTCAAATTCAAAATGGCACAAACAATTAGTAAAACAAGGGTTGCTTCGTGAAGAACAAAGTAGAGGAGGGTTTTTTGAAAATTTATTTTCTGATTTTCTGTTTTTTTGTAAAAAAAAATTTTTTGGGTAAAAAGAAATACTCTTTTTGAATTAGAAGTTTTGGACTATAAGTCTATAATCAATCATTATAAAATCTAGTTGACCAAATCTTATTAGAAAATGTATAGATAGACATTTTTGATCAAAAAGATCTTTTTCTAATTTCTCCAAAAACCATTAGGCTCCAAATCTTGGCATAATTAATGTGTTGATAAGTCTTTGACTGGTGGCTGCGATGCTAGATGGAAAATGTAAAATAGAAGGGAAAAAAACAGAGGCATTTTGGGTAGTTTAGGTCATAGCCAGCTAAGAGATTAGTATAGGCAATTAATCATGATTGCTCAAATAAATAGAAGGGAGTATATACTTGAATCACAAAAATCCAAAGGCTTACGCACAAATATGGAATAGCTTACAACTTTCGAAGTTCGAACCATAGAGTTACCAAAATGTGCCAGAAAATATTTTGGACCTTTTCGTGTTTTTATATAAAATGGAACAAGCGTGATTCTTACCCAAAGTAAAGTCACCAATTTTTTGTAGTCAAGTGGTAAAGCAATTTAGATAGTTTAATAATCGTTGGATCCATTCTGATCTAGTGGTCAAGCACATATATCTGTAGAACAGAAACATGTAGCTTTACCCTATAACTCTATTCAAGAAAAAAAAAAAAAAACTGATTGTAGTTTTAGACAACACATGTAAATATAAACTCTAATAATTAGCATTAAAATATATATATTTAAAAATATGTCAAAAATTTTAAATATATTAGTGAACAAAATATTAGTAGTCATCATACTTTCAACTAAAAAAAGTGTGTAAGCACTTCTATGTATTAAAAAACACATTTATGTAAACTTACTAGTAATGAATCTAAAATAAGATCGGACAAAATTTTCGAACCTGACTTAAATTTTTAAACCTAGCCTAAACTTCCGAACCCGTGTCAAAATTCTCGTATTCGACTCCGAACCAAACTGTAAAATAACCGAAATGGAAATATATATATATATATACCATATTTACCGATTTCGAACTGAGCCCGGACTATGAAAAACCGAACCAAACTAACCAAAATACATTAAAAGAACTAATATTTAGCTAAATGTATAAAAAATATATATTTAAATATGTTAAACCTATATAATTGTAGTTAAATAAGTTTCTTGTTACTATGTTTTTATAATTTATTTGTCAAAACCCAAATGAAACTGATAATTTTGATTCCAAATGGGGTTTACTTTCTAGAACCTGAAAAAAAAAACACCAAAAAAAATGAAATGAAGTTTTAGTTATTTTTTTTTCCAGCAGTGACACTTCGACTCCTTAGATGATCAATATCATAAATGTTGTCAGTTTGAAAGAGAATAGCTGAAAACGCAAATACAAAATTTTCCAAAAATTATGTGTTAAGTAATATGTAGGAAACCCTAAAACCTGATTTGGCTTGAATCCATATTGCAGCTTGTCTGTTGACGTGAAATCTAATCCCCGTGTAACCAATTTTAAATCTAGTTTTATCCTATTTCGTTTGTTTTGCGGTCGGGATATAATTTCCATAACCGTGACTGCTCCATAACAATGTAGAATGGGCGAAATACGCGATCACGCCACCCAGTTAAAAACCTAATAAAAGTGAGTTACGTTACCTAAATCTTGATTTGAGACTAAGCAACTTTTATGCTAGGCGGGTTAGATTTCTAAAGTTATTAGATCATTCAAGAGCAGATATCTTTTGTATCAGAGTACTTTGTGTGATAACTAGGTGTTTGGGAATAGAAGAAGGATGTGAACACATGTTCAAAATGATGTCAAAATTTACATCAAAAGTGTTTTGTATAAGTGAAGTTATACATGATTCGTCTAAGTAGCAAGCATAGTTTTCGCTACATTTTGTTATTTCTTAGAATTTTATTTATTAGGTTGGAGGTTTTCACAACTCCGCCGTTGGTTGGATTAGAGTTGACATATTTCGTTTCTAAAGTTATGTGGTGGTGGTCCGCTGTTTTGGGTCAAGTTTTTGTCGATATTTCTTTTTCTTATCTTTGTATTTCTTATTTTGGCTTTCAATTGATCGATTTACAACTTTCTATATCTACTGTGACATGTGAAGCGGTTGAGCGACTTTTTCAGTTTATTCTACTCGAATTCAAGACTATAAGTGGTCAAGATTTGATTAGTTTTGTTTTTTCTCAATTAAACCTTAGTTGTGTATATCTCGACGTTACCAATGTCGATGATTAATAGATGATTCTCAAACCTTAAAAAGTAAGCCCCATCAAGCCGAAGTAAATAAGCATATATTTCAATTTCAGAATTCTACGAAATGCCAAGCAAAGACATGAAGACCAAACAAATGATGTGAGAGGTTTGTGATTTTCATCAACATCAAAACAATATATAATCTAAGAGAAAAACTAATGAATAAGATTCATATTTAATTGGTAAAAATTGAGTTTAATGGTTTTGATTTATATTTTCTTATTTAAAAAAGAATATCTCGCTTTTTAGGAATGCAATCTCCTACAATTTTAACATTTTTGACCAATTTAGAATTTTTTTTTCATTAGCGGATTTAGTTTTACTAATTTTTTTGTACATGACAAATTTTCATTTTACTTTTTATAGGCCCATGATAATTAATAAATTATGATTTTAATTTTTATTTCCACATATTTTTCTGAGTGTATATTCTCTGTATTTCCATTTCGAGTCTGTGGAGTGGTCTCTCCCCTCTCTACCCTAAAACACACTCACCCACTTTCCTCTGTATAAGCCTCTCTCTCCTCTCTCTTCTCTCCTGCCATGAAAATCGCAGTTCCTCAAGACAAAACCTCCTCAGAAATCTCCCATCTCTGATGACTTTTGCTTCCTTAGTTTTCACTTTACTGTCCGAACGCTCTCAAAAACTTTGAGACACCCCAATAAACTATTAAAGATACACACAACAATCAAACCAAACCAAACCCATGGCCGAGAATCTTGCTTGTGGTGAAACCAGCGAGTCATGGATCATTGACAACGACGATGATGATATCAACTATGGCGGCGGATTTACGAACGAGATTGATTATAATCATCAACGTTTTAGTAAAGACGACAACTTTGGCGGCAACGGATCAATTCCGATGATGGGTTCTTTTTCTTCATCGTCCTTGAGTGAAGACAGAATCAAAGAGATGTTGGAGAGAGAGATTGAGTTCTGCCCTGGAACTGATTATGTTAAGAGATTGCTTTCTGGTGATTTGGATTTGTCTGTTAGAAACCAAGCTCTTGATTGGATTTTAAAGGTTTGGGATTTCTTCTTTTGATCTGTGTTGTGTTTTAAGAAAATAACTCAAATCTGGTTTGGTCTCTTTTTGTGCTTTGGATTGAGTTAAAGTGTGTTCTGTTCTTTGATCAGTTTGATAGATCATTCATATTGGGGTTTAATAGAGATGCTTCTGATGTATTTATTATTGGATCTTCTCTATAGATTTGAGGTTTTGATCTAAGTTTGAGTAATTGAGTTCTTTTGTCTTTAATGCCAATTGTTCTACAGGTTTGTGCTCATTACCATTTTGGAGCTCTGTGCATATGTCTATCCATGAACTATTTGGATCGGTTCTTAACGTCCTATGAATTGCCGGTAAGTTGCATTGTCTTTGCGGATTGGTTTTCTTTATATTCGAGACTATAAATGACCATTTTGTGTGTTTTCGATTGCGTAGAAAGACAAGGATTGGGCTGTCCAGTTGCTAGCTGTCTCTTGCTTATCATTAGCAGCCAAAATGGAAGAAACTGATATGCCTCAAATTGTTGATTTACAGGTGCAACACACATTTAGTCCTTTCAGTCTTACGAACAATCGGCGGTTTAGTGGAACTAATCCTGAAATGTTGTTCCTAATGGTTTTGATGAGCAGGTGGAAGATCCCAAGTTTGTTTTTGAGGCCAAAACAATAAAAAGGATGGAGCTTTTGGTTCTCAACACATTGAACTGGAGATTGCAAGCTCTAACTCCATTCTCCTTCATTGATTATTTCGTCGACAAGATTAGTGGTCATGTGTCAGAGAATTTGATCTATAGATCGTCGCGATTCATCTTAAACACCACCAAAGGTGCGTCATTTATTGATCGAAAGCAAGCTCTAATAATAGTCTTTCCTTGTTTGCAACTAGCTTAGGAAGGCTTAATGAGTTTCTGTTTATAAAATTGAATGCAGCAATTGAATTCTTAGACTTCAGGCCTTCTGAGATAGCTGCAGCAGCAGCAGTGTCTGTCTCCATTTCAGGAGAAACAGAATGCATTGATGATGAAAAGGCGATGTCTAATCTCCTATATGTAAAACAGGTAAACACCATCTAATATATTAGCTTCAAATGGTTGCAAAGACTCGAATTTTGTAACTTTCGCTAATTAACATTCGATATGATAGCGAAAGACGAAACCTATACTGTTTCAAGAACACACATTTCATCAGAATTTGATCATTGTCCTTCTTTAGCAGGAGAGAGTGAAGAGATGTTTGAATCTGATGAGAACTCTCACAGGGGAGAATGTGTCGGTAACTAGTTTATCGCATGAGCAGCCGCGATTAGCAGTAAGAGCGGTACCGGCAAGTCCAATTGGAGTGTTGGAAGCAACATGTTTGAGCTATAAGAGTGAAGAGAGAACAGTTGAGTCATGTACAAATTCCTCACAGAGTAGTCCAGACAACAACAACAATAGCAACAAGAGGAGGAGAAAACAATGAGAGAGAATAAAAGAGTCATACATTTCTTTTACAACTCAAATCCACAAGGACTCATGACATTTGAGGTTCTTATTTTATTTTTGTTTTGTTCCTTTTTTTTCTACAGAAATTTTCTTTTCTCTCTTTGATTTCTCATTTTCAATCTAAAAAATGGATTGGAAATGAGAGTTTTGTGAGAGAGGAAAAAAGAAAATAAGAGAGAGAGAGAGAGAGCTCTTACATAAAGGCGGCAAAATTAATAAGTCATTATTGATGATGATGAGAGACATCCCTAGTTCATGTTCTTGCTCCAAGGGACTTTTTTTTTTTTTCTTTTTTCTACAGAATGTCAGAGATATAATTAAAAAGGAAATAAAAAGAGAATCTAGGTTTATGATTTTTCGTGTATTTAAAGGTGTACTACAGAATTATTTTTGATTATATATGTTAAAAGTTATAAATATCATATAATGCAATGGAGATTATTATAAATTTGCAATAACAAATAAAAGTTTACCACTAAAAAATTTACACTCTCTCCATTAAAAAAATATTGTTTTGACATATTTTATATTTATTAAAATTAATTTTAAATATATGAATATGCATATATTAACTATACAACAAGTTATTTATTTTGGCATAAACGAGCTGGTCAGAAGAAAAAAGAAGAAGGGAGTTTGACCACAAGAAAAAAAAAAATCAGAGATTCTAAAAGCGATCGACGCTTTCCAAAGCCGCCGCTCGTTGCCGATCATAACAGACAATACCACCATCGCCGTCCCTCTTTTGGGCTCATGAACTTCTCTCTCACAAAGAGTTTCAGCAAATTCATAGTGAGCGGAGCTTGAAGACCGGAGATATTCCCGTTTTCTGCCGGAATTAGGATAAGTTTTTTGTGTGTTTCAACAAGTTTGGATTAATTTGGGTTTCATCTTACTTTGAAGAGTTTGGTTGACATCGCCTAGGGTTTGTTGGGTTCAAGCTTACATCATCGTTTTAAATCTGGATTTCCTCTGGTTTTCTACTTTATGGATGATAAGTTAGTGAAGTTTTGAAAGGAAAGTCAATTGCAGAAGATATATAGCTAGTGTTAAAAGCAATATTCTAAGTCAGGACAGTATTCTAAGTCAGAGCAATATTCTAAGGTTATTGAGAAGTCGTTGAGACTCCAATGAGTATACTAAGTTGGAATTGTCAAGGGGCGGGCAACCCCGAGACAGGTCGTCGTTTAAGAGAGATGCGAAGAAAGTTTTTTCCAGATTTTTTATTTCTCATGGAAACTAAACAAAAAAAGAAGTATGTTACTAGGTTACAAGACTCTTTAGGTTATGATAACTGCTTCATGGTTGAACCACTGGGTTTGAGTGGTGGTTTAGCGGTTTTTTGGAAGAATTGTTACAAGGTTGAAGTGTTGAGTGCTAATGATCGCATAATTGACCTGAAGGTGAAGATAGGGTCAATGATGTTTTTCCTCACTTGTGTCTATGGCGATCCGGTGAAAGCTCTTAGGCATTTGGTATGGGAACGACTCTCTGGAATTGGCATTGGTAGAAATGAAGCTTGGGTAGTGCTTGGTGATTTCAATGAATTGATGACCAAAACCGAAAAAATGGGAGGACCTCTCCGCAATGAATCATCTTTCTGGGATTTTCGAAATATGGCTGGGAATTGCAAATTGGCAGAGATAAGAAGCTCTGGAAATTGCCTTTCATGGGCAGGATGGCGAGATAAAATATGGATTCAATGTCGTCTTGACCGGAGTTTCGGTAATGACGAATGGTTTCAACTATTCCCAAGAGCTCATATGGAATATCTTGATATGTGGGCATCCGATCATCGACCAATTTTGATTACCTTTGCTTTGGAGGAAAGTGTTAATGCTAAAGGAAGGTTTTGTTTTGATAAGCGGTGGTTATCGAAACCAGGAATTGTTGATGTAGTGAAAAAAGGATGGTGTGGTGGACAACAAGATATGGAGATCTCTTTGGCAGAGCGTATAGGAAGATGTAGATCAGAATTATCTCGTTGGAAAAGATCATCAAATACCAACTCTGAGATGAGGATGGTGAAGTTAAAAGAGACTCTTGAGAAGGAAGTTTCTAAAATGTATCCAGACCCCAACGTAATGCAGAGAACAAAGAATGAGTTAGCTATGGCTTATAAGGAGGAAGAGATATTCTGGAAACATTGTAGCAGAGAACAGTGGCTTAATTCAGGTGACAGAAATACCCGTTATTTTCATAATTGTGTGAAGAGTAGAAAAGTAAAAAATAGGATTTTGATGCTTGTGGATGAAAAGGGTCATGAGCAGTTTTCAGAAGGATCCAAAGGACAGATCGCCGTAGACTATTTTCGAGAGCTATTCAGCAGCTCAAAACCTCAAGATTTTGATTCCCTTCTTGAAGGCTTTGAAGCGAGGATAACGCCATCTATGAATGAAGCGTTAACAGCTCCAGTTTTAGAGACGGAGATAAAACAAGCAGTCTTTAACATTAAAGGAAGTAGAGCCCCAGGAGCAGATGGCTTAACCAGTGATTTCTATCAACATTTTTGGAGTATAGTGGGGCCAAGTATAACGGCAGAAATCCAAAATTTCTTTAGCTCCTTCTCCTTTCCAATAGAATGGAATTATACCCAATTATGTCTAATACCGAAAGTGAAGAACCCATCAAGAATGTCAGAGATGCGGCCTATAAGTTTATGTTCAGTGCATTACAAAATTATCTCCAAGATCATGTGTGAGAGGCTTAAGAAGATTCTTCCTTTGATCATATCAGATACACAGGGAGCTTTTGTATCAGGGCGTGTAATAACTGATAATATCATCATCGCTCATGAATTGATACATGCTTTGCGGACTAATGATGCAGTTTCTAAGGAGTTTATGGCGATTAAGACTGATATGTCCAAAGCGTATGACAGGGTTGAATGGTGCTTTCTGGAGAGACTAATGGAGAAAATGGGCTTTGATCATCGATGGATAAAGTGGATTAGTTACTGCATTAGATCAGTTACTTACACGGTCTTGTTAAATGAGAACTCTCATGGATATATTAAGCCGGAACGCGGCCTTCGACAAGGAGATCCTCTATCTTCGTTTTTGTTTATTCTATGTGCAGAAGGTTTAGTGAATGTGCTAAATAAGGCTGAAGCAAGTGGTAGGCTAAACGGAATAAAGTTTATTGATTCTGGCCCGTCAATTCACCATCTTCTTTTCGCCGATGATAGTCTTCTCCTTTGCAAAGCCTCAGCGAATGAGGGATCAGAGATCATGCGATGTTTGAAACTGTATGGGGAAGCCTCTGGTCAAGTCATCAACAACTCTAAGTCTTCTATTATTTTCGGGTCTAAGGTAGAGGAGGTAATAAAACCGGTGGTTAAAAGGATTCTTGGAATTGAAAAAGAGGGGGGAGAAGGATCATATTTGGGACTTCCTGAGTGTTTCAATGGATCCAAAAGGAAACTCTTAAATTTCATTCAAGAGAAGCTTCAATCCCGTCTTCATGGATGGTTTGCGAAATCCTTATCACAAGGTGGTAAAGAAGTACTGTTAAAATCGATAGCCTTGGCACTACCTGTATATGCAATGTCATGCTTTCAATTACCGCAAGATCTGTGCAAAAAGCTCACAAGTGTCATGACAGAATTTTGGTGGAGCAGTGGAAATGATCGAAATAAAATACCTTGGGTAGCTTGGAAGAAACTATGCAGGAAAAAAGAAGACGGTGGCCTAGGATTTCATGATATTTTCAGATTCAATCAAGCACTTTTATGCAAACAAGCTTGGAGACTTTTAGACCAGCCGCAATCGCTTCTAGCGAGGATCCTAAAGAGCCGTTATTTTAAAAACAAATCCTTCTTGGATTGTGGAGTAGGCACCAGACCATCATATGCTTGGAGAAGCATAATCCATGGTCGAGAGTTACTGAAAAGAGGCTTGAGGAAGTCTATAGGAAATGGACAGAATACATGGGTATGGATAGAAAAATGGATCCCTGATGATTCTCCAAGACCACCGATAAGTTTGCAACGGAATAGGGACGTTATGCTAAGAGTATCAGATCTGTTGGATCGTAATATGGGACAATGGGACGAAGAAAGAGTGAGACATTTATTTATTCAGAAAGATGCTGACTATATTCTCTCTCTGAGAGTGTCAACAGACCTCCATGATACATACGTTTGGAGTTTCTCAAAGAATGGTCTCTACAATTCTCAAAGTGGTTATAAACTGTTAGAAGCACTTCCAGAGAATCAAGAATTTCCAGTCACTCCTCTTCCACCAATTGAGAAGAAGTTATGGTCACAGTTATGGAAAGTCCAAACCATGCCTAAGATACGACATTTCATGTGGAAGGCTCTAGCGGGAGCATTAGCAGTTTCAGACAGATTGCAATCGAGAGGTATCCACATTGGCCTAACTTGTAAAATTTGTGGAAAGGAAACTGAAACCATTTGTCATGTTCTCTTCCACTGTCCTGTGGCAAAACAATCTTGGGACCTTTCTAATATCCCTGCCCCGCGGATGGGTTTCTCTAAGAACTCAGTTTTTCTAAACCTTTTTCACCTTCTTAACCATGCTGGAAGACGTAACAGTCTCGCCAATAATACACAAGATTTTCCTTGGCTTTTGTGGCATATATGGAAGTCTAGAAACTTGTTTGTGTTTGAAGGGAAGAGCTATGATGCTAACAGTATTGTGGTAAAAGCCCGTGAGGATGCAGAGACGTGGATGGCTGCCAACAAATCAGATGCAACTGCAACAAATAAATCCTTCTTCACAGCTTCTCATACCCATCATACTTGGAGATGCCCGATGTTTAGTTTTGGGAAGTGTAACATTGGATGCTCTTGGATTAAACAAGAGATGAACTGTGGGGCCGCCTGGATTCTTCGTGATCATTCAGGTAAACCTCTGTTCCATAGTCGTCGATCATATTCGAAAATTGCAACAGGTTTTGAAGCAGATCTCTTGAGCCTACTCTGGGCAGTAGAAAGCTTAAGTAACCTTAGACAAAACAAGATCATCTTTGAGATATCATCCCAAAAAGTAGTGGAAGCAGTACGATATCCACATAGATACCCCCTCTTTCGACACTTGATTTCAGACATTAGAAGATTCTTGGCTGTCTTTGAGTTTTCAGTTGTAGTTATAGCTCCAAATGAATGTAATCGGGTGGCCAAAGAAATAGCAACAAGTGTCACAAGAGATCATCGGTACCAATCTTACATTGCACGGGAGGGGCCACTGTGGCTTCAAGAAATCATCACAGAGGAATCTAAGCTTTTGGTTTGAGATTCTTCTTCGGGCACTTCGTGCCTTTATGTTTTATGTGCTTTATTGCAGTCCTACTGGACTTGTTTTTTGTTTTATCAGTCCACTTATTTTATGTTTTTCAGTTAGATAATGGTCTTATGTTCCTTTTATCTTCAGTAATTGAGTTTGCTGGGTTTGTATAAGTTTATAGCCGTACCCGTTTCTTGGGTCTTTCGTCTTGCCCTTTAGTGTGAGCGTGTAATGTTTTTCACTTTCTTGTGAAATATCAATAAACAGTGTTAAAAAAAAAAATACAACAAGTTAACTGGTAATGAGTTAAACTAAAACATTATTGTTTTAGATGATAAGTTATTTATAACTTTCATTTGAAAATCATAGTGAAAATGTAAAATTGAACGAACTCATAGTTTAAAAGATTTTCTACTATAATACTTTAAAAATATATATCCAAAATTTTATAAATCTAAAATTAACTAAACTGCGGTTCTTATTTTCTGATTGTTAAAAAAGAAAAAGTAGATATGACATTTTTTTAATAAAATAACTCTAAAACGATACTTTTTATAAAACTAAGAAAATCTATTTTTTTAAAATCGTACTATTTACCTGGTTAGTATAACGCTCAAAACTCTTTCTTTTTCACTGGAATTATATTAATAAAGGAAAAATACAACATAGAAAGGAATCCAAAACAAACAACAAAGAGATACTATGATCAATTTTGAACCTAAAAAAAAAAGATGAGGATGAGATTTTGATGATACATATAATACTCAAAGCTCTCTCTCTATCCCTTGATTTTAATGTAAATTTTCCTTGTTTGAAGAAATGTCAACAAAAATAACATAATTGGTTTGAAAGAGAATTGCATGTTTTGGGGATTGGAGAAGAGAAAACCATAATGGGCCCTGAAAAGAGGTCTTAGTGGGTCCACTTATTTTTGTTTTGACTATGCGACCGGTCAACATCTCTCTCTCCTCGTGTCTGAGAAAACAAAAAATAATAATCTCTGAGCATAAGAAACCTTGGGAATCTACTGCCTTCTTTTTTTTTTTATATGCACATAAATAATATATTTATACATTCGTTTGTTGTTTTATAATTTATATATTCTGATGCAGTTCAATTATTATAAGTAATTAAAATAGTTTAACGTGATTACCACCCATTTACGTACATAGTCCAAAGTACTGAGTACATATATAACAAAATTTGTACTACTAGAATTTAATAAGCAACAAATAAAAATACTACTATACCGATATATTTTTATTTGATTAGTGTGATTGGCTTATTTAAACGCCGAACTTTCGTTGTTTGATTTTGTAAACTTGTAGTAAAATTTGAACAAATTTAATTTGAGTTTTATGAAAGTAAAAGAAACAATAATTAATTAGTTTTAGTAGTACCGATATGTAAAACGAAATTACATTGAAAAGCAAAAGGTTATTAGCTTTGTTATGTTAGTTACTCTCTTTCACTTGCTCGCTGCTACTTGCTACTTTGCTAGGGTAGAGGTGATAATTAGAGCCAGCTATGAAACATTTGTGTAGGCCTTTCATTTTTATGACCTACTTAAAATTAATACTTAATTTAATCATAGTAAAATTTACTGTAGTTATTAGGAATTGTGTGATAGAGAGAAAATTGCAACAATATTTATAAATAGAATCAAAATTTGTGGGAGTTCAACAACTAAAATAATATAGAGATTTTAGGGTTTTATTTTCTGATATCTTGTGTTCTTGTTTTGTAGTTATTTCACATATAATTTTAAATTCTATTTAAATGATTTTTTTAATTTGCTTTGACAAAAAAATTATTTTTTTATTTGTTTTGTATGGTCTCGATAATTTCAGAACTGTCCCTCACCATGTGTGTGTGTGTTGTATATATCTAGTTAAAATGAATTTGCTAGTGCCAAAGTAATAATATAGCAGTAATATATTTGGAAATTTTAATAGATTTACACTCCAAGGATTTAATTATTTTGCTATGAACAAGATTCCTGAACTAAAACATTGTTTGTCAGATATTAAAAAAAAAAAAACTGTTATCAAATCAAACAACCTAGATTAATAACGACACCAAAATGACACAATATACATGGGAGAACGGCCTATTCCCCCCTGAACTATGTTGCTTTATCGCTTCTATACACAAAACTTTCTTCTGTGCCTAAACCCTCATAAACTTAGATTTAATTTGAATTTTCATCACAAACTTTACAAATCCGGTGGAAAACCTCAAATCGTTAGACGGTGTTACTGTTCCGTTAACGGATGCTGACGAGAGCGTTTAAAACGACTGCGTTTTGACATACGTGGACTCTCATTAGACACAGAGACAAAACGACGTCGTTTTGATTTGAGAAAACGACGTCGTTTTGTGATTTGGGGGTTTTAGTCGAATTAGGTGATTCATCAATTGTGCAAACAAGTCTCTCGATTTTGAATCAATGAACCGAACACCACCACCTTCATAGATAATCTGTCCTGAAACTTCTGAAAATTTTCCACTGTGGTGGCAAGCAAACTGTGCATCAGGCTCTTCATCACTGCATCAATTGTCCAAAAATTCTAACATTAGAATTCGTTCAGACATTTCGTCGAACACATGGTGGACATTAAATAATGTTACTCCCAAATAAAGTTAATCTTCAATAAGAGACCGTAGTTATGTCAATCAGACAATGCTATACAAAATCTATCAAATTTCGTAAGCTATATTCAACGAAAATGAAAAAAAATCTGAGATTTGAATGAAATTCGACTTACCTCATTATTGGCCCCAGACCTCTGTTTCGATATCGGAATTGTCGATTTGAAGAACCCTTAGGCCGGATCTCCGATCTTCTCCATCTCTCGACTCACTCTTCGTCTCACTCTGTCTTTCGGCTCAATTATTCTCTCAAAGTTTCGATTTTGGCACGACAATGAAATAAAGAAAGAACCCTAATTCGAGATAAAATCCCCAAATAACAAAACGACGTTGTTTGTGCAAATCAAAACGACGTCGTTTTGTTTCGTTGTCTAATGAGATTCCACCATGTCCAAAACGCAGTCGTTTGATATGATGACGTGTCGTCCTCGTCAGCATCCGTTAACGGAATAGTAACACCGTCTAATGATTTGAGGTTTTCCACCGGATTTAAATAGTTTGTGATGAAAATTCAAACTAAATCTAAGTTCATGAGGGTTTAGGCACAGAAGAAAGTTCTGTGTATGGAAGCGATAAAGCAACATAGTTCAGGGGGGAATAGGCCGTTCTCCCCAATATACATCTAAATGGATAAGAATACCAGTCCATTACATCATCGCCATTTCGTTCATAACATACTATCTTGGTTTGTATTTTATCAATGAAAGTTGTAACTTTACAGTATTATTTCTTTAAATAAAGACGAACAAAGTGGATCAACCAAACTAGTTGGTTGCTATAAATTTTCACCAAAAATAAAGCATAAGATTCTCTTACCAATGCAGGATTGTGTTGTACAGGCTATAATTGGCGACAGCATGTTTATATCATGGTTCAATATTTATAGATGTGAACATTATCTTTACATTAACTTCTGTTTTAAATTGTATGATTCAAGTTCTTCCAATTCATAGTGGTGATGTATATATTTACATAAATGTACCCATTTTCTCCATAAAGTACTCTTGGTTCTAGCAAACAACATTTTCGACGACAACACAAAAATATCAAATTAGAAAGTTTGTATCACAGCGAAAGTGAATTGAAACATAAATAATATTCTCTCCGTTTCAAAATATAAGTTGTTTTAGGAGATAATCAAAAACAATAAGTTTATTTGTTGACAATTTATTTTGAGTTGGTAGCTTACAAAATTTACATAGTAGCAAAGTTCGAATTTTAACCGAATACATATTTGAAATGAGACCTAGAATAATATTAAAAGATGTATTATATTAGGAATCCTACGTCCAAATTGAAATGAGATAGACTAATATTAATATATAGAAAAAACATAAATAGATTCATGCATTACCAATTAGTTATAAGTTAAAATTCCAAAATTATAACATTGGGCATAAGGCAGATAGCTATTTTGATATGATATTTTAGCCATGCAAATAAAAAGAGAATCATCAAGCATCTTTTGAGTTGCTCAATATGATTCTATATTAAGTACTTACTTTTCATGTTATAATTGTAGAACCATGAATACAGTATAAGCATCATGCATCATAATTTATACCAAATTTCAAGATCTGTAAGTTTCCGAAAATAAACGCGTCCGAGACCTCCAAAATCATATGCCTAGGCGAGATCAACGAAGATAGATGATCCTTCCTTTCACCGTATACATTCCCAATTGCATTAGCCACTCCTCCTGACGCCACTCCCAAAAATGCATAAAAAATACAATTGAATTTATACTTATTTGAGTTTAATTTGTTGCTATTTGTCATGGTCTAGATATAATTAGGAAAAGCTGAAATTGAAGTTACTTATACAATATTGAATATTTTCTTAAATTATTTCTATTTTTTTTCAAATTAAATAATATTTTAAAACTTGTCGAACCAATGACAAAATTAACATCGCAATGTTTTTCTATGAGCCCGGTATTAGTAGTTATATAAATTTTCAAACAATTACTACTAATAAAAATTACAGTGACTAATAAATATAAAGTATATGAATCCAACCATATACATGTTATTTATCTAATTTTTGATATACCAATACTAAATATATGTAACCTTAAATTAGAATTTCAAATCAAATTAGCATAATAAACTTTTTTGGTTGATACCAATAATGGAATCGAATCTAGTTTGACATCGTGATTTCAGACACAACTTTTAACTTTAGTGTTCGAACTTCAGAATAATTATACACATCGGTTATATCTATAAACTTTATTCCAATGTAATAAGTTGAACTGTTAATGTAAGTTGGTGCATGCGGCGTGCCTAGTCTTTTTTTCTAATTATAAAATTAACTAACTATTTCGTGATTTCAGATTTTTGTTTAATATTCTTAAACACACATAAGACAGTACTGTACTTTGTCTTATCATTTATATATTGAATTTTCGTCAGCTTATAATTATATCATGGAATTGGAATCCATGATAGCTTATTATGCATATTTTTAAAAATTAAGGATAAGATATAAAACTACACGTTTAAGCCATAAGGTATTTATTTTATGTCATGATTTTAAAATAACACAGGAACTTACTATTAGTTTAAATTATATCTCTAATTAATGAACAGGAAGTATTTTGGTTCTCGCGAACATTAATTACCCACGTAACGGTAATTAATTTATTCTTATGAGCAACCAGACACACTTGCGGATTTAAGATTCTCTATGTAATGATTTATACCATTCTTAAACTTTAAATTATACCCAACAAGAAAAGCTTAAAAGAGAAAAAGTGAAATGGGGGAAAAAGTGTAAAAAGAAAAGAACAAGGGTCAAAATGTAAAAAAGTAAAAAGTGTGGGTATGGTGCATTTTGAGGGAGTCATAAAAGTGTGGGGACCTTTGGAACTTTCTTGCAGATTTTTCATCTTCTCTTTACTCTTTAGCCCTCACTTTCTTGCTTCTCTCTTTTTTGGCCTCAGTTATAATTACAGTAAAACCTCTATAAATTAATAATGTTGGGACCAAAATTTTTTATTAATTTAGAGAGGTATTAATTTATCGATAAATTAATAATTATTAATTTATAGAGAGATTTTCCTAATTTTGTAATTTCTTACAAAAATTTCTATCTAAAAATAAATTTTTACTTTATAAACAATATCTTTTTAAAACTAATTACAAGTGGAGAAACAATTATTAAGTTTAAAAAACAACACAAACTTTTTTCGAATAATAGAGTCATATTTCATCAAATGTTTTACATATAATATATTAAATATATATTATAGTAATTCATATATTACATATATAAATTTATATAATGTATATATATATATATATATATATATATATTGAGAAGTTAATACAATTATTAATTTATGATATAGATGGGACTATATGTTTACATGAGATTTTCAAAAATATTATTATCTTATTAATTTATCGATTTATGTCATATTTTACACTAGTCCCAACTCGGGACCGGAAAAATTTATTAATTTAGAGAGGTTATTAATTTATAGAGTATTAATTTATAGAGATTTCACTGTATTCTTTTTGTAAGAAAATAAAGGAAATTTAGTACTCAGCAAAAAGAATTATTTAAATTAAGTGAAACGACTTTGACTTTTGTTCTATTAAAATAATTGAGGGATATTCAAATATTGGTCTACTACAAACTTCTAATAATCTCAATAATCTCGTAGACACAAACCCAACATTTTGAGTAGTAAATTAAAAAGAATTTAACTTGCACAAATTACGTAAATCGTCACCTTTCTATGTTACATTGGTTGCTAACATTCACAACTCAATAAATGAAGATTCTAATTAAAAAGTAAAAACAAAGAGATCAATTACCTAAAAACAGGTAAAAATTGAAAGATCATAGAAGTTAAGGACCACAATGTAATACTACAGATTTATTTTTAGTTTCAGTCTGAAGTAAGAGAGACGTGAACAGAGAGATTCAGGAGAGAAAGTTGAAGGAAGAGACCAAGAACAATAAAAAGAACAAAAGTGGTCCATAGTAATTAAAGGAACACATTTTAACTCTACAAGTTTGGTAAATGATGACTTATTTCGCTGCTTAAATAAATTTCCTACTAAAAGTAAATAAATGTATGATTTGATACATCATAATAAGGAACCAAGAATGCTGCTGTATATACATTTCGAGGCTTATTTTCTTCAGTTTGTTTCGTGATTGAATAAGATTTTTTAGATGAAATCGGGTTGACCAGTTGATGTCAAGCAACGATGCCACATTCGACTATTGGGGTCGACTGATTTTGGATAAGCAATTACCTCAGGGATTGGCAAATAAGCATAGTGAGTGTTGATTATGCCTACCGTGATTCCGCTGTATCCAGCAAACGCACCATGAACCTGTTTTTATAAATTCATATTAAGCTTACAATTCGACGGACCAAAAAAATTGGAACATTTTTAGTTTCTACTTCTAAGATTCTATCGAAAGCAATGAGAGAGTGACTTGAAGAGATGTGTGTGTGAGTGACTTACAGCGTTTTGTCCAAGAACAGTACAGAGGATACCATCTGAGGCATTTGCACGGACAGCGCGAATCATGTATGTTGGATCAATATACTTCACATCTATTGGAGTACTTATTTCTTTGAAATACTTCTTCGTCTATTCATAAAAGAAGAAGATAGATTGTAAAATCATAAGGAAGCAAGAAATTTTACTGAGTAGGATTTAGCAACTACCCTACTCATCATTCAAAATGAATCCAAGACATATATATAAACTCTTTCTGAGATATGTCAACCAGTATTTGCATATATCTAACCTCTTGTTGAATGTACACACCGAAATCACCAAGTACTGTGTTTCCAGATGCATCTTTGGCATTGGTTTTCTCAAGGAAATTCTGAAACAAAATGCCAAGAAACGTAAACAAAAATATAACTTATGGACAAAGAACTCAAGTGGAGCAAAAAGCTCCTTAACTGCGTTTGTATTATAGTTACCTGTCCAGCTCCTTCTGCTACACAGATCACAGCAGAGCCTTTTGTTTGAATAAGGTACTTCAAATGCTTCAATACACCATTAGGCCCATGAAGATTGAAGGGAACCTTGAATGAAGGAGATGCATAGGATCTCTTAGAGAAAGCTCATCCATCATGTTTTGGAAGTTGAAAATAATAACAAAAAAAAAGAAGTACCTCAGGAATCAAACAGATGTCCACTTGTCCACTTGCTAGAGACGCTTGCATTGCGATGAAACCACTGTTACGACCCATCAGTTTTACAACACCAATGCCATGATAAGCACTATGTGCCTAATACGCAGACCATATTGGAAAAATCCCAAGTAGCAATGATTAAGTACTTAAAGCAAAGAGACATGTTAGTGAATATCCTAAATGCGAGTACATTAAAGTTACCTCAATGTAGGCAGAGTTTATAGCTCGTTGTGCTTCTTCAACAGCAGTATCAAACCCAAAAGTTTTGTCCATATGTAAAATATCATTGTCAATGGTTTTTGGCACACCAACTACAGCTACCTTTATCTTTCTTTTGCGGCACTAGAATTGAAAGCAAGATAGAATGGTAAATCAAAATGGACAAACTATATTGTAAAAAATGAAGATGCTATCTCACTAAGGAGAAAAAGCAACACAATATTCTCAAGAACACTTAGTTAGTTTCTAGTGTTAAGTTAACAACCTCATTGTGTATAGCGTCAGCGCCAGCATGAGTTCCGTTTCCACCCAGCACGAAAAGCATGTTGATTCCTCTCTCCTAAGTAGAGTCAATATTCAGAATTCAGAATCTGTGATCTCAGAAAATCTTCAGGACTGAAAAAATAAATGATACCTCCATGCTGTCGACAATTTCGCTAACACTCGGGCCTCCACGTGAAACTCCAAGCAAGCTTCCTCCAGATAGATGAATATTCTGAACCACTTTCCTTGATAACTGATGATCAAGAGCAAACGATTTAAGCTAAACAGAAAAGAGAGTTCCTTTTTCTCAAAGAGGACAATCGAACAATACCGGCATTTCAGTTAGATCTTTATCAGAGAAGCCTCGATAACCAAAAGGAATCCCCACAATGTTCTTAACACCATAAATCTCAAGAGTGATGACAATCTGCAATGTATCCAACCAAACAATCAAAGGGCTTTAGTAGGACTTCACACAAACACACACTGTCTCTATAATGCCAAAGTTTCAGACACAAACTCACATGTCTAATGACATCATTGAGACCAGGACAAAGGCCACCACAAGTGATAATCGCAGCCTTTACTTCTTCCGGTCTGAAGTATATCTTCTCCCTCGGCCCAGCACGGTGAATCCTGATGATCCCATCACACCATTATAAACAAAACCAGAAGAACCAAAAATCCAAAGTCAAATAAACTCCAAATTTTTACCATTGTTCAACCCAAGAACAGTCATGATCAATGCACTCAGCTCCAGCAGAAGTAGGTGAAGAGTAACGAATAACCTAGTTTTCAAAGAACCCAAATCACAAATTCAATCCAATTAAACCCAAAATCAAGCTCATTGATTTTAGTGAACAACCAAAAATCTGAAACTGAAAGTAACCTTGAGAAGAACTCTATCATTGTTATTAATGTATCCATGCCATTCTTCATCAGATGGGTAACCACCAACAAAATCTTCCGTCGGAGACCTAACAATCAAAACTCGAACTTGAGAGATTTTCCAAAACCCAGACAAAACGTGAAGATCAAAGTAGTTATCTCTGACCTCATCTTGAGACAAAACGTTGAACGAATAGCTTCTGCATCAGGTAAGACATCAGTGATGTGAGGGATGTTGAATCGTTGCTCGAAATCTTTCTCATACTTTAATTTCCAATCTGGATCGCTGAGATCGATCGACGAAGCTGAGGTTTTGCTATGTTGAATCGCCGAAGCTCTCACCGACGAGATTCGTGATGAGGGATTCGCCGGAGATCTCGTTTGCCGGAGGATTAAGGAGGAGAGTCCATGACAAGGAACGAGAGAAGAATTGTTCTTCTTGTAAGGAACGGAGGAGATCCCGGAAGTGATCGCCTGAGAAAGAGCATCCATGGCCAAGATTCCGATCGGATCCTTTTGCTTAGTTTTCTCAGTCAATTGAGTTTTTTTTTGGAGGGAGTTTTTGACAATTTTACAAAAAAAAAAACACAACAACAGTGAGTGACAGAAGAGACAAGTTGTTGTAGATCTCTCTCTACACACAGTACTTGGCTCTTTAGATTAACGAACAAGTACGAAACAAGTCTAACTTCATCAACATTCGTGGTTTATCTTATTAGAATTTCTTCTGTGAATTAATTTCGAATTTTTGATTAGTGATCTTTGGAATAAACCCTAATCAGATACCTTATATTCGAAGTTGAATCTGATTCGACGAAAAATAAATGAACTTTTCAATCTCATGGTTTGCGGAAGTCAAAGGAGTTGTGTATTTTTGACTTTTATAACATCACAATTCACAGTCATGCTATTTTTCCCAACTCTGTTGTTTGTTGTAGACCAAAAACAATCAATAACAACCCAAAATTAAATTAACAATACTAGTCTGTCGTAATTATTTTAGCCAATATTTTTCGGGTATTACGAAATTGCCTCACAGCGTTTAGTATTGACAAATTTGCCCCACATATTTTAATATTTACGAAATTATCCTTAACTTTTTATATTTACGAACTTGCCCCATATTTAAAAAATTGCCACACAACTTCAGTATTCATGATCTGCCCCGCAAAGTTAGGTACTTACGCATTTGCCCCGCAATTTTCGATAATAACTCCCTCGAGCCTTGATTAAAACAGAAAGGCTCAAGAAGACGACAATGACGGAAAACAGAACCCTTCAAGGAATGTATGGAGGTCCTGATCCGATTAGTCTCACTAATGTTTCTCCATGGATCATGAGAGAGTGAAGAAGAAGATGATGGTGAAGAAGAAGAAGAAGAAGATGATGATGATGAAGGATGATGAATAGAAGATGATGGATTGATAGTTATGAATCGAAGAAGAAGAAGAAGGTGATAGTCATGAATCGAAGAAGAATAAGATGATGATGCATCGAAGAAGAAGAAGAAGTTGAAGAGTAATCGAAGAAGATGAGGAAGGGGGAGAGAATAAGACTATATTAGGTTAAGGTTTTTTTGATCTTCAATTAAATCTCGGTTAGCCGATCTTAAATCAAACTCTTTCCGATCGGTATATTCAAATTAAAGAAACCGAACCGATTTGTCCAAATTTTGACAACTCAGGGTCATAATCGTAAATTCAGATGCTGATTGTTTCGAAAAAATCACATAAATAGCTGTGGGCCTCTCTGCTCTCTCTATTTCGCAACGTTAACTTTTCTCCTCCCACAAATAACGGTCAGCGAGAGTTGAAATTTCAAAATTCAATTCTTCAAATCCTCTTTGAAGAAAAAACGAGTTAGGGTTTTACGTAATCATATGGAGAAGCGATTTTTGATTTTTCTATCTTTTTCTGATTCTTTTCTCGGATCAATTGAATTACGTCTTCAATGGCGTCTCTGATTCGTTGGGTCAATTCAAATCGAGAACCTAGGGTTTTGATTTTGGATCGATGAGAATCTGACTGATTGATACAAGGATTAAAACTTGTCTATTGGTTTGAATTCGGATCGTGTGATAGTCCTACCAAATCGAAGAAGGTACGCAATGTTTTTCGATCTCCCTCTCCTTCTTCTTGGTTAATTTGGGAATCTAGGGTTTTGGATTTGGAATTTGCTTTCCTTGATTTCTGTTCGAATTTAGTTGTTTGATTGTTTTGAGATCTTTTTTTATTAAGGTAATCGCGTACTTGTTCAATGGTTGGTGATCGGAGAGTTTTAATGTTCTGAAATAGTTGAACAGAGTCTACATCAAAATTTCTCTCTAATTATTTGTTGAAATTGATGAGTCTAAATGGTTAAAAAACTAACGATTTGGAGAATTTCCCTTATGTCCATGTTTTTGATTGTATCGTTTTGGGACTAATCAATATGAGTCCATCACCGTCTTTATCTGTGATTTTGTGAAGATTAATTTGAAAAAAATGGTTAATTGTTATATTCATGCAAGAAGAATCTATGGGAACACATACATTGTTTATCTCAGATATATACATTTCCGAAATCTAATCAGTCTTGTGGTCATATGATTCAGGCAACCAAGTGGCAATTCATATCTCAATTTGGAGAAGAAATGAGGGGTCGTTTCTCCTGCCTCATGCAGATAATTTTGAGGTCTGATTTTGTAGCCAAGAGCATATGAGAGGTCAGATATCTCTCTCTCTCTCTATTCTCATGTCTATTGTGTCATGCATAGTTTCTCTGGATCATCTCAACAGGTTATTTTTATTTGATTAGCCGAGTTGTCTTGGTTTGTTTGGGTTAGTCACACTATTTAGAAACACGCACGTTCACAGACACACAAAAAACACAAATGCACTCAAACTCAGAACACACCAAGAGACAACAAAACTCAAACACGACACAAAAACAAAATTCACATCACACGCAACAAAACTCTAAACACACTCCAAACGCAACTAAGCCCAAACACAACATAATACAAGAAATAAAATATAGCACAGCACAAAACTAGACACAAGAAAGAAAGAAAACCATTAACTTCACGGTTAATATCTTTTTTATTGGTAAGAATTTTGAAATTCTGTTGCCAAGTCAATTTCAGGTGAAGTATCTTTCTCTTCTCATTTTCTTTCTTTTCTTGGTCTCTAACAACTATTAATTATTTTATTGGTCACATTGAAGTTTAGTATGTTTTGTTAGCAGTTTCGTACTTTGATGATATTCCAAAAGAGAAATTCAAAGCCACTACAAACAAAAGCGGTGTCCTGCATACGAAATTTATTTAGATATCAGATATGTTTCAGATATGTGAAGGGAAGCTCTGTGACTTTTCAGGTGAAGTACCTCTCTTCTTTTTATCATTTACATTGCTTTATACAAATTTCTTATCAATACATACTTCACTAAGGACAAAACCAATCGCAAAAACTGATTTTTATCATAATTAATAAACATGTTCAATATTTTAGCTGTGGACATTGTTTCCTTGTCAAGATTAACAGAAACAACAGGTGCTAGCAAAGCAGTCGAATCCCGACTTGGATCAGACTTCAAAAGACCATTTCCAGTAAGTTTCTTCATAAGCATTATTTTTGTTGTTTAATTTTACAGTCTTATGTACTTAGTAACTGCTATTAGAATGGTTTTGTATCAAGATGGAGGATTCTTAATCTGGAAATAACTAAACTTAGGAGAGTGATTCAGTTGCCTCGGAAAAAGAAAGGATCAGGTAGATTAACTACCTTCATCTCTTCTCAGAGTTTTTGTCGTTTTTGTATGGTCTTGTGTATACTGCTAACATAATGGTTTTGTACCAAGATTGAAGATTCTTAAGCGCAAAAGAACCAAATATAAGAAAGCCATTCAGTCTCCCCGAAAGAAGAAGGGTCAGGTAGATAAACACATTGATACAATGTTTTTCTGCAAATGTCTGACGTGTTTAAGTGATCTATAGCTTGCAGGAACTAAAAAAGCATATCATAGTTCTCTACTAGATCTCGATTTCCAAGGTACAGTACTAACGAAGTCAGGGATTGTATCTTAGTTGTTTTAGATTCTTTTGCATATGAGACGACCATAGATTCTTCATCTCTTCATACACAACATGACATTCTCTTGTTGTCATGTATATTATTTCAGATTAGCTATGTTTTTTACATAGTTTCATACTGTTTTACTGGTCTCTAACGTGTTATTTCTTAGTGCCATTAGTAACAAGAAGCCATTTACAAAGTCTACAGCGACAAAATATGTAAGGCTAAGCTTGATTGTAAGTGAATCCATTGTTATATATTTCTAATTGCATTTATTTAGTTTCTTGCTTCCAAACTTTTGTTTACATCTTGATCTTGTCATTTCGTTTTGATCAGGTTTTGAAACACTGTTAAATCATATTTCTGCCAAGATGATGGTTGGATTCTCTTTTCGACATCTTAATGCGTTTCAAGCGTTTTACAATTTATATTCCTCTTGAGTGAGATTGTTTTCCTAAGTCGAAGAGTTATGTTTTTCAGTTGGGGGTTCTTCGTTATACAGCATGATCCATCAAGATTAAAAGTAGAAAATTTTTGGCTTTGTAAGACTCTTACCAAGTTTTTTTTTTATCTTGGCATTGATTTTGTGGTTTCATTTTATTGTTTGTTTATTGTACTTTCAGATAAAATTTTGGTTCAGTAGGCAAGAGCAAATGACGGGTCTGTGTCTCCTGCTTCATGCAGATATCTTGGAGGTCCAGAGAACAAATTTCGTAAGTTGATTTTGTAGCCAGGAGAATGAGAGGTCAGATATCTCTCCCTCTATTCTCATATCTATTTTGTCATGCATAGGTTCTGTGGGTCATCTCAACAGGTTATTTTCATTTGATTAGCCGAGCTGTCTTAGCTTGTTTTGATTACTCACACTATCTGAAAATACACACGTTCACAGACACGAAAAACACACAAATACCATGCACTCAAACTCAAAACACACCGAAATACAACAAAACTCAAAACACTACCAAAAAATCACATCACACGCAACAAAACTCTAAACACTCTCAAACACAAGAAATAAAATACAGCACACCACAAAACTAGACACAAGAAAGAAAGAAGACAATAAATAACTTACGATTAATATCTTCTTTTTTTTTATTGTTAAGAACTCTGAGATTATGTTGCCAAGTCAATTTCAGGTGAAGTATCTTTCTCTTCCCATTTTTCTTTCTTTTCTTAGTCTTTTACAACTATGAATCATTTTGTTGGTCACATTGAATCTAATTACTTTTTATGCTGCTCTAAAAGTGAGATTCAAGCGAGTACAAGCGAAAACAGTGTCCTTAGTAAAGGGGTAATCAATATATTTACTTAGATATGTTTCGTACTGTGATTTCTTGTGAAGGGATACTAAGAGTTTTAAGGTGAAGTTTCTCGATTTCTTCTCATCTACTTTTGCTTCATACACAATTATCAAAATGTTCAATATTTCAGCTGTGGACATTGTTTCCTTGCCAAGATTAACAGAAACAACAGGAGCAACGCAGTCGAATCCCGGCTTGGATCATATTTAGTAAGATTTCGAGTAAGTTTCTTCATTAGCATTAATTTTGTGGTTTCATTTTATAGTCTTATGTATTTAGTAACTGCTATTTTGTATCAAGATGGAGGACTCTTAAGCTGAAAATAACTTAACTTAGGAAAGTGATTCAATTGCCTCGGAAAAAGGAAGGATCAGGTTCAGGTAGATAAACTGTCTTGATCCCTTTTTGTAGTTTTTTTTTTATGGTCTTGTGTGTATATAGTATACTGCTAGCATAATGGTTTTGTACCAAGGTAAAGGATTCTTAAGAGGAAAAATAACCCAATTTAAGAAAACCATTCAGTCTCCCTGAAAGAAGGGTCAGGTAGATAAACACACACTGATCCAATGTTTTTCTGGAAATTTCTGACGTGTGTAAGTAATCTATAACTTGCAAGAACTAATAAAACATATCATATTTCTCTTTTAGATGCGAGTCCATGACAAGGAACGAGAATAGAATTCTTCTTCTTGTAAGGAATGGAGATCCCGGAAGTGATCGCCTGAGAAAGAGCATCCATGGCAAAGATTCCGATCTGATCTTTTGCTTAGTTTTCTCAGTCAATTGAGTTTTTCTTTGGAGGGAGTGTTTAACAAATTTACAAAAAAAAAAGAACACAACAACAGAGAGAGACAAGTTGTTTTAGATTTCTCTCTGTACAATGGCTCTTTAGATTAACGAACAATTGCCCCACAGTTTTAGGTATTTACGAAATTGCCCCTCAACTTTCGATATTTACGAAATTGCCCCACAGCTTTAGGTATTTACAAAAATGCCCCACAACTTTCGATATTTACGAAATTGCCCCACAACTTTCACTATTTACCAAATTGCCCCCACAACTTTAGATATTTACGAAATTACCCCAAAAGTTTTGGTATTTTCGAAATTACCCCACAACTTTCGATATTTACGAAATTGCCCCACAACTTTCGATATTTACGAAATTGCCCCACAGTTTTAGGTATTTACGAAATTACCCCTCAACTTTCGATATTTACGAAATTGCCCCACAACTTTCGATATTTACGAAATTGCCCCACAGCTTTAGGTATTTACGAAATTGCCCCACAACTTTCGATATTTACGAAATTGCCCCACAACTTTTGGTATTTACGTATCGCCCCAAAACTTTCGGTATTTACGAAATTGCCCCAAAAGTTATGGTATTTTCGAAATTACCCCACAACTTTCGATATTTACGAAATTGCCCCACAACTTTCGGTATTTACGAAATTGCCCCACAACTTTCGATATTTACGAAATTGCCCCACAACTTTCGGTATTTACGAAATTGCCCCACAACTTTCGGTATTTACGAAATTGCCCCAAAACTTTCTATATTTACGAAATCGCCCCAAAACTTTCGGTATTTGCGAAATCGCCCCAAAAGTTTCGGTATTTACGAAATCGCCCCACAACTTTTGATATTTACGAAATTACCCCACAACTTTCGATATTTACGAAATTGCCACACAGCTTTCGATATTTACGAAATTGCCCCACAACTTTCGGTATTTACGAAATTGCCCCACAACTGTCTATATTTACGAAATTGCCCCAAAACTTTCGGTATTTACGAAATTGCCCCACAACTTTCACTATTTACGAATTTGCCCCACAACTTTTGATATTTACGAAATTACCCCACAACTTTAGGTATTTGAGAAATTCCCCCACAACTTTCGGTATTTACGAATTTGCCCCGAATGTTTGAGATTTACGTAATTTCCCCCAAAACCTTTGCTATTTACAGAACTTTCAGAATTTGCCACAACTTTCAGAATTCACGAAATTGTCCCTGAACTTACGTGAATGAGAAAATTTTGCCGGTCTGAGTTTCATGGGTGCGAGTTTCGTTTCGTTTCTTAGATCTATATTCGGTACATAAGTTTTATTACCTTTAAACTAATTTTCATAAAGATTTGACATCTTAAAGTGTTTATCACCGGTGGATGTAATGGGAACTCTGTATCTTTGCTAAAAACTGCTTATATTAGATTCTTGAATTCACATTTGATGATCGGTTGATCCGTACATCAGAGTTCTTCAACATAGAAACTAAAAGCAACTGCTACTGAATGAATTGCAATTAAGCTGTCCTCTCATAAACATATTAAAAGATAAAACATTTTAAATTAAATTTGTAAAATTCAGACAGTTTCTGTAGCAAATAAGATTTGGAGATTATATTTCACGCAGAATAATGTAAATCTGAGTCTTCTGATATGACTAAGCAATAAAAGTTGCAGACCAGCAGGCTTTTATGGTCATCATTCATCCAGTATGTATCACACCGACCGTAAAGCACCAGCTTGCAAAGAATCTTGCAGAGATGTGACGGCGCCTTCGTAGTTTAAGAAACCCATGAACCAGAACTCATGATTGTCTACCGAAATCACCTGTATGTACTTCTCTGCAGGATTGACTATGCTTGTTGATGGGTTCACTGCTTTAAGTTGATGTAATGGGATTACTACCTATTTCAGAAGAAGACACACAGTGTTCATTAATGATCAAAGTATTCAGTAATCTTATTGCAATGAATAAACAGTTTAAGCTAATGCAATTGTATCGGATGGTTTCGAGGAAACAAGTGATGAGAAGCTGATGCTATCGTATTATTACTCTCACAAAAAAAGTCGATCGATTTATGATTCCGGTATCAACTTAAGATTAATTTTCAATCCTAATGAATCACTCTACGGCAGCTCCTTAGTTGATGCTACTAACAAATTAAAACGAAACATTGTCTTAAGCATTGAGCAGATAACCAGCCAACAGATTTCGAACAGTTATGATCACAGAAGTAATAATATGGTGTCTTCGAAATGGTTATAATTCTGAAATGCAAGATGTAGGACACATTACCTTGTAATAGCTCCATTCGGTTTGATCACCATTTTTATAGGAGAGAGGATTGTCACTACAGTAAGCAAGTTTGGCAGTTGATATATAGAACTCCCATAACTGGGCCAGCTGATGTTGACAAGTAACATGCAAAAGAATTTAGCAATTGTTCTTCAGGAACTGTCTCAAAGGTTTGTCGGAATATCTTCTCATATCCTCCTTCTGCAAAGACCTTTGTACTCTGTGCAATTCTTCCCATAGCAGCATCCGCAAAACTCGGAGCAGTTCTCACTGATTGAAAGAGAAGATTATAAAAGACATCAATCAGAAAGATCTTGAATGAAAAATGCTAGAGAAGGAAACAAGTAAAGCACATTCAATCAAAGTTACGAGTTTCACACACAAACAATTTAAACGTATATGTAACTTTTCTTAGTCACCCAAATACAACACTAGGTAAATGCAGGGATTAGACATTTTCCTTCAAACTCCATTGCTCAAACATTTACAACTTCACTCGATTAGAGTGAAATAACTTTCTGATTTCGCAACTAGGAACTAATTCCCACTCCATAACACTACATCACGAACGACCATGGCCCAAGCTTAAACTCATATCCACAGTTTTAGCTCATAATTCACCAACGCCTGTTTTTTTGTTAATGTTCGACCAAATGTATTATAATCCAAGTTCCAAGAAGTAATACAGCAACTATATCTATTCTGGAGCATCTAATTTCAATCTGTTATTTAGTTCTTTAACAAATGATCTACTAGATTTGAGTGCAAACATCATTCAGCAATGCCAAACAGAGAAGATCGATTCAAACATGATATGAAATCACAAAATTGAAGCAGTTCTCACAGATTAAAATAGAAGGTTGTAAGAGAGATCACTCAAATAAATCCTGAATGAAATATGCTAGAGAAGCAGACAAGTACAACACATCCAATCAAGGAAGACATGAGTTATAGAGTTCACACAAAAACACTGTAAACATAAATTTAATCTTGTAAACTTTCTTAATCCCCCAATTTCAATATTTTTAGCTAGTCCTCAGACATTTTGTCATTTTCCCTCAACTTCCATTGCCCAAACATTCAACAAACCACCGAGAACATCTCTTGATTAGAGTGGTAATTCTTCAGTCCGCAAAAAGGCTTTTTGATTTCAAAACTAGGAGCTAATTCCCTACTAGTTAGACTACATCACGAATGACCATGTCTAAGCTCAAACTGATATCCAGCTCTTAATTCATCAAAGGGTGTTTCTAATTACTGTTCACCAAAGGTATTATAATTCCAAGTTCCAAAGAAGTAACATGGCAACTAATACCTATCTAGAGCACCTAATTTCAATCTGATATTTTCTTTGTTACCATACAATCTACTAAAAACCTGACTGGAAACATCACACAGAGAAAGAATCTGCTTTAAGGTTATTCAGACTCTCTAATAAACACTTTTCATGGCCTCATGGGTCAAGGTACAAAGTTTGACAGATTCAAACTTGGAGAATCTTCTTTTTCAAATCCAAGACAGATTTTTTAATTACTATGATCACAAACTTGACAATATCAAAAGATCATCCTCTAAAACTGAGCAAATGTGCTATTAATCTTGGTCTGGAGAAAAATCGAAGGGGAGCGATCCATGTAGAACAATTATGATTCTAAACTGTTTTTGAAGATAAACCCGAGGAAAAGCGAGATATTTCTTCCAACACAATATGATTCCACAGCTAAAATAGGCCGTTAATTATTCTAAGCAAGAAATCAACAAGATCAAATCTTTTAATGTACTGACTAAAGACTGACATTCAGGGGAGTGTTCCGTTTGTAATATATAAAAATTTATCAAAACAAGCCAGTAAGAACGTCCCATTTTACAGCAACAACATGTTGAAAAGAGATCAAGAATTGAGAAATCATAAAGATAAACTAGAGCACTATCGAATATGATGATATTTACTCAGTCCTAAAACCAGTAGTAACCTAAACACCAACATACATCAAAGGAAGAAAACCATAAAGCCAAAAATATCTTTTATGTTTCTCCAATTAATCAACCAAAAATGTAGACTTTGAGTAGAACAAGCTACTCTATCAACAATTCTTGATTCCCCTGCAAGAATTTGATTCCAAGTTGATACAAAAATCGAAAACTTACGGTGTTGCCATGTGTTCCCGGCAAGACTCTCCGTCTTCTTTGCTGCTTCTGCAACCTTCTTTCCCCATCTACCAAGCACTCCTTTCACAGACTCCATCGTATCTAATCCAATTCACAGAGAGACATCACAAAAAGGTAATACCAAGCAATACACAATCTCACAGGTACGAATCACAACACTACACCATTTACACTCTTACCTTTCAACGACGCATCTGACGACGTCTCAGCCGGAGAACGAGCAATATACGGATTAGATCCAGCCGAAGAAGACGATGATGCAGCTTTCTGATCCGGTTCCTGAGACCCAGACACCAATTCAGGGCTCCAGTGTACAGATTTCTTCGATCCAGACGATGTTCGACTCGGAGCTTTCACCGGCGTTGTATCGCTCCCCTTCGATAAAACCTCATCGGACAAAGATATCTCGGTGCTCGCATCCTCGACGACGCTCAACGATGGATCCTTGACCGGAACATCAGTCTTCACTTCGGTATCTCCCTTCGTCGGCTCCATAAATTGATCTCCAGGGACGGATCGTGGCGCGTACGGCGGCGCGTGAGATAAACGGCTTGTTTTGATTTTGAATTTTTGCAAAGGATCGTATCGTTGCCTTTGCTTCTTTTTTTTCTTTGGTAAAAAATAAAATTATATATATAATTGTTATATATACCAGTAAATACGTATTTGTTCCCTACATTACATATTTATGATAATTATGATACGTTTGATTTTTTTAGTTAGACAATTAAGAGGTATGGATTAAGATCAATAGGGACATGAGCACAAGGGTCTATGTTTTTCTATGTTAGTAGTGTCAGATTAGTTTCTTCTTTGGGCAAATCAATTTTTAATCAAAGATATGGAACATTTGATGTTTTTAACTAAAAAAGAGGTTCAATATATTATCAGAAAATGTTGAGGAGTAATATGAGCGGTATAGACTTCATACGTTCTTCACCAAACTGCCTACTACCAAGACTCGCAGTAATTTGATGAACGGTTAAGGACACTAAATCTACATGAGACGAGATCATTTCTTTTACCTACAATACATCGTCATATAGCACTCGGTCCCTTATCATATCGTAATGCTTATGAGGTTCCCTATTTAGTGTAAAGGTGTATGAGATAACGAGAAAGGACGAGAACAATATGGTGATATATCATATATGGGTGGAGAACAAAGAGAATTTGGTCGAGAAAAATAATAAATTGAATGGACAAAATTATACTTTTCAAAATTTAAGGATGGTCTAGGTTTTATATTTTTTGAGGATGAGCTAACAACTTTGGTGATTTGATCAAAAAATTCTTTTTCTTTTTAGTGAGATTGTTTGAAGGTGGTCTGCAAAATTACTCTACTAACGTGGACTGCAAAAATATTTCGGTATTCAATGATCCGATTAATATGAAAATATAATTGGATTCAGGTTCCAAACTTGAGTCTGGTTGGACTTGAATTTGAGAACTTATTGGTCGATTGAGAATCTATAATAAATTGAATATTTAAGAGTTAGATAAAAAAAATTCAATTAAATATATCGTGAAACTCTTAAAACATAATAGTGTATTCTTTAGAGGTTTCAACATAGATTATTTAATGCATGTAGATTATAAACTAAAATAATGAATAACTCCCCTTAGATTTTTCATAAGTTACTTAAAAAGTTAAAACTAATAACTTTGTATGCAAGTGAAAATAACCAAAGCTACTATGATAAAATAAGAAAAGTTACGAGGTTAGGCGCCACATCCACGAAAAGCTAGAAAGAGAGGCCTACCAAAGGCCTCGTCCAAACTTCTTCTACAAACTAATTTAATTAAATTTTCTTTTTGGTAAAATTTTTATATATTAATTTGGTCAAAGCTGGCAGGAAAAAAAGTTTCAAATTATAATTTTTCTTGAAGAAGATACAATGCATATTAAGGTCAAAGCAAGAGTCTAACAATTTATTATTCAAGGGATATAAATAATTGTTAGGTATTGAAATGATAACTAAGCATTTCACACCGTAACAATGATAGCTGTAGAATATCAGAATGCGCGTTTGCTTGACTGTTTCGTTGTAAGTTTATAACAATAATGGCCACCAAGTAATCTGTCACTAAAATATTGCAACAAAATTAAATAAAATATAACTAAAATGATCTAGTAATTATTTTTGATTTATCAATTAAATTAACATGAATATATGACAGCTTTTGCCAGCCCTTACTCGTATAATCAGTCCAGATAAACACAATACAACGAATATGTATGATAACTTTTTTCAACAGAAACGATTATAATATACATTTAAAATAATTAAGAGTTGAAAAAAATTGATAAGACATAGTATGAATAATGAATCTGAACTAAAATAATGACCCATTTTTCGTATAATGTTAATTATTTACTCGTAACGCGTTATGTCCATTAAACATTAGTCAAAACTCGTGTTAAATTTACGCTGGCATTGTAACGCGGTTAACCAAAAACGCAAATTACACACAGTCAAATCATATCTAATAACCAATATAAACACAACACGTGTCAATATTAACGGATCTCAGAATTACCTCGTTAAGGAAAAACACGTGTCAGAACTCTGTGGATCCGTTTGGTGTTCCTTCATGTAGATGATTCTTCAAGAAAACTTCAAAAACTCAAACACGTCAAGTTAAAAAAAAAAAAAAAAAGACAGCAATTATTTTTAAAACCGCCATTGAAAAGCTAAGCCATGTTGTATTTTAGTATGTGGTTCGCATGATTAGTGTCACACCAATAATTAATTAATTATTTAATTATCCCCAACCATCGGGTATATATAGAACTCTTCTCTCATTGTTCAACACCATCAACAAAAACAAAGAAAAGAGTTTAAAACATCAAACAAAGAGTTTCAAGATTCAGACAAAGACAATGAATTCTAAGACAATGCAAGCTTTGATCTTTCTTGGTTTCTTGGCCACTTCATGTCTCGCTCAAGCTCCTGCACCGGCACCAACCACCGTTACTCCTCCACCAACGGCGCTACCTCCGGTGACAGCAGAAACACCTTCACCAGTTGCTTCACCACCGGTTCCAGTTAACGAGCCAACTCCAGCTCCAACCACTGCTCCTACCACTTCACCAACAACATCTCCGGTTGCTTCTCCTCCTCAGACCGATGCTCCTGCTCCTGGTCCCTCCGCTGGATTAACTCCAACTCCGGCTCCAGCTCCAGGACCAGACGGTGCCGCTGATGCACCAAGTGCCGCGTGGGCTAACAAAGCTTTCCTCGTAGGAACAGCTGTTGCCGGAGCTTTATACGCTGTCGTTTTGGCTTAGAGAGCTTTTGAGTTTGGTGGATTTGGATCCTCTGCTTTCTATTATTGTTTTATTTTAATTACTTCTTCTCGTTCATATTTGTTATTTACTTCTATTATTATTTTGACGTGGACACATGTATAATTTGTTGGGGTTGAGATGAACATAGAGACGAGATGGTGTAATATCTATTCTTTTTTATAAATCAAAATAATCCTTTTAAATTTACTTTCGCTTTGTTATGTATTTTCAATAACAAAATTTTAAGAGCGTAGATGGGTCGTTGTAGTTCATGTTGCTTAGGTCAAAATATCTTGACATGGATTGGAAGTCTCATCATACTATTTAAAAGCCATGTACATTATTTAAAATAAAAAAATCAGAATCCCTTTTATATATAATCAAAAGTTACTTAAGATTTTTTTGTTTAGATAGTTACACTTACACATAGTAAAAGAAGGTTTTTGAATCTAATTCTTTGGAATGAAGTTTTAACCAGATTTGAGTTATTATGTTGATCACTCTGCTTGATAAGCTCATATGTGATTCCTCTGAAATTTTTGATAATGACTAGAAAGAAACAGAGTAGAAGAAACACTAATATTTGTTTCTACTTTCTAATGTGAAAGGTCCACAAGAATTGAGAAACAAACTCAAACATATTGACAAAAGAAAATAAATATAGAATTAACGCAACTTGGTATTTCTCTACAATTACCCTTATTTTTGTGTGAAAATAATTTGTGTTTTCAAACAAGCAGTGTGAATAATTTACTCATCTCTCACCTACTAGTGTTCCATATCACTATTAATATACAGGATATGGCAGCTAACAGTGATGCACTCATAAACTGTTGTGAATTGATTGATAAGACATTGCATTTGATTAATAAAGATGTTCTTTCTGCTCTGGGAAAGCAATGAGTGATCGTTAACGTGGCTCGTGGGGCTATAATCGATGGGGAAGAAATGGTGAGATTGGTTTGGTGGGAGACCTAGTGTTCCTAAGAACCTTTTTGAATTGGATAATGTTGTTTTCTCTCCACAATAGCTTTTATGACATCGTCAAGGTGGAAGTCTTGAAGAACTTGGGTAAGTTTTTTAGTAGGGAATATATATTATTTTTTTTCCAAGAAATACCATTAAGATCAACTTAAAAGTTACACAGGTACCTTTTATAAGATCAACTTAAAACTTAAAAGTTTTTTAGTATGGAATCTATGTCTTCCTTAGCACTTGTAATATACTATTGCAAGAATGTAGGAATCACATATTTTTGTGCCAGCCTAGTTTTTCATTCCTATATAAAACACGCTGCTCTATATACTGCACTTTATTCGCTATCAAATCATGGCGGGTGTGCTTCGAGATTCTCATGTTTCTACAAACGATAAGTTTGCGGATGCCTTCACCAAACTGCTACCTCGAGCGCGTCATCAAACACCATGTTCCAAAATTGGAGTCACACGAATACCTCCAACTTGAAGAATGAAGAAGCATATAACAGATATTAGTAAATATGTGTGGAAAGTCTATGTCATTAGCTTTTTTCTGGTCTCTCTTATAAACCTATATATTTGTACATCTTACTTCTAATTAGAAGTTCACATATTTGCTTAGTTTTCAATTGTAGATGGCAATTCTAGCATCTTTCTGGTATTTCTGGAACTCCATTTCTGTTCGTCAACCAACACAAGCTCATTAGTAATAGCCCATTATCTTCTAGCGGGCTTGAAAAGAGGACTCGCACATCTTTCATCAAACTCCGATTCATTCAAACATCATATTTTGTGGATCCTAAATTCTTCTTTATCACTTCTTCATAAACATTTGGGTCAATCTTGCCTACTACGAATTTAGAAAAGTTACAAACTTTTGTGGTAAATCTGCAAAATAAACAAAGACAAAACAAAATGATAAATATTTGAGAATGTTTTTTTTTCATATATATGAATTTTGTGTAGTTCGATGTTGTTTTCTCTAACTAAACTATCTACACCGTGCGGCATGGTAAACGAGAAACTAATCTTTGATACCAAATAATTTAGCCGACACAAAATATCTTTACTTTTGTAGTTAATTAGGATGGCATGAAAGTTTTATGAGGTCCTTGATAAAAGTTTTCAGATATGAAATATGAATCATATATAATTTTGGACGTATATTAATATGTATGTTAAAAGGGAATATAATTGTAACAAAAGCCTTGATGATTGATGAGTAAAAAGGCAAGGAACAATAACAGCTAAGTTTGCCCATGGAATTACCGACCAAAAGTTCAGACAATGGGATGTCACACTTCCATTTTCTCCCTCTCTCTCTCTTAGGAATCATAGAAGAGAAGAAACAACTAATAAAACCAAAGAACGAATAAGATTAATTTCACTATATATGTATGTAACTTTGAATTTACATATCTTCTTTGGTAAGTTTTTTACATCAATCTCTTTAGGTTAGGTGTTTGGTAGACACACGAAATTCCGGATGAAAATGTTACCATTATGATGTAGTCATAGTCGTGAGTGAATTGGTTGGCCGAACATAGCAAAACATTAGTAGTATTTTAAATTTTTGAGAGAGTACGTACGTGTTTGTTATGATATGGAAAGTGTGGGTGCAAAAAGATTAGTACTCTATATGGGAATTCTAAATTTTCGAGTATTTTACAGATTGGTTAATTGGTGGAAAATTAAGTTGTGCTTTAGTGTTACTTTAATATGAATATATGTGAAAATTTTCTTTGACAAAAAAAAATATATGTGAAAATTTTAGTAAAGGTTTCTGCGGTTTAGTGTTATTGCATTGCGGTTTCAATCATTATTGATTGTTGTGAATGTTTTATTTACATTGCAAGATTATCTAACCATTCCAAAAATGTGGGACATTAATTTGAAACTTCAATATGAGATTCCTTATCATAGAAAAAAAATATGAAGTAGAGTGGAATTTGGTGTTTTGAATTTCTTCACTTTATTAGTGTTATCATATATAGACTATAGTCTCTTCGGGTGAATTGTAAGATATTTCAAAATGAAATGATATCAATATATTTGCTAATTATATTACACGTACGAAACTAAGGTGGCATATATAATTAAATAAAATGATTTTGTATATGACTAACATGGAGCACATATATATAAGTAAAGAACAAAATAAAGGTGAAGGAAAAATGCCAAAAAGACATGAGTGGAGAAACCAGGCTAGCTTAGACACACCATAATAAACTAGTTTTCCTTTTTGTTAGATTTGGACCCAAATGCACTTTTTTGGTTGTTGTAAATTTAATACTATAAAAGCTATGCTTATTTCTTTTTATTTGGTAAATGATTTATAAAAGCTCTTTTCTTGCTTTTCTTCTTTTGTTTTTGTTTACTTACTATAAATTTATAGAGATGCAAGAGGGCCACAAGAAAAAAGAAAAATATCTAGTGTCATAGCTCATGCTTTTATTTTTGTTTCTTCTCTCTTCTTTTTGTTTTAGAATCAACATAATTGATGACCCTAGAGTAACTGAAATTGGAACTACACAAAATTATGTTGATTTGTAGTTAAATAATCTCAAAATTTTTTGAGAAAAAAGATTAGTGAAATAAATAATAACATGCACGAGCTGTAACGAGGTATCTCGTAATAGCTAGAATGGAGAATTTTTTTTAGGATTTATTTGTGAAGTGCTCAATGTTAATCTTCCAATAGATTAAAATCAGATTTAATTAATATTAAATATTTTGGAGTCTAATGAAAGTGGTAGAGATCTAATGGTGTAATCATTATGCAATTATACAACTCTTTGTGTCGTACGGATATTAATATACATATTATGTTTGCTTTCTTTTTATTATTGTACTAGATTCTGATCCGCACGAACGTGCGGGGATATATTTGTAGATGTATTTATTTGGTATAACATCCATTATCTTACTTCATATCAGTTTGGTATTCGGTTTAGTTTCAATTTGGTTTAGACAAAATAATAATTAATCGGATTTGTTTTTGGTTACAATAAAGACAATTACATAATTAAAAAGAGAGAGAAAAAATAGACATATCAATTTTGAGACAGAAAATCTGTATGGTCACATATCTACCACACACATTTAATCACATAAGCGTTAATTTACTCGTTTGTGATTGTATATCGTGTAGGTCTAGGATTCGGATGGAATACCCGTATTTTATGTATTTTCGTTTAGGTATTTAATTTTTACATATTTAGTTGAAGTTATCCATATTTTCTTTATATTCTTAATATTTCACTATTATGTTTTAGAAAATACCCAAATTCCCAAAATTTCCATCACGAAATAAATTTTACCCGTTCTAAAATCTTTTATTTGGCACATGCTACGCTAGATAAATTGAAAGAAACATTTTAAATATATGATTGCAAGCAATGTTTTATTTTAATTGTAATATGTTATACGACATTTTTTTTAGGAATTCTCATCCCATCTCGTTCAAAAAGTCAGTTTCAATATTTAGGGTTAACACACTATTATAATCTTAACAATGTGATTGTGAATCAAAGTATTAAATATAGATTCGAGTTATATGCTTGATTTAAAAAAAATAATCTATAATTAGAGTTATATTTGGCAAGTATAATAACTGTTGTGATATGATTTCGTAAACTAATTTAAGATTTGATTTAATCGTAAAAAATGTATTTTCTATTTTTATTATTTCAAATTTGTTATTGTCAATTGTTATGGAAACCTATTAAATCATAACAGTAAATTTAGTTTGTTTGAGTTTTGGATAGAAAAGAAAGGAAGATCTTTTTGAATATATATTGTTAATGATCCAACGAAATAAATACATATACTTTTTGAATATATATTTTTGACCAAAAGAAAAATGCTCAACAATATATATATATATTTCGAATTTTTTTAATTTGTTTTTTAAATTTAATAATTCTAATGGCATTCATTGTAATTAATCTACCAAAATAAGGTTTGATAGTTTTGAGTGATTCCCAATTAATAATATAGATAAGTAAAATTTGTTTTCTTTAAATGATTTTTAGCAGTTGAAAAGGCAAAAGGCGGAAATGTTGTATTATTATTTGAGAATAATTTCATCCAATCTGTATTTTTTTGGATTACTCGATTTGTTCTCTTTTTATTTTAATATTAAAATTATACTCCAACGTCACCCGTAGTTCGATACATGTGGTATCAAAAGTTTAGTTTATTTTTTACATTCATACGTGTGTGTATAAAATTCTACATATAAATTATCATTATTCACTCCAAATGAACTAGATCAATAAAGTTAAGGATGCGCGTGTGCATCGTATGAACATACGGTATACTTTTACTTATGACGACTAGATGTTCAATGCGGTGATTATTTTTAATTTATTTTATTTCTTAACATCAAAGCTCTGTACATTAAATTCTAGAAAATGATATTTTTTAGAGAGACAATCAAAAACGAACAAATTTTTATATTAATTAAAAATAAAACCTCGTATTTTATTTGCACATTTTGTAAGTTGATCAACACATATATTAATACTATTGTAGACATATAAAAAAAATTAAAACTCAAAAAAATATCGGTAATATGTAAAAATTTAAGATCCGCTGTAAATGTAGAACATTTCGGAACATTCAGAGATCATAGCAAACAAATCTTAGCAATTCTTTTCCGGAGCAATTCATCTTTTCCGAAAGCAGCATACAACTTTTCGTTGTACTGCACTCTCCAAGTGTATTTGGTCCGTCGTAAAAAGAACTCCAGTCATAAGGAATGTAATAGTTCTATCTCTTGATTATATATTTAAATGATCGTATATTACAGTTTCAAGATATGTTCGATAAATATTTTATCCACCCGATAGTAAAATCCTGCAAATGAAGTAAAAATGGTATAATATAAAAAAATTTGTTGAATATATATAGTATAATTTACACTAAATTTAGATACCAATTGCGATTGTTAATATAAGTCATGAGAGCGGTTTAACATTTGCATTTTTTTTTCTTACTGATTATGAAATATAGATATTTTTTTAATTACTACTTCAACAAGATTGATTGTTTGATACTAAATACGTTTGTATAGTTGATTTAGGCCTCAATATTCTTACGTAACATTCCTCTTAAAAAGTGAATATATAGACAAATGAAAACAATTAAAAAAATCCTGCAAAAAGATGTCAAACAATTATTCAAGGTCAGAATTACCTCAATTATTTTACATCTAAGTTTTATACGCTTTATTGCAATAATAAAAATACAAAATACTAAATAGTAGTTCCACCTATTCCGAAAGAATCTTTTAGGGTGAGTGACAAAAACCCAACACGAATCATACTTTACAAATCAGAGCTCATAAATTGCCTCTCATAACCCAAACATAAATATTTCAAAAATCAAAATAAAACCAAAATCGAATTTAAAACAATTAAATAGTAATATACTAAAAAAAGGTACTCGTACGTAAACCCCTCTCCTCTGTCTCCCTATTTAAACCCTATAACACTTCAACACCAAATCCTCAAGCTTCTGCTTCTTCTGCATCTTTTACCCACTTTTTTCTTTTATTTTTTTCTTCTTTTTTTGCTTCATCTGAAGTATTAACAATGTCAAAGAGTAAAGTCATAGCTTCAATGGAGTTCCAATCAACGGTGGTAACCACCGTAGACTGTCAGAAACAAGTCCGGTCATGGTGTCTCCTCCGCTCATTCATTCAGCTTCTAATACCAACTTGCAACTGCACGTTAGTCCAAGAACTCGAACAAGATAACCCTAACTTGGGAAGCAAGAAACTCTACAATGACATCAAATCACGCACGTCTTCTTTTCGTTCCTCTTCGTCCCTTTCTTCGTCGACTGTCACTGGAACAATCTTCGGATACCGCAAAGGAAAGATCAATTTCTGTATCCAAACACCAAGAAAATCGACAAACCTCGATCTTCTTCTAGAGCTAGCAGTTCCAACGACGGTTTTAGCTCGAGAAATGAGAGAAGGAGCGTTGCGTATAGTGTTAGAACGTCACAACGAAAAAGAAGACTACGACTCTGTTTTGTCAAAGCCATTTTGGAACATGTATTGCAACGGAAAAAGAGTTGGGTATGCGAGAAAACGCAGTCCGTCTCAAGAAGACATGACGGCGTTGACCGCTCTAAGTAAGGTGGTGGTTGGAGCAGGAGTTGTGACTGGGAAAGAACTTGGCCGGTTCGATGATGAATTGATGTATTTGAGAGCTAGCTTCAGACGAGTGAATGGTTCGAAAGAATCTGAATCTTTCCATTTGATTGATCCAGCTGGGAATATCGGACAAGAACTCAGTATCTTCATCGTTCCATCATCGGTCTGAGTTAATTACCGCTGAAGTGATCGTACATAAGAGTTCTGTTTTCAAGTTTCTTTCCTTTTTTTTCTTTGGTCGAGAGAAAAGAACCTGTTTTTGAGTCGTGCTTAAAGCTTTTGGCTTTAGCTCTGGCTTTGTATGTAATCTACATACCGATTCGATAGTCCATTGATTTGAGTTTTACATTTTTATCTTGTTGCTATCATTTCTGTACTACATAAATAATGGTCTTGTCTTTAAAAAACTGCTTATCCAGAGACAATGAGAATAATTCGGCAAAAATAGATACTATGAGTATTATTATACTAATGGGAAAATTCCCAAAAAAAACCTCATTTATTTTTTATTTGGATGTTTAATACCCAATTGTTTTTGCTTGGAAGAAAAATACATATATTAATAAAATCATGCGATTTAATACCCAAACAATTAAATGTTGTTATTTTCATACTCACGATCTCACAACAAAAATAAAATTCCAATTTTACCCTTACCATCTCAATTAATTATTAACTTTTAGATGACGTGACAATAGTTTTTCTCTTTAAATAAAAATTAATTTTATTAATATTTCATTTCTTTTTTATTCAAAAAAAATCAAAATAATTTTCATTTTATTTTACAAATATTTAATTTTTAAAATTAAAATAAAATTAATTAGCAAAAAATTAAAAAAAAAAATTAAAATAGCCATTTTTATGAATTGATAAATCTTGAGAAAGACGATGAGATTCGGATTGAGATTTTGTCGAAAATAGTTTCATTCGTGAAGGATTTATATTCGAATAGAGAGTTTCTCACGACGAAGAAAAAGTTCATATTGATGCTCGTTGATATCATATGCATCACGACGAATAAAATCAAATTAGTTTTATTGGCGATGAAGATTTTGGATACGATTAAAAAGAGATCGTGAACGGTTATCGAATTTGATGGTTGCAAAAGATGACGACGGAGATTGTTTACCGGCGATTCTCGTAGAGATTAATCGAGAAAATTTAGAATCGAAGAGGAAACGTCTTTTTGACATTGCAAAGACGGAATAAGATTGTACAAATGACTAATTTTAATATTTTTGATTTTCTGGTAATTTTTATGTTTAATTTTAAAATAAAATAATCTTATAAAAAAAATTTTATTTTTAGGCAACATAAATAAAACATTAGTAAAATTATTTTTTTTTAAATAAAAAAAACTAATGCCATGTCATCTAAAATTTAATAATTAATTGAAATGGTAAGGGTAAAATTGGAATATTCTATTTGTTGTGAGTTCGTGAGTATGAAAATAACAATATTTAATTATTTGGATATTAAATCGCACCGTTTAATTAATATGTGTATTTTTCTTCCAATAAAAAACAATTGGGTATTAATCGTCCAAATAAAAAATAAATGAGGTTTTCTTTGGGAATTTTCCCTTATACTAATGTTCATAATGCAATTAATAGACTAAAATGAGTAGTAGTTGACAAAGAAGGAAAAAACAAAAAATATTACTCTCAAAATATCCCAAACAAATTTATTTTTTTCGTGACTGGAATTCTCTTAATTATACAACGCAAATGTTAGTAACGAACACTTGATTAAAAAAAACGAAGTCTCAAGTAAAATTTGCAGAGAAAATGCCATTTAAAATAATTCTAATGATAATCATGGAGGTCAAAAAAACAACATCAGATCACATGGTTTAGGCGCCAAAACCACAAGTAAACAAACTAAGTCACTCATAGAGGCCAACACGTGTCCGTATCTTAACGGAATATAAAAAAGGGTCATATTTTCCACTAATGAAAAACAACACTTAAGGAGTAATGAGTGGAACCTTACCAGAAATTGATAAACCATAGCCTTTAAGACCAACGTAATGTGCCGGATTATTCGTCATCACCTTCATCTCTCTAACTCCAAGATCCCTCAGAATCTGCATCACCAATCTTCTTTGATCACTCTTTCGCTATTTAAAAAGAAACAGTAAACATAGTTAATGAATCAATGTTTTTATTTTTACTTGTGCTCCAATGCCGTATTCCCGTGAAGCAACGGGAAATGAAACACCCTCGGCTTGATCTGAATTGGTGTTATAAGTACGAGGCTTGTGGCTTAGGTCAATGCCTTTACTTTCAGGACCACGTAAGTAAACAAAAACACCTCTCCCAGTTTCTTCAATCAGTCTCATTGCAATCGCTAACTGTTTTCCACCAGAGCTATTTCCGAATATATCATCTGTGATACACTCCGCGTGTACTCTCACTAGAATATCCTTCCCATCTCCGATTTCTCCCTGTGTTTTTATCATAATGGGTTATAAGAAACGGAAGTCTTGCATGGTTTCAAATAGGGTTTATTCTTACCTTGACCATTGCAATGTGCTCAACTCCATCAAGTAATGACTTAAAGCAATGTGCTCTGAATGGTCCCCACATTGTCGGTATAGGCGCAACCGCAGTAAACTCTACCAGTCTCTCTCTTTTCCTTCGGTATCTACCAGAAAAAGTTTGCAGTTGAAATCCAGAGGAAAACATCAGTAATTGAGTGTTCTTAATCCAAACACCAGTAGCTGATCTTGAAATGGTTGTATTATACCTGATTAGATCAGCGATTGAAATTATTTTCAAGTTGTTCTGTTTAGCGAATTGGCTAAGTCTTGGTAATCTAGCCATGGAACCATCATCATCTACAATCTCACATAAAACCGATACTGGTTCTAAACCAGCCAACACAGTCAAGTCAACAGAGGCTTCTGTATGCCCTGCTCTTTTAAGAACACCACCTTCTCTGTATCTCAAAGGAAAAATATGACCAGGACGATTGAAATCTTCAGGTTTTGAATCTTTTGATGCAAGAGTTAATATTGTTTGCGCCCTATCACGAGCTGAGACACCTGTGGATGTTCCCTTTTTTGCGTCCTGGCAAAGATTTTCAACATTCTTGTCATCACAGTATCACACCACACTAAAAGTCTTGTGGTTTTCTCAACACTAAGGAAAAACATATTCTACTTTACCACTGAAACCGTGAAGGCAGTATGGAGTTTTTCCTCATTATCCTTTCGGGTCACCATTAAAGGAAGCTCTAACCTCTCCAAGTCTTCTCCTTTCATGCTCACACACACGATTCCTGTCCCATGCTTTACAACAAAAGCCATAGCTTCAGGTGTTACCAACGATGCCGCCATGATCAAATCTCCTTCGTTTTCTCTATCCTCATCATCTACAACAACTACCATCTGCAAGAAAACGCAAAGCTTTCTCACTTAAAATCTTCTCCTTGTAAGACAGAAAATCCAACACTATTGCTACTAACACAAACCTTGCCCAGTCGAATATCGTCAATAGCTTGAGGAATAGACGCAAATCCATCAGTAGGTCGATCTAAATCAAACTCTTCATCGTCAACATCAGGAGAATCCATTGTTGTTGGAATCATTTCAGCTGCTAATGTTCCAAACGAAACCAAATCCGGTTGCAACTCAATCCCCATTGATGATCCATTAGAGGAAGAGAACACATCTCCTTCCTCAGATATCACTCTCATTCTAACATTAAACCTCTTCGATATAATCCTAGTACACACCAAGCTCGTTCTAAATGGTTTTGTTCTCTTGACAACATCACTGACAAAAATCATGGAGACAAATTCATTTCGATTGCAGAAACATGGCGTTCCAATTGAATCCAAAACCTCTAAGAAACAGCGATTCAACTTTTCGCGAATTCCCCAAAATTGTGAAATTTCGAATGATAAACAGATCTAATCAAAGGCTATCAATTCGAATTCAGTGAAACAGAGAGAAATACAGTTGAAATTGATTACCGCCAAGGAAAAAGATTCGTCGAGTCGCACCGGAGAGTAAGAGACGCCATTTTCACCGGAGCTTTAAGAGAGAGACGACGAGCTTAGCTTCGAAGAGACTGAACCACCGCCATAGAATCACTGTGTTTTTTTGCCGGTGATCTTTTTTTGTGTGCTGACGTGGCAGTTGTGTAGATATTTTTCCATTTATGGATAAGCACGAGGGGAGACGACGTCGTTTAGGAATTGAATACGATGTCGTATTACGTGGAAACACAAATCCCCATGTGTCGGTGCCTTGACTCGTTTTATTTACGTTTCTATCACACAAACATTTTTGATTGGATAATGATTTTCTTCACCAAATTTACACCTTACTTTACAATTTTCCTATAAGATAAGCTTTTTTTATATCAACGTTAGCATTAATTGTTTTTTTTTTTAATAGCAACTAGAATTTGACCCGCGGTATACCGCGGGACTATATTTTTAAAAAAAAATGTAATGTTATTTTTTTAAGATTAACTGAAGATATATCATATTAATTTGTATTTTTAAATGTAGATATCTATCTATCAATTTTTGAAGTATAGATACGAAAACATATATATTTTTTTAAGTAACGATGTAGGGTGGATTTTAAAATTTTGAATATTTTACTCTGAAGTATACCGTGGATCTGTTTTTTTATAACTAAAAATTTTAAATTTAAGTTGGATTTGTTTTGTTAATATTGTTTCTTTTGTTTTGTGTTTAAGATTGTATAATTGTATTTTGATTGTTAATTTTAGGATTTCATCCGCGATATACCGTTTTTTATTAATATCGACCCAAACACGTCATCCCATATAAACCCGTCTATATTATCTCGTTAGCTAAATTATTAGTGTTATAAAATCTAAGAAAATAAATTATTATTGTTATAAAATCTAATAATTTTAGGATCTCACTCGTGGTATACCGTTCTGTGAACGATTTTAAATTTATATTACTAATTAATATATATTTTAAATTTATCATATAAAGTATATGATTTCAAGTTTTTGTGTTTTTTTATTTATTTAAATAAAGCAATGACTTAAATGATGATAGATATAGTTCCTTTTCCTGTATGTGTATATGATTTTTCTATGTGAATATTTTGATTATTATAAATTAGTATTTTTATTGCTATGCAAAATGTTAATATAAATATTTGCTATAAATGTGTTTTGAAGATATATGGAAAGATTGTGTAGAGATTTTTAGAAACAAATTAGGCAAGATATTGTTTAGTTAATATTTTTTATTTAAATTTTGTAAAAATAATAATAAATGCCAATGGCATAGACTCGTAAATACTTAGCAACTTTAGGATTTATTTGCTAAGTGTACTCCAAAAATGTATATATAGATTAGCAAATGAATGAATATAGGTATGGAAAGATAAGTCTTAGGAGATAATTTAGGATCCAAATAGTTGTGTTAATATCTTTTATTAAATTTTTCAAATTTTTAGAATTCAAACCAATGGCATTCTTTGTAAATACTTAGCAACTCTATGATTTATTTGCTAAGTGTACTCCGAAAATATATATAGATATATATAGATAGATGGAGCATTGTATCAAAATAGAAAATTGAGTCACTTATATAGATTTTAATTTAATTATTTAAACGAAAAACAAAATTTATAAATATACTGATAAATATATTGGTATGTCTCTTATATCCTCCAAACAAATTTCATTGCGGATTGTGATAATTTTATGGTCTATGACTATTTGTTATTCTTATAGATTTTTATGTTGATTATAAATTTAGAATCGAATCAAATTAGCCTTTTTACGATAGGATTAATAGAAGCTTGTAGATTTTGTTGCATTTTCATCTTAACAAAAATTATTTTTAATATTAAGGTTGTTAGTTCGATCCACTAAAAAAGATTGTTTTGATTATGGTTAAGAAGATGTTATACCTAAAAGAATATAATTTACATTTTATAAATAAAAACAAACTAATTATATTATCAAGGGGGTTGTACCGGATATAGAAACTTATAAGGTGAAAAATGAAAGAACCAAACCCAAAAACTTTCCAATTATACATATATGTGTTTTGCAGAATCAAAGACCCTAACCAAAAAAAAAAAAAACTCACTCTTGTTGCTGTCACCGAGGCCCAACAGCTCTTGTCTCATTTTGCATTGCCACGAAAGTCATCACCTCATAACTTTAATTATAATTGTTTTAAGGGGTTAGAAAATAAAAAACGCTTATAATCCAATTATTACAACTTTAACAAAGAGATGATGATTACATTACCATGCGAATAAGACAAAAATATTTTGTAAAATGTTTTCCAGTAACTCCAAAGCCTTGGTTTTAGCAATTAAACAAAAATAATAAATCTGATACCAATTTTGTTACACTATTATAAAACTTCTAAACACAATATTTGTAAAATGTTGCGATGTTATCGTAGTTGATGATTAAAAAAAAATTAGCACATCTAATCTATAATTATAACATGGTGGTGAAGAAACAAACATTTTTTTAGAAGGTTTAAAATAGAAAACATTTCAATTATCCAAATATATTTTAGAAAATAAAAATTGAAGCGAGATAAATACGGTATCGTATCAAAGATTCCTTTCCACGTATAGCTTGAGCCGAGCCGAGTCATATAATATCCGTTTGAGTTTTATTTTTTTTAATTAAAAGAATTTTTCATTTTTCTCTCACACGAGTTCCAGTGATACCGGAAGAAACCTGGAGGTAACTGGGTATAGCCGGTGGACCCCCTCAAATTGCAATCGAGAGTATTTAATTTTCTTAGTTTTAACAAATTTTCATATACCAAAAAAACACCCAACACAATATCTACTTAACCATGGTTACTTTCTAACCCAAGCTTTGAGTTTATTTAAACTGAGAGAAAGTGTGAAACCAAGCTTGTTCATATGGAAAACGCTCAACCCCAATCTCTCTCATCTCTCTGTATATAGAAGAATCTCCATTGTCTTTAATCTCTGTCCATTTTCTCTTCTCTCTTCCTTCAAAGTTCTCTTTTCTTGATGGGTTTAAGAGAGTAAAAGATCATCATCAAGTACAACTATGCATTAAACTTCAAATTTTCAAAGTAATTAAAGATTGTTGATAATGAAGAGATTAAGTAGTTCAGATTCAGTGGGTGGTCTCATCTCTTTATGCCCTACAACTTCTACAGGTTCTTAATTTAAGCTAATTTTCAGAACAAGTCCCTTTATTTTCATCTTTGTTTTCTAATTTTGGCTTCTTCTTATGAAAACAGATGAGCAGAGTCCAAGAAGATACGGTGGGAGAGAATTTCAGTCGATGCTTGAAGGTTACGAGGAAGAAGAAGAAGCTATAGTTGAAGAAAGAGGACACGTGGGTTTGTCGGAGAAGAAGAGAAGGTTAAGCATTAACCAAGTTAAAGCTTTGGAGAAGAATTTTGAGTTAGAGAATAAGCTTGAGCCTGAGAGGAAAGTTAAGTTAGCTCAAGAACTTGGTCTTCAACCTCGTCAAGTTGCTGTTTGGTTTCAGAACCGTCGTGCACGGTGGAAGACAAAACAGCTTGAGAAAGATTACGGTGTTCTTAAAACTCAATATGATTGTCTCCGTCATAACTTTGATTCCCTCCGCCGTGACAATGAATCTCTTCTTCAAGAGGTATAAAAACTCAAACCTTTTGTTTAAAGATTGAAACTTTTTACAAATCTTGAGATTTATAAAAGAATTGAAACTTATGTTTTTGGTTTGATGCAGATTAGTAAACTGAAAACGAAGCTTAACGGAGGAGAAGAAGAAGAAGAAGAGAACAACGCGGCGGCGACAACAATGGAGAGTGATATTTCGGTTAAGGAAGAAGAAGTTTCGTTGCCGGAGAAGATTACAGAGCCACCGTCGTCTCCTCCACAGTTTCTTGAACATTCGGATGGTCTTAATTACCGGAGTTTCACCGATCTACGTGACCTTCTTCCATTAAAAGCGGCGGCTTCTTCCTTCGCCGCCGCGGCTGGGTCTTCAGACAGTAGCGACTCAAGCGCTCTTCTTAACGAGGAAAGCAGCTCTAACGTCACGGTGGCGGCTCCGGTGACGGTTCCTGGCGGCAATTTCTTCCAGTTTGTGAAAATGGAGCAGACGGAGGATCACGAGGACTTTCTGAGTGGAGAAGAAGCTTGTGAATTCTTTTCCGATGAACAACCACCGTCTCTACACTGGTACTCCACCGTTGATCACTGGACTTGAAGCTGTAAACACCAACGGAAGAGATTTTGGATTATATGCTCTCTGCTTCTCTCTGGAATCGATGGAGAAGATGGAAAAAACAGAGGAGGGTAAAATGGGAATAATTGTTAAAATTGAAGGGTGAAAGGGAAAAATTAAGGAAGGGTTAAATCTGGGCGGGAATAATGATTTTAGGGTGAATTTGTAATTATGCTTTTCTCTGGTGGTTTCGTGCACTTCTTGTAATTAATTAAGGATCATCAGATCAAAGACAAATTGAGAAGGGGCAAAAATGCAAAGGGTGGAAATTTCAGCATGGACTATTTTATATTACAATCGACCCTTGAAATCTAAATTATAACACTTTTAACCCTTAAATTAATTTTTGAATCATAAAATTAGATGTGCGACTTCGTGTATTAGGGGATTTTTCCAAAGAGAATGCACCTAAAACAGCTAAAAGTCTCACAGGTTTAAGTCTAATTTTTGGGTAAAATCGATCAAACTTTAGACCGAAAATTTTTTGGTTGAAAAAAACTAGATTTGTTAAAAATGCTTTGAAGTGTGATGCGTTTTGCGATTCGAAATACAACTTTAGTATAAATCAATATATTATTTTCCCGATTACTGGAAAAACAAAATTATCATGCCACTAACATTTATTTAGTTCAAAACTTAAAGTTTTATTTCACTCGGTCTATTTAAACTTGAAAAATCTAATTGAACATAAAAAGTTTGTTTTCATATACATATAATTTATAATTAGTAACCTGTAATTTTATTGGTTGTATAAGGTGGTAAAAAATATTTAGCAGTAATGATAACAACAACAACAAAAGGTGGAGATATACGACTATAAGTAGAAACTGTAAAAAAGATGATAAAAAATGGTCGATTGTATGATAAAAGATAGCGGTTCAAATGCATTGATTATCAAGAAATGGTGGTAAGATAAGTAGTAAACAATATTCATAACTAAAATATATTAAAATCAATCTAGAAAGTACAAAAAAAAATTGAACACTTAGATTTTAATATCAAAATAAATAAATATACTTTACTATTTTCTTACAACCTCAAAATAATGGCTGTAAAAAGTAGAAAATACAAATGGTTGAGTTGTAGCTGTAGAATTCTTGTTGTAGAGTTTTTGTTGTATCTATGTTGGTTGTATATTTGTACTTGTAAATTTTTTTCTATAAGTATTTTAATAGTAAAGTCTGATTACATTCAATAAGTCGATAACAGATGAAACATATAATAAATAATAAGTTTCATATATACATAATACATTATAAATTTTTTGATGAAAATATATATTATAATATAAATTTTATAACAATGAAATGAAATATATATATATATATATATATTATATTATTTTCTGTCATTTTAGTAAAAATATTGTATATATATTATTTTCTTATGTTTAAAGTATCATGTACTTAGATGCAGTAAAAAAATTAAATATAATGAAAAAAATGTTTACAGCTCTTAAAGCACAAAAAGATATGTTGTAGAAATTTTAAGAGTTGTTTATCATAAAGATACAGCCCAACCAATCACAATTGTACCACCTTGAAAAGATTTATACAACTTCGATTTGTAATACTATATTATTGAATTATAATTAATAATTCAATACCACTATCATTTACTATAGCATTGATTGATAATCTTTTTTGGGAATACCTTTTAACATCTTGTAGTGTTAACTGTTAACTGTTTAGTTAACAGTATGCATTATACAGATTTAATTTATGTCGTAACACAATGACATCATTAGTAAAAACTACTAGCTAGGTTGTCATGGTCTTTTAGTGTCGAGTTTAAATTTCTCAAAATTGTTAGTATTAATTAAACAATATCATTAGGTTTGCTGTTCAGATTTGATTTGATTCGAATTCGAGTTGTCTCGGTTTGTGTAACCAACAGTGTATTGTTAAAGATAACTAATCATGTTTAAAGGTAAACCGGCAAAGCTGTGGACCACGTCTAATAATTAAGATCATTATAATAATAATACGAGAATCTTCTAATTAATTATAATTATAAAGCATCTTTGATTCTTTATATCTTTTTTACTGTTAGAACAACCAAAACATGTAGATGATCAGTCGATCAGATCTTACTACACTGTGTTAGATTTAACAGTACGATGTATATGATTTTCTGTGTTTTATAGTCACTTTTCTCTATTTTAATCACAAAGTCACATTTTGCCCCCAAAAAAAAAATCACAAAGTCACATATATGTATCACTAGATCATAACCCGTGCTGTTCCAGCACGGATAAAATTTTAATTTTTAAATATTTATATAAAGTTAGATTATTGTTTGTTTTATAGTATAATTTTAATAATTCTTACATAATACAATGACATATAAGGATTTTTTATTTTATTTTATTTTGTTTGATGAGAAAATATTAGGGTTGGAGTACGGTTTTTCGGTTTAGTATCATTTTTTCGTTTTGTAGAAAGTGAAACCATATAGAAACCGTATGTAATTCGGTTTAGTTACAGTTCGATTTTTTCGGTTTTTTACGTTTTTTTGGTTAAAAATAAAACGTATGTATTTGATATATGCTAGTAGTAAGTGAAAAAAATTGCGTATATAATAAACATATTTTGGTATATAATAAGATTAAATTCAACCCGTGCGTACCTATATTTTTATTTTAGAATTCCAATGAAAAAATTGTGTGCACAATCCATCATTCATTATTTTCATATATACTTATAGAATCAAAATTTTAAATATTTAGAGGTGTCAAACCTTATTTAACTCATCTCATCATATAATCTTAACATGATTTCGTTTATAAAGATCATAACTCTTTTTATCATATAATACATTACATTTAACATGTTGCTTGCTATAAATATTTTAAATATTTATGCTTTGAAAAATGAAATTAAAGTTTTTATAACTTTTATTTTTTGATTTATTAAATATTTATGATATTCTTTAAAATATTATATTAAACTATTTTTAAATTTTTCCAAATTAAAATATTTTTTATTTTTATTGTAGAATATAAAATTAAGAATTTTTTAAAAAATAATTGTATGAACTTAAATATAAATATTCAAATAGTTATAAAATTGAATATAATTACTCAAATTCTGACCCGTTATTCAGGCGAAATTTTTGTTGAATTTATTTTTGTTTAAAAGAAATATATTATTCAAGTCTAAATTTTTGACTCGTTAAATTTTTTTTTCATAAATTGAATAATTTATATTCGTTTTTAAAAATTCAAATCATGGGATATGCGGAAAAAAATCTTTTTTTTTTTATTATATGGATGATATGATGATTTATTTGTTTCACAATAATAGAATCATATAAAGATGAGAGGTGAAATATAATGATTAATAACAAATTAATAAGGTAAGTTAGATATCAAATCTTATATATTCATTTTGATTGGTCATTTAAAAATAATAATAATATATTTTTCGTTTTTATAATTAAATTAAATTAATTAAATTGTATAAATTGACTTGTTTATCCTTAATGAGATGAATTAATTTACTCTTTGAAATTTTATCTCTAATGGCATTTTTAAGTAAATTTTTACAAAAGAGAAGGTTAGTTAAGGGTATCTTATAAAGTGTACTCCCCAAATAATAGTATAGGATACATAAGAGAGTACAATCGAGCCCTAGGTTACCAATTCACCATTTACCATGGATGGCAAGTTTCTTGTGATTGGGGCTAAAGACAAATTTATATTGTTTGCCCAACGCATACAATCCCAATATAGTAGAGTCGACGATTAGGGAATAGAGTCTAGGGGATATATACTAGTATATACTACATTTAGGAACATAAACTATCAATTTAGACTAGATATCATCGTTTCACCAAAAAAAAAAAATATAATAAAAAAAATAAAAAAAAAGACTAGAAATCATCATGGACCAACTGTCTTAAAATTTTGAATATCGAATTGTTGAAATTCCGACTCAAAGTTACATCAAATTAGTACTTATAATCACTCACTAAAAATAATGAAATAAAAATGGAACACCTAAATCTCGACCTCATTGTAAAAACCTTTTTAATAGATTTTCTCTATCTTTCTATTTTCTTCTTTTTGTAAGAGAAATTTTAACCCATATCTCAATATATTTTGTTCAAAATAGAGTAATTTCATTTTGGAGTTTGGTTTTTACTCCAAGATAAAGTTTGGATATGAATATTGAGGTAGGTTGAAGATGGTCTAAGTAAATTTTGCATGTGCTCTAACCAAGAGATTGTGAAATAGATTATGGATAGCCGAGATTTCGATACTCAATAAAAAAAAATTAATATCCGAAAAATAGTTTGGTTCAATTTCTTTATTTAAGATATTGAGATATTTATTTTGAATCAGATATTTAGCTTTTTAACTATTTTTAAATTGACTGGTAAGATATTTTTTCAATATAATAACTAAGCATTCTGATATTTTGAGTTAGGTATTTCACTATTCATATATTAAAGACCATGTGATTTGGATATTTTACACATTCCATAACATTTAACAAAGAAAATACCTAATTCAAGTTCGAATCTACATGTCATGAATGTAAGTAGCATGGGATGAAAATAAAGATCTAATGGATCCAAATTTCTCAACGAATTAACGTATAACAAGTTTTAGTTCGTAATCGTATGCATGTCTCATAATAAAAATGATTTACATTGTCTATGGCAAACACTGATCCAAATAGAATGGCTATATACAATGTTGATATAGCCTGTAGGTTTTGCGGCCAAAAAGTGAAATTTGTTAAAGTAGGGGTTGAATTTAGGGGTTTTAGAAAAGTAATAGGACAAAAGGAGGAAGAAGAGAAAGAGAACACGTGATTGGACATCAAATACATCTTTTCTTTCCTAATCCCACGACCACGACATATCTCTTCTATTTTTTCTTCGTTTATAGAAAGCATCTAAAGTAATTTTTCCATTTTTAGATAGATATGGAGAAGTCAAAAAATAAATAATGGACCAACAACTATGTAATATATATGACTCGATCTAATATTAATTTTAGTTTGAATATCTTACCACTTAAACCACTGAAAGCAATGACGGGAAGGTCAAATAACCATAATGCTGGCTTCACCATTAATAATTTTGTTGAATT